GGGCTGTCTCAACCCCTAAATATAATAATTCGTATCTTACTTTAAGTATTTCTTATATTTTTGCATATTAAATGCATTCTGTAGTTTCTTGAGGATTAAAATTTCCCATAAATGCATAAACATCCGCAGTCTAGTTATTACGAATTATTCTATCCATTGTTCCTGCAAATTCTCTTCTAATAGAATTACGAATACGTTATTAGAAGCACTAAGTTATTACTACTGTTAACAATGAAATTATTACAGATTTCAAAATTTCAAAAAGAACATTTTCGAATACTCGAATCGACTATTAATAAAAATCTGTTTATGGAAACTTTTGTCGCGGAGAATAAGAATGAAACAACGAGTACAGTTCCGCCCACTCGATGCCGAAAGAAGAGATTAGAAAATAGAATCAACGTCGAAGTTCGCAGACGATAAATAGGCAACTATTTTTCGAACCTGATTCGAGCATCGCGCGATATTTCGCCGGTCCAGAAATAAATTTCAAACAGATTTCGTCACCGGCAGCCGAGTTTCTTCGTATCTAGGACATAACGGTCCCCAATTTTGGCCAGCTCCTTATTCGTATGCAGGATGCGTCCTCCAACGGGCCAATAAAACTTCACCCAGGTCAAGATCCACTTTCTTCTCAAAGGTCATACCCGGCGTTTCCGGTTCTACCGATTCACAGCCACGCAAGATTTATTCCAGAGCCAGGAGACAATTTTTCGAAGCTTCGAAATCCAAAATATCGTTCACTCAAGGGGGTCTTCTATAAAACATGTTCTTCAATGCTCTTTTATGTATTTTTTTTTATATAAAGAATATAAATTCTCAGATTCAGTCCTTCATTACTCATCCTGTACGGAAAAACTGTGAACATTGTTTATAATAAAGTTTCCCAGCTTTGGAAGCTAAGATCAACTGATTCTACTTTGCCAATTGGCTGACACAAAATACTAATTTAATTTGAAGTTATTGTCCTTAAAAAAAAGAGTAGAAATAATGTTAACACTTCGACTGCCACGTCACTCATATGTGGGTGACAGGATTTACCACTATGATACTAGAAAAATTCATTCTCAAGTTAAGAGGGCGAGGGATATAAATTTGGATGGAATTTGTGAATTTTAACGAGGTTACGAAAATGAGGTTACAATTTTTAAGTTGTATAGCTTGCGATGGTGTGAAATAGAAATTTTAATCTTGCAGATTATTATATTATACAGTTTTCATCTGGTGAGAACCAGTCAGGTCACTACGTGCTAGGCTAGCTAGCTCACTAGATCCTAGTTAATTAGCTCACAACATGCTAGGTTAGCTAGTTCATTCCTTGCTAGGTTAGCTAGCTCACTACATGCTAGCTAGCTAGCTCATTCCTTGCTAGGTTAGCTAGCTCACTAGATCCTAGTTAACTAGCTCACAACATGCCTAGCTAGCTAGCTCACTAGATCCTAGTTAACTAGCTCACTATATGCTAGGCTAGCTAGCTTACTAGATCCTAGTTAACTAGCTCACTATATGCTAGGCTAGCTAGCTCACTACATGCTAGTTAACTAGCTCACAACATGCTAGCTAGGTAGCCCATTCCTTGCCAGTTTAGCTAGCCCATTCCTTGTCAGTTTAGCTAGCTCACTCCTTGCCAGTTTAGCTAGCTCATTCCTTGCTAGGCTAGGTAGCCCATTCCTTGCCAGTTTAGCCAGCTCATTCCTTGCTAGGCTAACTAGCTCACTCCTTGCTAGCTAGCTAGCTCACTTCTCACTCACTCGCTCACTGACTTGGTGAATGAGTTCGGTCGAAATTAGAATCGAATTTAAAAACTACTCGAAAGAACGAAAGACATTGACTCTGCAAGCATCTGAGATAATTTTCTAGGGTTTTACATTCCTTCTGCTTTCAATTTCTCAACTCGTGCACACGTTGCTCGGTCGCCATTAGTCAGCCATGGTTTTAGGCGGCCACGAAACGGGTGTCGTTGGCTGATCTTCATTGTCTCGAGGCATTTTCTGACTGCAGCGTGTTTGGCGTCTGTCCAGAATGAAATTCGCTAAAGAAAATATGCGCGTGTAACGAAACGTTTCCAGATACACAACAATTTGCTAAAACTCTGATATTCTAAACATGACCAATCGAACATTTCAGACAATAATCGAAACAAACGAGAACTTTGATTTGTTTAACTATGTTTCACTGTTTTGTAAAATCTGACAAAATTACACGCCCCTAAAAATATAAACGTGGCATTATTCATTTGACCGTTTCGTGTTGTGCAAATTAATTAGATTCCATTTCTTTTAAAATAAAAATTCTTTATTTATTGCGATATTGTTTTTGTATCTCATATTTTGAAACATTCTCATTTAAAAAATAATATTTACGCGTTCTGCAATTTTAAATACGGTTTAAATGAGTTTACCGCAGACGTGATAACAACATTAAAAGTTAAGAAAAATCAATACAAAAATTATCTTGTATTCCCAACGGATAGCTAAGTAAACTGCAAAAAAGAATCATAACGTCAGATGTAACATTTCCTTAAAAAAAATTAAGAAAAATGGTTCAATTTTCTATCATTTACACGAGACTCCCCCCCTTAAAATCTGCCGTGAGATCGTTCGAACAACCGAATAATTAGTTTTTTTTTTATCTTCTATGGACTTATCGAACGACCCTCGTACGATTACAGCCGCGTAACGAACATTCCCCGACGACATCGAATCGAATTCACAGTCCCGAGCGATCGGTTCGTCATTGCTTGCTTCACAAGCCGTTCCATTTAGGATCAGCCGATGACGCGACTCATTATAATTACGATGCTACGCCTCGGGCCTCAGTCTCTCTCGTGCTGTTGTCCTCATCTGTTGCGCAAACCGTCGGAACATCGACTTTGTTAATAGCTCGTGATTTGGCATGGTGTTCACGCGGAAGCGCTCGATACCGAACCCTTCTACACAAATCGAATCCGACGAATCTTCGCCAGTGGCCGTCGAAAACACTAACATTCCAGCGAACTTCTAATTCCACGCGTAAAATGAACTTGTTCGATTTTTAACGTTCCGACCATTCCCAGAAAGAGTCGAACTCTCTGTCGCCCCGGAGGCCATTCGAAGCTGAAACTCTCGAACACTGCATTATTTTTTACAGTAAGTGCGATCGTGGAAATTTAAAAATACTCCATTTTGTCTAGAATCTTTCTGTTTTAATCTTTGTGCATCAAAATAGGGGGAAATCGCAGTTTAAAACTAGTTTCTAGTGTCTTGGAAGGAAGTTTCAAACAATCATTTTGTCATTCTACGATTCTAGATTTTCCCTAGATCCCTAAATAAGGGATGAAGAGATCGTCGATCGAAGCTGATGGTGTTAGTCGCATTTTATCTAGAATCTTTCTCTTTCCAATCTCTTTACATAAAAACAGTGGGGAATCACAGTTTAAAACTAGTTTCTAGTGTCTTGGAAAGAAGTTTGAAACAATTAGATTTTCCCTAGATCCCTAAAACAGGGATGAAGAGATCGTCGATCGAAGCTCTGTGGTGGTGTTAGCCGCATTTTATCTAGAATCTTTCTCTTTCCAATCTCTGTGCATCAAAACAGTGGGGAATCACAGTTTAGAACTAGTTTCTAGTGTCTTGGAAGGAAGTTTCAAACAATTAGATTTTCCCTAGATCCCTAAAAAAGGGATGAAAAAATCGTCGATCGAAGCTAAGTGGTGTCAGCCAGTATTTAGCTAAACTGTCGACGCTATCGACACCCGGTAAATGTGTGCTCATTACGTAAAATATTTAATTGCAAAGCCGTGAGTGTACTCGTCGATGGACGTCGTTGACTATTACGCAAAACTCTTCGAAGACACGTCGTCTAACACGAAGAACGAGCTCTGGACGCTACGTCGACCAGCGTCTCTGGTGGTTTGCGCCCTGAGAAAGCCGGAAACGGTTTTATCTAATCACGTTTAGGCGCGAAAGGGGAACAACTGCTTGGCGATCTAAGAACATCGGTCTCTGTCTGAAGATAGCGACATAAAAATAAACTGCTTTTCCCCCCCTGCTGAATAGAAGCTAAATAGAATTTTTAATTTTAAATTTGCCACTTGAATTTTTCCCGAGTCGATGCAGGATGAGCTCCTAACTTCTCAAACTTTTTAACACGATCGATCATGGTGATTTTCTAAAAACCAGAAGCCAAACTCGATACGAAGTTGATTTTTGTAACGTCTATGACAATTTATTGCTCGATGGATATAAGAGCGACTGCCAAAGCACATCCAACCATCCTTGACGAAGTATTTTTAAACGTCCGCGATGAAAGTTCACCTTTGAATTCGTTTGGTTGGTAGGCCTTGCAGTCTTGTTTCGTAGGCAATGACATAACACTTGCGAAACACTTCGACGCTTCGATTTAAGATCGTCTACTCCTGGATCCGGCTAGAAACCACTCGCCAATAACAAAATGGCGACCGAATTCTATCGATCGATCGCTATTTAATTGTGCAAACGTGCAAGCAATTCTTTAGCCCCCCAAAATTTGAAAGAAATACCAACAATATTAACTATTTTTGTTTTAAGGTTAAACAAATAACAAAAAAAAGTTTCATCGATAATGGTAGATAAGTATCACAAAAATTGATACTTATAAAATGATATATCGATGGCCCCCGCCATATTGTTCTTTGGTATAATGGCCTCCATGTTAAGTAGTAAATTAATTTTGTATTTTCAAAGTTTTAAACCACTTAGTTTTTCTCTGATAAGCTTGTGGCGAGCTAAATAAAAATGTTATCACGACTGTGTTTCGTTCGTGGTTAACCAAGTCAGACTTTCGACGGGAAATTGTCATCCATTTTGTTTCTGTCCGAGGAACGATCTTTTGATCAGTGTAACGGGAGTTAATAGTTTCTGGAGATCCCAAGGGGTCAGTTTCGATCGATACACTTCCAAATTATGGGAATAAACGAAACGCAAAGAGTGAAACCAATTGGACTTTGGTCTAACAGTCTGTTTCTTTTGATTCGTTCGCAGGTCGGCGTTGCAGACGCTGCACAAGGTGTCGAGTAAGGCTCGAGAGCAGAACTATTTCCTGGGTGGGTTGTCGCACGATTGGGTCAGTTACTATGAGCAACGAATCGAGAGCGATCGCTCGTGTCTCAACGAGTGGCATGCTATGGACAACTTGGAGTCCCGAAGACCACCGTCGCCGGACAGCGTGCGCACCAAGTGAGTCTCGATCAAAACTTAACTCTAGTATAGAAAAAAAATCAAAGGATCTGCTATATTTATACTCTTTCCTTATCACAGGCCCAGAGAAAGGGACGAGACTGAGCGCGTGATCCGGTCAACGTTGAAGGAGATCATGATGTCCGTAGATCTCGACGAAGTAACCTCCAAGTATATTCGAGGCCGCCTCGAGGAGGACCTCGACATGGATCTCGGTGAGTTTAAACCGTTCATCGATCAAGAGATGCTCACCATTCTGGGTCAGATGGACGCGCCGACCGAGATATTCGACCACGTTTACCTGGGAAGCGAGTGGAACGCGAGCAACTTGGAGGAACTTCAAAAGAACGGGTGAGTTTCCGGTCCCTCTATCGTCCCAAACGTCTCTACGTCGTAATTACTTTGAATTGTTATCATCGAGCCGATCGTGCACGATCCCCAAAACTCTTTTAAGCCTATTGTAATCGTTGTCTGTCCAGTGTCAGGCATATTCTGAACGTTACTAGGGAAATCGACAACTTCTTTCCCGGGATGTTCACGTATTTGAACGTGCGCGTCTACGACGACGAGAAGACGGACCTGCTAAAGCACTGGGACGACACGTTCAAGTACATCACCAAGGCAAAGAAAGAAGGTTCCAAGGTACTAGTGCACTGTAAGATGGGAGTATCCAGATCTGCCTCGGTGGTGATCGCCTACGCGATGAAGGCGTACAATTGGGACTTCTCTCAGGCCTGGAAGCACGTGAAAGACAAACGGAACTGCATCAAGCCTAATAACAGTTTCCTGATACAGCTGGAGACTTATCAGGGGATCCTAGATGCGATGAAGAACAAGGAGAAGCTTCAGAGGTCCAAGTCCGACACCAATTTGAAGTCGCCCACCTCGGCGAAGAGCCAGTCCAAGAAAGAGGAGAAGTCTGGCAACGCGGACAACGGTTTACAAGTTACTTCGGGGCTGGAGTTGAAGAAGACCAGCCAGAGGCCGAAAAGTTGGTCGCCAAACGTGAAAATCGCCGAAAATATGTTGCCACCTGGTGCGTAGTCAAACTTTTATCCCTCCGGAAACTCTTTGAGTCAAAATGCTCAGTTTGTTACACTCAGGCATTGTTTAGTCTGTTCAAGACGGTCGTGATTCGCAATAAATATTGAAATGCAATTGCCATTACTTTATTCTTTCTTTATTTCGTAATATGCTGCTTTTTGAATTTTCTAAATATCATTCTTAGTTTGGTTTTTACGAGCTTTTTCTCTAACCATAACAAACTCGTCAAATTGGCTCGGTATTGGCACTAAAAGGGTTAAGTGTTATTTAACCACCAGAGCCCCCTCAGCCTATAATATCAGTGGAAGGAAATCTATCAACGTGTAAACATAATACTAGGTATATCTTTCCAACATAGACAATTTACAATATCTGCAATCTTTTCTATTACAGTTCCTCTTTCGCAATCCCTGGAGAGTATCGACAAAGCAGGGTGCACGGAAGTGACCAGGGAGGACCTGCTTCGTTCGACGAACCTGAAGCCGAACGCGACGCCGGAGGCACGGAACGTGCTGATGCCCTGCGGGAACGGGCAGTCGTACAGCGTTTCGCAGAACCAAATCGTCCATTTGCCGGGTCCCGCGGCCGACACGCCGAGCGTGAAGAACCGGGTCAGTAAGCTGGAGACGCAGGGCCACCAAAGAAGGAAAGGTTTGGTGCTGAATCTGACGAATCAGTTCGAGGCAGTGGGCAGCAAACCGTCCTCGCCGAGCTCGGACCCGGACGGGAAACCCCCGCGAGCGCAGAGCCCGGTCTCCGTCGACGAGGAGAACGGCCTGGCGCAGGAGACGCTGGCGGCGTTGGCGAAGAAAACGGAGAACAACGGGAACAGGGATAGTGAATGTCTAGTCTGGACCGCGTCGTCGGACGCGACGTGTACCAATTCGTGTAGTAACGGTAAGATCAACGGGGAAGTGAGTGGCGAGACTGACGAGTGCGTAGCGACGATGACGGTGTACTCGGGTACCCTGGGACGGAGAACGAGAAAGGACGGGGACCCTTTCAGCACCCAGGTAGACCGGGTGTTCGATCGCGAGGAGAGACAGGGGGAACCGGTCACGAGGGACTCGCCGAGTCGACAGAGCTCCTGGAGCAGTTACGACAGCGCCGTGGTCCTGGACAATAACTCCGTGCACAGTTCCTGGGCCACGCTACCCTCCAGGAACAGCTCCTGGGGCTCGTACGACATGCGGCCCTCGGATCTCCTCGGTTCCAGCGGTCTGTTCCCCTACGACAAGGAGGAGATACCCTGGCATCCGGGCACCGTGAAACGCACCAAGCAAAAGCTCGAGGAGAACACGTCCTCGGGGACGGTGAAACGCGTGTGCACGCAGACCTCCGACGCGGTGGACAAGGACAGGCTGCCGGTCGACGAGGAATCGTACAACCCGGTGCTCCTGCACTACACGGCGTCCCCGACGCCGAGACGGAGGGACTCGTCGCCGTGTCAGGAGCACAGCCTGAAGGTGGACGCGGCGAGGAGCTCCCCGAGTCCCGTACGAGGGATCGACATCGCTGGTTCGTCGATACCTACGGTCGGCAGGCTGTCCACCAGCGCCCCGGCGCCCTCCTCCCTCTCCTCCGAGTCCGATCTCCCCTCGTCCCTGAGGTCCTGCAGATCCGAGAGCGAAACCTCGAGCCCCTGCGTCGTCAACACCACCCAGTGCCCCTCCGTCAAGCACCACAAAATGGTCCTCGAGAATCTGAGCAACAAGTCGGTGTTCAGCAAACGGTGTCTGCCCGCGGACGACTCCCCGGAGGCCGAGTGCCCGCGAAACACGTCCGGTATCGTCAAGAGCCTGAAGAAGGAGTTCGAGGCGAAGTCGAGCAAGCCGGAGAGGAGTCCCGAGAACAGTTTCGAGAACGAGTCGTCGATGGTCGGTCGGGGGTCGAAGAGGGACGCGAAGATCAGGAGCCTGCCGTCGTCGCCGGTGATACCTCACGACGAGTCCAAGATCCAGGCTCCGTCCGAGACCAAAGATGAGGCGTTGGGGTCCGCGCAGGAGGGCGCGGAGGATTGGTCGGTCAGGGTGCTGGTCGGCAAGTACGAGATCAAGCCGGACCCGAGGAAGTCCGCGGACATTCAGCTGCGCGTGCACAAAGACAAAGAGTGGGAGGCGATGGACGCGTCGGCGAAGTCGAAGCTCGGTCCAGAGTTCAGCAGAAGGTCGGCGCCGATCATGATCGACAATCATTCGTCGCCGTTGTTCACCGAGGCGCCGGAGGCACCTGGCAGGCCGCCGGTACCCTCCGCCGGTGTCGTGGCAGCTAGCAAGAAGCAGCAACAGCACGGCAGGACGCATCCTCTCGCCAGGCTGCAGGTTAGGCCTAGGCACAGCAGTCCGGTTTACAACACGATGTAAAAAAAATGAAAAAAATGTAATGGGGAAGGTTACTCTTACCCCGCTTGTCGAATCTGAGCGCGCGTACCTGAGTGAATAGGTATGTTGTCGTGGCCACGATGAAACTGTGTGATCTCTACCGATGCCAACAAGTCGAGGACGTATCCTCCTCGATACCGACGACAAATCGACGAGGACAAGATTTATTATTCGCTTCCCACCACGCATCGACGTACAGGGCGTCGCGGAATTATATTCCACCTCACTGTGTGGTTGTACAACTCTGGATCGGTTGAAAATTTCTAAAAAATTTCTAATTTTTTTTATCGTTGCATCCGTAGTCTACCGACCAGTAGAGAATTAAAGTCTCGAAGGATCTCGAGCTCGAACTCGAGTTCTCTTGAAAAATTGTATCAAAGATTTATCGTAAATTTGCGTTCTCGTTCCGAGGGCAGAGATTTTTAATAGATCTTCACCGATCCAGAGGCGTTGTATCGTTCCGTGACACTCTGTAGAATTTACTGTTCGCGATAGTCATTGTCGAACACGAATTTTCTTCTGCAATGTCAGCCAGGCGTGTGAGCGTCCTCGTCCCAAACACGATTATTAATAATTCTTTGTTTAAGGGAGTATCACGGTTTAGACATATTTTTTTGAAGTATTTAGAAATTAAATTAAATTTGTTTTAATCGGAAGATACAACATATCTCCAGGCTTGTCCATTTTGTAACGTTTTTGTCCATCGAAACCTCTTGAAACTTGTCCAACTAGTTTTTTTAAAATTCGTGTTTCGAGACGAGGAACCAATGGATATTGCAGAACAGAAAGATTTTAATTTGTTGGACAGTGTAATCGGATAAAGGCAGGACACCTATTTTTTCAATGTTACAAAAAACTGATAAAATTCACGAACTTGGCGATTACATTTCGCAAAATGTCATCGTTCACATTATGTAGTCACAGCAGGACGAAAGACTGTCGATCATGGTTCCCACAAAAATGCTCTCAAGGCTCTCAAAAAGAAAGAGTACTTTGCCAAAATTCTGTTTCGTCTTGTAATATATATTTTGGGAAGAAAATTCCTAAGAATTTCAACAAACGCTCCAAAACAAAAAATCAGAAGTTTTAAACAATTTTTTTTAAGAGTATTTTTGTTCAGATCGCATGGTCGTCGGTCTTTTCTTCGTCTTTCTGCTATTACATAGCTCTACGCGATGAACGTTGCGTATAATAGTAAAGAAACAAAAAAGAAAAGCGCAAGAAAATTGCATCAGTTTCGCGAGAACACTGGCATGATCATAGGTGGCCCTATCTTATCGTCGCCGAGTGTAATTTTAAGGCTCGTTCAAGATCCTTCAAACGTTTTTATGTTCCTTCTTCGTCAGACGTGTCTTGGCCTGCTCTTAGTTCAATTATTTTTTAAGCTGAAAATGTAACAATTAGGAGAACGCTGAAACTGTTTATTCCTACGACGGGCGTCGTCATAGACCTAAATGGGCTTGGAATCAAACGTGATGTTTTTTTTTTTCTCTTTTTTTTTTGTTTTCGTGGACGTCATGCAGAAGCTGGAGCCAGTTCGTGGCTGAATTCGGAAGACGAAAGCGACGGCTCGGTCAGGCTGTGAACGAAAGGTCCGAGCTACGCTGCCCGCGCTTGGCTCTTTCCTCTGCTCCGTTGTGATTGCCGAGGCGCGAAGCGAGAGAGAGATTGTATACAAAAAAGACCTCGGAACGACGTTAACGTTTAAGCTATAACTATTAGTAATTTAGAACGAACAATGTGATTAGGATGGTGCACAGTATGCGAGAAGACGAAAGTAGCGAACCCCATGTTTTCCTGGAGGAACTGCTCGCGCGAATCGTTCGAACGATTCTGGTGGCGCCCTCTGTTCGACCAATCGTTATCAAACTCTACACCTTCGCACTACCCAACTAATCCGTAGCATCGTCGTGCGATATCGATTGATTTTTTTCTCCCCCACCCCACACATCTCCCACCCCCGTTTCGATCGAACCGGATACAGATTATTATTTTTTTTTTTTTCTTTACGACCAGCGATTACGACGATTCGCGAAAGTACAACGAGAAACACACACCGGCTCGGGAAACACTGCCGCGCCCGTAAATGTAAATCTCCGTGTCAGCTGTTCGTCGTTCTCTCACACATATCATCGGACCCCGCTCTCGTTTCTTTGTTTGCGTTACGCAAAGCCATGTTGACCAATTTTATACTCCCCCTGATGATGATGAATGCGAGGCTTGTTTTGATAAGATGCACCGTGACGACTGTGTATGTGCGTGTGCGCGTGTGTGTGTGTGTGTGTGTAGAAATATATTTTATTACCGAGATAATTTTGCAAATAATTTTCTCGTACGTTCATTCTAACCGCCTGCTGTCTCTCGGAACCCGAGTGTTCGAAATAAAAAAAAAAGAAATAAAGAAGAGAACAATCCTGAGACCGAATGCTATCGAAACTGTAACACATTGAATTAGAATAAAGAGAGAAAAAGGAATAAAAATATGTTGCATCGCCAATGGTGTGCTTCGCGCTTGGAAATTCTAGAGGGCGCGTGTATCGTTTACGAATCGGTGACAATTCGCTGCGGGATCGTTTTGTTTCGGCACACCCGGCATGAATGATGAGCGTCTTCGCTGAAATTACTTTCCATGACAGAGATATTAATAAAATTATGCGAACGATTCCGTCGTACCAAATATTATTTCTCGTCTTGCATTTCGAGCACAGCAATGCACGGCTGAATTGGGTAAAATTCAATCGGGGGACATGTTAATTCAGCATTTCCATTCGTTACAAAAAACAGAAGCTAAATTTATGAATCGTGTAACGTTTTAATTACGAGCAATCATTGTATTCGTATTGTATTTGTTAAGTTAGTTAAAAATACCTTGATCTGTGAGGTGTTTGAATCCTAGGAATCCGGTATCATTCTCAAAAAAGGGTATAGTCGAGTAAGGGGGTAAAATGTGCCTTTGAACCAAATTTGACATCGACAGAGCATCAGAAATAAACATTCTGTGCCAAGTTTCAACCCTCTGCGTTGTTCGGAAGGATAGATATAGGGAAAATCCGGATTATCGAATTCGTGCCTATTTTCCGTATTTAAACAAACACGAAAATTACGGAAAAAAATCTGGTGCATCGTGGTTATCGAGATACGTGTTTGAGAATTTTTTTCGATTTTTCGATCCCGAATTCTAGGCGTGAAAAATTAAAAATGCAAAAAATCATAGAAAAATACGAATTTCGTATGGAAGCTTTCGAGACACTGGATTTATATAATTACTGTAAATGCGTATTGTCATTGATTATGTCCCTGAATTTTTTCAGAATTTTTGTACGTTTTTTGGGTGAAATAGCAACCTATACTTTGAATTTTTCTATTCCTTTTAATAGATAACTATATTTAAACATTTCTATGTCGAGCAGAGCAGTGTATAGAATAGGAAAGCAAATATAAGTCACGAAATAAATGCAAAATTGTGCTATGAGGTGTTATAATCAGAAGTATCAACAGTATTTCCAAAAGCTGCGATGGTGCAGTGTTCTCGAATTTTTTTCTAGAAAATGGGTAGAAATTCGGGGGTATGTATAATAACCAAAAATGATGGTAATTGACCCCCGCAATCGAAAATAATTTTTTTACAATGATCTGAAATTTTTAAATTTCGACGAAAAATTCGTCCACTTATCGAATTTTTTTCTCGAAAGTGGGTAGGATTTCGGGGGTATGTATAATGACCAAAAATGGTTGTAATCGACCCCCGCAATCGAAAATAATTTTTTTAGAATGATTTGAAATTTTTAAATTTTGACGGAAAAATTTCTCCACTTATTGAATTTTTTTCTGGAAAATGCGTAGGATTTCAGGGGTATGTGTAATGATAAAAAATGATTGTAATTGGCCCCTGTAACTGAATATAATTTTTTTAGTTTGATTTGAAGTTTTTTAATTTCGTCTAAAAATTTCACACCTTCTCGAATTTTTTTCTCGAAAGTGGGTAGGATTTTGGGAGAATGTCTATTCAACAAAAATGGTTATAATTGACCCCTGTAACTAAATATAATTTTTTTAGTTTGATTTGAAGTTTTTTAATTTCGTCTAAAAATTTCACACCTCGAATTTTTTTCTCGAAAGTGGGTAGGATTTCGGGGGTATGTGTATTCACCAAAAATGATTCCAATTGAGCCCCGCAACCGAAAATTATTTTTCCAGAACGATTTGAAATTTTTCAATTCAATTGTTAATAACTTTTTAACGAAGTTTCAGTCAAGACATTGATATTCTTGATTTTCTTATTTTAGCCTTTAGGCTATAAGGTAGAGGGTTGAAACTTGGTACAGTATCGTATGTAAAATTTGGTTCAAGGGCGCATTCGACCCTTACTTTACACCCTTCAAAGTGAAAAGTTAAGTTCAAAGTAAAAATTGTTTTTTTCTTTAATCTGAAGCTAAACTCAAAGAAGGGGGATGGATAGGTGTAAATTCAACCGTGCAGTATTGTAAATCGTGCCCAGGTCTAATAAACAATCACCATAGCCATTAATTTTCACAGAAATTTATTTCCATGGACGCGTTCAATTCACATAACGGGGTACGCAGCTGAAATCTCGATCATTTCTTGTCAGCCAGGTTGAACGTCGATCTCGAAGATTTGTTTGCCAGCGCAAAACGCGATTTGCGGCAGGACGGTGGCCATTCTCGTTTTCTTCGCGTGCTTTGGATTCACCAGTCCTACGTCCATGCTATACGTGCCTCCGCTTAAATTTCTGATCATCGCTATGGTCTGTCGAAGCAAAGAGAAGCAATCGTGTCGTTAAAGGCCCAACCAACCGATTCGAGGACTCCTAGTTCATACTTACAGCGTGTGATCGCAAGTCCACCACTCTGAAGAGATTTACATCCGTGCCGCCGCACGCGAGAAACATGTTCGTAATATATTTTCCACAATAGAGCAGAGACGAGTAACTATCGGGTTCTAGGGAAACGAGATGCTTCCCGCTACCATAATCCCACAACTGAATCGGGTTCTGCCTCTGCCAGGCGCAAGACAAGATCTGCAAAATGTGTACATTCGATAGGATCGATTTACCAACTGTAAACGTTGGAACCAGCGCTTGGAACAGTTGTGAGAATCGAACAAAAAAGAAATTTAGTAACTGTTACAGACATATCAGTTCTAGCTAGTGTGTGTGTGTGTAAAGATATTTGTACGGTGGTAAATTTCAACGAGGATATACATATTTTAAAACTTTGTTCATCGGGGGAATAAATGCGCCAGAATAGTTTGATGAACTATGAAGAACCGACAGATCCATAACAGTTGCAAGCATTCTCGCGGATTCTCAGAGCTGTTTCAAGAACCGAAGGCAATATTTTCACTGTTCTCAATTCGAAAGTCCAGTGTATCTCAGCAATTTGTAAAGTTTCATTTAACTTGAACAACGTCTTCAGTTTATTTTATTTTATAATGGAGTACGTTCGATACTGTTTCTACCAAAGGTGTCGAGAGAGACACTAAAATTGTTTAACTTGAAATTCTATTCCAAGTTCGATCTTTCTTTTCCCAACGATTGTGTTTCCACAATGCAAGGTGTGAAGGGGCACCTTTTGGTCGAAATGGGTACGCATAGAATCGCGGTAGAAATAATGTTGATGATTCTACATATTATAGCGTAAATCGCTGGATACCTGAATAATTGCTACAATTGTACAGGCGAAAAGTGTTTCGAGCGACGAAATTGTTTTGGTATGGTGAACACTACGTGGTAGCAAACTTCTTGTTTCAATGGAAACGACGAGGATATTTCAGGACCAGGATCATGTTGTTATATGAAAACCCATGTTTTTTTGTATTTATTTCGTGATAGAAACTGTTAAGGCAAATATAGCGACCTTGAATTTTCGATGTAAAATACCTCTTTCCCATTCCTACTTATGTCGAGTCCGTCGCCGCACATGTGTACACCCGATATGCGTCTAAGTGCATAAGGTTGTCTGGTGTCCCAGAACTGAATCGTGTCGTCCCAACCGCCAGATATCAGCTCGTGTACCGATTTCGGGTTGAAACACGCGCTGAACACTCTCGATCTGTGACCGTCCATGACTTCCAATGACTGGCTAGAATAAAAAGTACATATTTATATATTGGAATTGTCATGATTCAAACCACTATACGTAGATTGTAAGGCCCAAGTGTCGCAAATAGAGTTATTGTGACCGAAGGTGAAACTATTTTAAGGGGAATCATTGGCGATGTTGGAAATATAAATATCGTTAATGATGCTGCGAACAAATTTTAATGGCGGATTCTGGAGACCAAAATAAGACGAAAATCAAGAATACCAATTTGTTGATGGAGACTTCGTTCAAAAGTTATTAACAATTAAATTCAAAAATTTCAAATCGTTCTAAAAAAAATATATTTAGTTACAGGGGTGAATTACAATCATTTTTGGTCATTACACATACTCTCGACATCCTACCCACTTCCGAGAAAAAAAATTGGAAAGGGTCAGAAATTATTGGACAAAACAAAATTGTTCAAATCGTTCTAAAAAAAATATATTTAGTTACAGGGGTTAATTACAATCATTTTTTATCATTACACATACTCTCGAAATCCTACCCATTTTCGAGAAAAAAAATCGAGTATGTGCAGAAATATTTCGACGAAAAAAAATTTTCCAAATCGTTCAAAAAAAAATATATTTAGTTACAGGGGTGAATTACAATCATTTTTGGTCATTACACATACTCTCGAAATCCTACCCAGTTTTGAGAAAAAAAATCGAGTAGGTGCAGAAATTTTTGGACAAAACAAAATTTTTCAAATCGTTCTAAAAAAAATATATTTAGTTACAGGGGTGAATTACAATCATTTTTGGTCATTACACATACTCTCAAAATCCTACCTACTTTCGAGAAAAAAATTCCTTACCGAAAATCTAATTTGGCGCCAAAATGTTTCGACGAGTAAAAAAAGATTTCAAATCATTCTGGAAAAATTATTTTCCGTTGCGGGGGTCGATGACAATCATTTTTGGTCATTACACATACCCCCGAAATCCTACCCACTTTCGAGAAAAAAATTCCTTACCGAAAATCTAATTTGGCGCCAAAATGTTTCGACGAGAAAAAAAGATTTCAAATCATTCTGGAAAAATTATTTTCCGTTGCGGGGGTCGATGACAATCATTTTTGGTTATTAGACATACCCTCGAAATCCTACCCATTTTCGAGAAAAAAATTCAGTACGAGCGGGACATTGAACGTCAGTAACTTTTTAACGAAACCTCCAACGACAAATTGGTACTCTTGATTTTCGTGCTAATCTGGCCTCTAGAATCTCCCGCTAAAATTATGTTGTGAGATGTGGACGAACACCCTGTACAGGACACCGATAAATTAGCTTCTCAACGATTGGAACGAAGTACGGTGAATCGTAGCGAATGAACCTTGCATGAAATACTCTTTCTTGCATCTTGGTTTCCTCGTCGTACAGGTAAATGTTCGCGTCGTCGCCCACGGTGACAAATTTCGGCAGATAATTGTGATAAGCCAAGCCCAGCGTCTGCCTTTTCTCCCGTATCGTGTAGAGGCAGTGCGAGCTCGGATAATGCCAACATTTCACACAACCGTTAGCATCTACGATCGTTCATAATCACGTAACAATCGCCATCAGAGTGTAAATGGAAACGTAGGATCGAGAAAGTCGCTGGTACTAACAGGTCGCGATAAATGTTCGCGTGATCGGATGAGATTTGCGAACTGGTCTGTGTTTGATCGCTGTCGTCGGGCTGGGTTTCTGCATAATCTCAGCATCGCACAATGTTGACACGTCGCTCGCGGTGTTCAATTTATGCAGTTTGACCGTACCATCCGTCAAGCCTGCCACCAAAAAGTCGTGGGTCTCCGTGTAACATATGCAGAGAACATCATCGCCGATGTCTCTGAAACAATATTTATTTGTCGATCGAAGTTTCGAGTACCATTGATTTATCCGGTGTCAGAGCGTCCACGGTGAGAATAACCTTATAAAAAAGTACAAAGTTTACTTTTAGCACTTTTAGCAGCAGAAAATGTGAATGCCCGTCTCCAAACATTATAAAACATATTTTGAGACCCAAGAAATGTTTTATGCAGGGCCTAGATAGGATGTATCTCTATAGCTATGTCTCCAAAACCATTAGGGATACAAAAAAAAATGCCACAGAATTAAATGTACAAACTGTATTTTAAAATGAACGAGTGCAATTGTGTCTTTGTTTCAAATGGAATTCCATAAGTTTTATTCCACTATTCGATGCAGCTTTTTAATCTCTACAAAAGAGCATCCAGGTACTTATGCCCTAAACATAATGATTCTAGAGTTATACCACTGTATGTTGGAATCCAAGTCAAGTGATGCTCCTTTTGTATTATAAGAGTTTATTCATTTACGTTGAACTCATGCTGAACGGAGTAGGACCTTTAGATCTAGTGACTAACGAGCCTTGTGACTAACAGACGATGACGTATAGATACTTGGCCAATTGGTCATCCAACAGTTAAGCCAAAGTTTCTTTTATATTTCATACTTCAAAGTGGTATAATTCTTGAACTATTAAGTTCAGAGCATCGGTGTCTTAATACTTGTTTGTAGAGATTCAAAAACTGCATCGAACTGTACAAGTTAGATTATGAATTTTAGATTATGAAATGGTATAACAGATCTTAAATTAATTGTACAGTTGTTCGCCTTCTACGTAAAAGTAAATTTGCATACAACTGTTTGATGACAGTCACGTTGCCTTCTGTACTAATTCGATCTCCAGCTGCGGATTTAGCACTACCCAACTTGATAGAAGTTTGATCGGTAATCATGGCTCGAGGGAAGGTATGCTGAATTCTTTGACTCGTAAACTCTGTTGGCGACAAGCACAATTAATTAATTGCATTGAATTAAATGAGAAACCATAACTTTTAACAATTATTATCAAATCGAGAATCGAGTCGACAATTTAGTTCGAACAGTAGAGGAGAATCAGAAACTTAGAGATAGCTTCTACCAGAAGTGTGGTATGGAAAGCATGAAAATTCTGCAAAATATATTAAATATTGAAGGTTAGATGAGTTAAACCTGAGAGACATAAGAATTTCGTGTTGAACATGTCTCTTATAATTGAAAATTATACCTTGTATTTATTGTCATTTCGAAAATGCATAAAATGCACTTTTCAATGGTACAAGTAATTATTGGTAATATACATTTCCTATAAAATATTTATTATAAAAGAATAGTAACAAAACAGTATGCTCAATTAGTCAGCTGTAAAAAAAAAAGTATAATTTATGTTATTGAGCATGTTCAAACTGTGTAGAAATTCAAATCAATTCGATTCGATTCGATTCAAATTTGAATAGTAATTGGTAGTAATCTTTTCTACCGGTAGTAGACAAAATATCATAATGTTTATATACGTGACCTAACATTTCTGTATTTATTTATGTACTGTTATAATTATTTTACAATGTACAAGTGCATGAGAGTATTCTTTGATCAATTTTCTACGAATTTTTCATGAGATTCATTAATTGCGCCGCATATTTAGTATATGTACCGACTGGACTGGTACTTTTTACCGTACGAACTTTCGTGGCCCAATCTGACTGCAATACCGACCTGAAAATTTCGAGGTGATTCGAGCGCCCTCTTCTCATGGATGGCGGTCAGTTGAGAAACTATTCACTGAATTAGGTCGATGAGCAGACTGCTGTAGTGTGTCCGTAAATACATTTGAGTTGACTATGGGAGGGATTGAAAAAGGCAATTCGGTGCCCAAACGAAGCTGCCCCTCCATTTACACTTCCTGATGCATAGCCACCCTGTATACGAGTTCTGGCGCTCCGTGCAGCTTCGAGGATTCGAGAAAGAAGGCGAACGTGAGTCTTTCCCCTACTTGTCCTCGTATGCCGAAGATGCAAGTTCGAATTTCAGCTGCGTTGAGAACAAGAAGGGGAAATACACGTGTGCCTTCTTTCTCGAATCCCCGAAGCTACACGAAGCGCCAGAACTCGTACACAAGATGGCTATGCCACTATTAGGGGCTGCAAGTGGCGGGAAAAACAGGATTGCACACATGTATTTACGCACACGCTACAGCTGTTTGCCTATCAAAATAATCCAGCGAATAGTTTCTCAATTGACCGCCAAATCACCTCGGAACTTTCAGGTCGACTATGGAAGTCGAATTTGGTCACGAAAGTCCATAAGACGAGGTAATAAGGTTTACTCGTATAGAATACCTAAGGGATTTTATATTTTAACAATTATGAGTCATAAAGTCGCATTCTGCCGCCCAGTTTTCCTCCGGCTAGGAGTTTGCGAGACATCGCCGCGAGAGTACGCTGGAGTATCCGCTCTCTATATATATCGTGACCAAAGGCGTTCGTCGAGCGCGGGGCGCGGACCAATCAGCGGCCGAGTGCGCGCGGGCTCGAGGTTCCCGAGTTCGTTGGCTGTCAGTCGGTAAGGAGTTACGCGCTACGTAGTATTGTTCGTACGGTGTGAATGATCGTGTGCTCTTCGCCCGCGCGTCCGTTTCGTTTCACGGGGTGATAAACTCGCGATATGAACACTGCAGGAATCGACGCCGTACGCGCGAAAGGTGAACAGTTTCTTGAGTGAGTGTGACTTCGTTCGCGGGGAGAGCCCATCGTTTTAACCTCGCACGAACACGAGAAAGTCCCGGAGGTATCGGTTCAGTGGGACCAATCGACGGGAGCTGTCAGCCTCGCGACACGTCGGTGCACCTGGGGTTGCTTGAATAGAATGTCGACGTCGGTAGCGTCGTCGCCGGTGTCCCGTCAGTGAGCGCCCAGTGTCATCGAAGGGACGGCTCCAGGGTGTGCAGAAGTTTCGCGTAGACAGATCCGAAGGCTAGCGAGGAAAATGGCGGATCTCGAGGCGGTGCTGGCCGACGTCAGCTACCTAATGGCTATGGAGAAGAGTAAGTGCACGCCGGCCGCCCGTGCCAGCAAGAAGATCATCCTGCCCGATCCCAGGTACGTCCATAACCGCGATCTCCCGTCCTTTTTCTTCGTACGGCGTCTCGACGACGGAAACGTTACGAGCGTCGGCGGTTGGTTCCGTTAGACCCGTGTTTGTCGTCAGATATTTGTTTACTGCGACGCATTCTTTCGATACCCAAAAGGTACACGACTCCTAGATTCACGGACACCGATTGCACTTATTTTCAACGAAACTCATCGTGTTGACGGTTGCATTAAAATTTCTCTTTTACCTAGTATATATATATATGTATATTGATATTACGCTGATCGCGTTCAACATAAATTGCCAACAAATAATATTTACGAATTCCGTAAGTTTGAAATACACGGATTCCGTAAATCCAGTGTTAAGAAACTTCTCCAATTCCATTGTATTACGTGCAGGATAGATCCTATTTATAGCCTGGGAAGGCAGTATTGTAAACTCGACGTTACGACGTCTTGGTACTTTCGAAAATAATAATAGCGGTATTTTTTTATACACGGTGTTTGATCTACCTCGTAGAAAAATAATACAATATAAATAACAGTCGATAAACAGCATAAACGGAGACTTGGAAAAATTATAGAAATTGTTATGATCTTGCTCGGTTCGAAATAAGAAGAATCGACAGCTGGTATAACAAACATTTATTAACGCGTTGTTTTGTGTTCAGTTTACAGACGTGTACTTTAACACGATACATCGAACCTCTTGACGCACGATTTAGTTACAACTTTTCGAATGTACACCGTTTGATTTCGTTTAGATTTATTCGTATGTTCAATGGTTGCGAAGAATAACGTGAAAATTGGCGTAAAGAACCAGCGAGTCAGGTGCATCGTTGCACAAGGGATTGAATACAAACGAATACGCCAGTCGATTTGTTTCGATTTCCGTTCGATTTTCTAGGGTTTACGCAGATTGCACGCCACTCGAGGCGATGATCGAATTAGAATTAGGCCCATCGCTTCGCCACAACCACGTTTCCTGCCCCTCCCTTTTTCTGTCTTCCACTCTTCCTCGTCTGCCGCGAGTTCGCTAGCCCAGTCTGTCACTGTTCCTCCGCGCACACGTATCGGCGCTTCGAACCAGGCATGACAGATCGCAGCCCCGCAACGTTTCGAGAATCACTCGTTCCATTTTCTCACGCCGATGCACTCGCGCGTGCATACGGGTTCGGGCATCTTCGAGAAATGAACGCGGAGAACCTCTTGTTCCGGCCTGCTTTGATCGTCTCGCTGAAACTGATACGAAACGAGTCGCCGCGCTTCGGGCAACTTCGGCGATTAAAGAGAGAGAGCGACTGTCTGGTCTGTCCTTGTCGTTCTTATGCAAGTTTTTCATCGCGAATCCAACCCTTTCGCAGATCGTGTTCACCTTTCGTAGGTACACGCGCGAAATTGAATACGATACGATGTCATTTTCTCGTTTATTTTTAAACGTGATCTTTCATTCGTAATTAGCAAATTTGCACTGGAAAGGCTATCGGTAATCTTTGGCGTTAAATATGTATTTTATGGTAATTCTATGACCTTGAAATTACGTGCAATGAAATTTTTATTTCGAAATAATAACTTTACGAAGAAACTTGAAAAGCAAATCTGTAAAACGGTTAAATTCTTTTGTATTATAAAAAATTTTACCTATCCATATTGTAACGATTAAAAAAAACATTTGACCGATTTATAAGTTAAAAGAAATAATACCTATAGATATTTATGTTATGTTATCCTACTAAATTCCTTTTGAAAAAGCGTGGAATCGTACTGGATGAGCTGCGAATAGTAACTAGGTTTATAAATATTCAAGGTTTGATTAGTATTCTTTTGTAACATTAAGCAGATAGTTCGTGCAGCTAAACGAAAACAAATGACTACGTATATACAAAAGTTCTCACTATCCGATTGTAAACAGATGTCTAGACGTGATCAGTTGTTTCTTAGAAACACCGATGAAAGTAAGCAGAAAAAAAAATGTGTCTATAATTATTCACAGCACCGTATAATTTTATATATTTTCCACATACTTTGCGCGTTCACGTTAGTTGTACGCGCATAAATATCCGCAGTCTGCTGGTGAGCATTGCCAGATACCGTTCAGAACGGTGAAACAATGATAGTTATTATCACCGAACACCCATTCTCAAAGGGTTAAAGTTTATTCTCGATTATTAGTTTTGTTAAATTGAATACAAGAAACCCCCTTCTTTTTCAGATCAATTTTAATTACTATCAACAATTTTCAATTTACAAATTAACTAAAGTTTATTAAATTGAATGCAAGAACTTCTTTTCTAAAGGTAAATTTTAATTGCTATTAACTGTTTACAATTTACAAATTAATTAACTATTAATTTCAATATGTTCGATCGTAATAAAAAGTGAAATCATTTCATGGTCAATGACTATTGAATTAATCTTGATCTTGATTAATTGGTACTAATAGCATGATTTTACATCAGTTATAATCTTCAGTTATTAGTTAGATCAGTATGTTGCCCGACTCTGATTTCTAATTAGATACTTAAATCGTTGGAATGGTTTTTTTTTAAACGTTGACTGCCGTGGGGGTCACCGGTGACCGGCGACGCGTAATAAAAAAATTGATGTTGGCGCCATTGGGCAAAGCACGTAAAATGCGCGCGGCAGCCAACGCGTTAAGTGGCTGCAGAATCTGTTGATTCGGTGTTCGATGGAGGAGATTGTTCTAGCTCTGATCTTGACGATAGACTCTTAGCTCGTCGATTCTTGACTGGAACGACTCGTCAAATGTAATCGAACGAATATCGACCGAATATTAACCGATTAGTATTGGGGCAGGTCAATTTTATACCGTTATTTCCATTCTTCTTTACTATGTTACACGTGTCGTTAAATACCGTCACGTTCTGGTGTCAGACTCCGTCACGTATCATTGTTTCGATTTTGTTAGGGTTGCAATCAGGAATATGTACCTTAACACTTTGACTGCCACGTCACCCTTATACGAGTGACAGGATTAACCATTATGATACTAGTAAAATTAATTCTCCAGTTAAGACGTCGAGGAAAATCAATTTGAAACGAATTTTAGATTATGTAGCTTACGACGATATAAAATCGAAATTTTACTTGCGCAGAATATAACACGGTTTCGATCTGGCAGTGAACGTGTTAATCCTTTCTTTGTTGAGATCAAAAAACTGCATCGAACAGTATAATCAAAGTTGTAAAGTTCGTTCTTCGAAAATGTGTAGTCGAATTTTTTAGATGCATCGATGCAACTGCGTTCTTTCCTCAAACGCAGCTGCACTTCTTTAATTGTAAGATGATTCGTAAGTTGATCCCCCTTGGGAGTCGGCGAAGCGTGAAAGACATTTAGAGAACGATTCTTCCCTTTCATTCTACGCTGTTATTTTCTTTGATCGTCGACGGAAGATAAAAGCGACTCGAAGAGACTCGACGATGCGCTGGTCTCAAATTTCGAATGAAAATAAAACGTACAGTTCAAATACTTTTTAAAGTGAACTTCTGTTCGGTTCGAAAGAAACTGCCAGAATCACTAACAGTGATCAAACTCCATTCACGACCGTGATCCGAAAGATGGCGTTTTAGTAATGGTTCGTGTAAACTGTGATCGTTAGTATTTTGTTAACCACCCTCGGTGGAAATTCAAAGAATTACAAACGCGCCAAATTTAAATTGTATAGTATATAGTATAGTCTAAGCAATGAAAAAGGCAGCTCAATTGAATATTTTGTACAGTTCAAATGTCAAATTGTTTCAGTCGTGATTAAAAAGTAGCAGTTCGCGCCATCTCTGGTATATACCCACAGACCCAATCGGTCCTATTCATTGTCCAAATAACCCAAGGGAGTGACACAGCTGCGCCCTCTTGACTCGCGTCTCGAAAAATGAAACGCGATGGTTTTCGTTAATGAAAGAAACCTTTTTCTCTTCTTGAAAGAGACAAACCAACAAAAGATGTTAAGAATCATTGCTATACACAGAAGTCTATATTAGAAATTGGTGAGTTGCGCGTGGATCTGCTGAAACCAAGTATCAAAAATGTCTCTGACTGCGGTTAGGTTAGGTTTCCTGTTGAATGAAGCGCGTAATCGCCCCTCTGTATCACAGGCAACCTGACCACCGCTAAGAACTGGAGACTGACGGGAGCACGTAGATGCAGTTCTATATTATATTAATAAGAAACACCCTGTTGAAATTGAGTCTGGTACGGAAACCCACATTGTGGGATCCACAGGGTGACCCAAATAACATTCGAGCATGAAATTTCGATCAATATTATCGTCTAGTGCCGGTGGGTCTGTTGGAACTACCCCCATGTTGACGCTGCGCGAGTTTGAGACGCAAACGTTCGTTTCGGCGGATGAATCGCGGGAACCGTTCCCACAGGAACGCTTCGATGTTAATCCGCGCGCGTTCACAGATATCTGTTACGAAGGTTGATCGACCGTTCTCGTTTCTAACGATCATTCAACACCCGTCGCTTAAGGGGTAACACTGTAAAAACCTGAAATAAAGTGTTTTTTTGAATGGACGGAAAAGTAAGAGGATAATAATATACATGAATTTTATTAACCTTGCCGTTAAATGTTAAAAAAAAAAAATGGCGACGCTGGAGCCATTCCCGCGAGGCGTATTGACTTTGATTTATCATGACTGGTTTCAATAAAAATTATCTACAATCATTGTCCGTAAATCTAGTGTCAATAGAACGGCGTTGAACCAGATGCTTTGTAATCGATGCAATTCGATCGCGATAAGATGGATCGTATTCCGGGGAGTTTTTCGACGAACGTCGAAGGATTACGCGCCTTCTGGCGTAAACGTTGATCGATACTCCACGTCGATTATAATGTACCAATGTTTACATTGCTGGTGTTATTTTCGACTCGTAAAACACGGACGTTGCGGAGGTACGCCGTGAAAATAAGTCGACGCGATAGCAGGCATCCTTTTTGTTGGCAATTCGCCAGCGAACCAGTCGAAATTTCACGTTGCCGTTGGTTAAGGCAATTCGACTCGCAAAATACACAAGAAAAAAAATCCATCATCGAGACTCGTGACACCCATAGTTAGAATAGATTTCTAATAGCATACGACCAAGGGATTTACTGTAAGAACGCTGTTGTTTTAAGCTTTAAAAACTTTTGAATTTTTAAATTTCGTTTGAATTTTGAAAGTTTAATGCGAAATTAAAATGCACGCATGGGAAAGATGACGCGGTCGAAAAATAATTCCTAATGAAACGTTCGAGGTAAATTTACAGGCGTCTTTTTTTTTTTTTATTCCGAGCGCGTTCAGGCCAGCGCGCGCTTACGAAATCATACTATTCGCGGGGAAAATTTAAATATTTAGAGAACGTCGAAAGCTTTTCCAGCAGTAAAAACGATACTGGTTTTCGTTTGGCAACGTTTAGACTCGCTGGAAGATAATTATTTTGATGTTTCGCCATCCAACCAAAAAATGTTTTTAAAAAAAAGTTGCGCCCCTCTTGTTGCAATTATTATTGGCAATTATATTAATTATTGGGTATAGCTGAGAAAATCCGATACCGGAAATAAGAAATTAAGGGGGTAGTTTCGTGCGAGACGTACACACCAGACTACCCCTTTAAGGAAATGATCTCGCAAACGTAGAGGTTATGAAAGGTCGTTGAAGACTGGTCAAAACTTTGGATTAAAAGGTATCGTTGAAGCGTCGTCTCCTTGACCGTTTTTGCCCGGGAGTAGATGTATCTCTCAGGGGTTTTAGCGGGACCTTTTGTACCATCACAGACGATACGACCACGCGACTAGATGAGGTCGGGCGTGTGTGGGGGTGGTAAGCGGTATGGACGAAGGAAAATTTAAATTTTTCAGTCTCCTTTCCGTACTTCTATGCATTATTTATATCTCAATTTTCACCGCTGCAGAAATGTGAGCATTGCGTCTCTGGAATACATATATTAACCAGTTAACTGTTTCTGACGAGTATACTCGTCACGAAAAAAGTGCAAAATTTTGTGCTATGACGAGTATACTCGTCACGAAAAGAATCTAAAATTTTGTGCTATGACGAGTATACTCGTCATAAAAATGTGCAAAATTTGTGGTCATGACGAGTATACTCGTCACGAAAAGAATGTAAAATTTTGTGCCATGGCGAGTATACTCGTCATAAAAAAGTGCAAAATTTTGTGCTTTGACGAGTATACTCGTCATGAAAAAAGTTTAAAATTTTGTGTCATGACGAGTATACTCGTCATAAAAAAAGTGCCAAATTTGTGGTTATGACGAGTATACTCGTCATGGAAAAAGTGCCAAATTTGTGCTTTGACGAGTATACTCGTCATGAAAAAAGTTTAAAATTTCATGTTACGACGAATATATTCGTCATGAGTAATAAGTTGTGACACGTAATTTAAAGTGCAATTTTAACGAAAACTAAAATATATTCGTAAACTTGAAGAAACAAAAGGAAGAAACAATATAAATAATTAATATAGTATGAATTATTTTTCGTAACTGCGTCGTTGTCTTTTATTAGTCATCACAGAAGCAATTACTATGCAATAAGTGGCGCGCCTGGTAATAAAAAACGGGAATTACACATGCTCTGTGTTTGACGAGTATACTCGTCATCGCTAAATTTGCGCGACGCAATTTAGACACGCGTTTTCCAAAGAGGTCGAAACAGTTAACTGCTTAACTGTTTTTACATTAACACGAACCTGACGACGTCGCGAATTGATTTCCTAAAAAAATTTAGCGAGCTAATAAAACTGCTTCTATGGTGAAAAAGGCCGTAAGCATGTTCGCATCAATCGAGGAAATTAATCCCGGAAGCGAACGACCCTGTCTCGCCTCAGCAATTTGTTCTTCCTTCTCGTTTTTTAACCTCCCGTCAGTCACGATGTTTTAAGGGGCAACGAACTTACACTCGTGATATTAAGTCGCCTGGATTTATGGTGTTTACTTCCATCGGTTTTTTCGCCCCAACAACCGATACACGTACATGTGTAAAATCTGATCAATGTTTTTCTTTTTCTTCTTCTTTCTTTTAAACTTAATTAAACGTCGGTAAACAACGAATTAAAACTGAATTTTATTTATCGGGGTTGTTCTTCGTCGCTAACTTGATTTTCTTCTTTTTGTTTCAGGTATGTCACAGAACCTTACAGCCAATTTCCAAAGAAATTTCGCATCACAGGTATTTATCATAATCACTCCTAACGAAGAAGTACAATAATCGTGCGCTGGTTGAAATTTTTCATGTATATGGGAGTCGGGAAAAAATATCGTAACTTCTGAGCTAGTCGACGAGACGTGTACGAAAACTTTTGTTTAAAAAAAATCGAATCGACGCGGTGTATATTTGTGAAATTTTTGGCGGGGCGTGTGGGTGCGTGGTTTGTGGTCGACATAAACTGAAAATGAACGACCTTCCGCTACGCGTTCGAAACGCTTCACGGCGAATTATACCGCACGCAATTCACGATTGTACGCGGTGTATTTACGGTTGCTCACGCGATAACAATTTCGTACGAAAAGCAAATTATGCTAGCCACGAATAATCAGAGTTAGGCAAGAGACCAGTAATTGTACAGAGAACTGGATCCCGGTTCAGTCGGTTGTTATGTATACTCCCGTCCATAAGTCACCGGACCAAGATACGCCGAGAATAAGAAATGATTCAATCGATATAGAAATGCATAATTCAGTTAATACAACATTTATAGGTGTGGACTTTCTGTAATCATTGATAATTTCACTGCCGTTGTTTGTATAACTTCCAACTTTTCTTTTTGTTTTATTGTTCCTTTAGTTTCTTATGTGTTTCAAATGAGTCGGTAACGGTCCGCGGAACAGTAGCGACATCTGTTCGAAAATGGCACAATGAGCGGAATAGCCATTGGCCAATGGCATTCGGTCGGAAACGGTACGCGGATTGACGTGATGGAGGGTCAGGAAACGAATTTCATCGACGCCCAGCCGTCTTATGTACGATCGAGGAAGAAAACGAGTTCGTTCAGCATCCAGCCATCTCGTTTCAAGTCTGAAAGGGAAACGAGCCTCGACAATGCCCAGAAATCTCGTATAAAGTCGAAAACAACGAGACAGATGCGTAATTATCGTGCGGTCCGCCATATTGTTTTTGAGTGTTTCGAGTGAAAGTGGCGCTGACGACGTCGTGTCTAAGAACTAATCAATTAAATCGTACGTGATCGTACATTTTCAATACTTTTCGTATTATTTGATTATATATTCGAATAATAGGTGATAGTCGTTATAATTGAAAGATCATAAACAATAAAAGTGAAGTACCCATGAGATAACATTCTGTCAATAGTTGCACGATGTTCAATAATTAAAGTTGGTTGTCACTATGAATGAAAACTTACGGAGTCGATTCTTTTTATATTACCTATTTTGACGTAGTAGATGTTTCTTTATTGTTAGAGTTTAATTGATACAATTGCATATTTCTTTCTGTTGCAGTGTCAGAAGCGTTATGCACAAGTATCTGGAAAAACAGAAGGAAGTTAACTTCGATAAAATATTCAATCAAATGTTTGGTGAGAAATTTTCAAGTATACCTTGCTCTTGTTTAACCCCTTGGCGCGCGATTTAATTACGAGTAGTTTTTTCAAATATATATCATTTAATTTTATTGATTTTAATATAATTAGAGTCAGATTTGTCATTGCACGACGAGGGTTTAATGACACGAAAACGTATCGAGAAATTACGTTAATTCGAATCGACAAGAAAACATCGCAAATTGAGTTAACGGATTTTAATAATATTGCAGAAACGATAAGGACAAAATAAGAATTTGCTGATTCGTATCGACCGTTACAGAATATATTATAATTCCAACAAAACGAGTCTCGAGCGTTTCAAGCTCTCCCTTACCGAGCAAGAAAAATAAAAATACTCCGCTTTGAAAACGAAGGAAATTTCACAGTAGCAAGGAAAAATCAGTGTCCGTGATGAATTTTTCTTGCACTTTTATCGCACAGACTATTTCTCGTTCCTCTATGTATAGTTGATCTGTAAATATCTCGGCTTTTTAAGTGTATTTATAGCCCTCGCAACAGTAGCCTCTGATGGAAAAGAAAATTGAAAATCAATTTTGTAACGCTCGCCAAACTGTGCGCTAATTAACCGACAAAACGCGTTTATTTTCATTTATTCAGGTGGTAAATTCCGCTCATCGATCTACGAAACATAGAATCGCACTAATTCTGTTGATTGGACGCTTAAGGAATCTTGATTTTTCTTGCTAATATTTAAATTATTGGGGGAAAAAAATTTTGTTTAATATTCGTATGTTTCAAGCTTGGACATGGTTGAAATAAAACATGGGAAATGTGATCGTTAAAATAGATGTTAATTGAAATGATCTGATTCGTATTTAAATTTAATAATTTTATTTAAACGGTAAAACGATTCTTCTTTAGAATATCGTCCCGATCGATTCTACGTTTTATAACAATGAAAAGCGTATGTGTGTTTAATGACATCTTCATCCTTAATTACGCTTTGTTTTTGTTCCGACTGTGTCTCTGTGTAGTGGTGCCAGGTCTTGAATTTGTACTCCGCTCCTCTGCTCTTAATTAGAGAACGTAGACGTCAAACGAAGCAATTCGGTGTGCCATAAATTCTTCGTTCAACGGTTTAAACAAAAACTTTCTTTCGAATGTCTAACTGTAACGCGATCGAGGGGTCTTAAAACGTGTAATTTTTATCGATGAAAAATGAAGTTGACCTTGAGCTCTCCCCTACGCCTTCGCCCCCCCAAAAAAAGAAGAAGAACTAACGCTAGTATAATACGCTTATGCTGCACAACTCTATGTCTAAAAATAGCGGAGATATTTCAGGTGGAAAAAGTCTCTGCCCCACCCCTGTACACGTGTATAGAGTGGCGTATTTAAGATAGGTCACCTGGATAACTTGTTTATTCTTAAAGGTAGAAAAGAATGTTCCAAGTAGAGATTTCATTTTATGGGATACGCGGAGACGATGACGTTGCAACGGTTCCAACTGTGAACGCCAAGAACATTTCAAGGTTATCAGTATTTGTAGAACTGGAACTATACGGAAAGGCCCATTTAAGTCGATCTACTCGAATATCATCGAAACAGTTAACGATACGAAAAATCGTTTTGGACAAAAGTCGAACGTGGAAGGTTAAAAATATTTTCATAATAAAGCGATTAAATACAATAAAAATTTCAATCGGTATAAGTTTATAAAAAGGATTATTTATACTGTAATTGAACACGATTCTTGATAGTACGTTCTTCCCAAAGATTTCTAAATATTTAAATTCAATTTTCTCGAAAACGGAACCTCCTCCCACGCAATTTCGTTATTCTTGATTTTCGTCTTATTCTGAGTCATAGAATCTACCTAACACGCATGAATTACGATTCACTCTGTATATGTATTCTCGAAGAATTGTAGATCATGTCATTGGAGAACGATCGATTGAAATGTACATTCTTTTTTCTCTCATTTTGTACTTTCAGGTTACCTCTTATTCAAAGACTTTTGCGAGAACGTGGCAGAAGAACCGATCACGCAGCTTAGGTTTTACGAAGAGGTTTGTGTCGAAACCCGTACACGCATTAGTTAACGCTTCGATGGCCGCACGTTTCACGCATAGACTTTATTCGTCAAACAAAAATAATGTACCGAATTAGACGTACAACTCACCCCGATTGTTAAACGGTTCATTTGATAAGAATAGAGAAAATTTGTACCTCGATAAACACACAATAAATTGAATGGATGTGCGAAACAGCGAAATCACGTACGCGTGACAGCGGCCGTCAAAGCGTTAGGCTCTGTTGGCGCGTTATCTTGATCGAGAATGTCTCGTTTATGCGTTGTAGATCAAGGCGTACGAGAAGCTCGAATGTCCGGAAGAAAGGAGAAAACTTGCCAGAGAAATCTATGACAATTTCATCATGAAGGAGCTGCTAGCGCACACTCACGTGAGTAAATTTCATCGAGAATTCTTGGTATTCTGCTAAGCAAATTTGTTGGTTACTCTGTAGGTAAACGGCACGAAAGATTTAGCGAAATAGAAAGCTTTCCTCCACACTGTACACACAGGATATTTAGCCTACCCGTGGAAGAAAATTTAAGGACTGATTCTAGACACCAAAGCAAGACGAAAATCAAGGATAACGAAATTGCGGTCTTTCTTTCATAGTCATAAGCGTTCAACAAGCTGATTATAAAATGTAAAAGTCGGAAAAAATGGCCCACTTTTAGTTTGTGTCTTAGGAAACGCTAGAGTCGATGTTTTTCAATTTATCTTTCATTCTCATAATTAGAGTCATAACTGAAATCGATTACTTGGATGACGAATACGTATTTGCCGTTGATCGGTGTTATTTTGATCATTTATAAAGGCGGAAGTGGTGCTGCAAAGAATCGAGAGACTGAAAATTAAAATACGTTGATGTTTGAAACACGACGACCTTCAAAATACATCCACGTGAACGCGCGTAGGCGAATGTTCGTTAAGAAGAAGAAAAGCCTTAAATCTTCTTCCTTTTTATCTCTTAACGCGCGAGAGAGCGCTAAAAATCTTTTCTGAATCATAAAAAGCCACATAAAAGCTTGAACCCCTCGCAATCATCCTCTTCATGAATGTTTGACTAAGGTTTAGAATAGGTCTTTTCATAATATACGAGGGTTTCTAATCTCCGGCCTTCGACGTCTTTTGAAGGGGGGAACTATATACTTCCGTGGCTTTTTTCACGCTACTTCTTGCCCCGTTTGGCTCGCACCTAATTTTAGCTTCGCGTTCAATCGCTCTTCGCTCACAATTTTGTTTTCGATACGGGAAAAGAGCCTTTTTCATTTGTACCGGTAACAAATTACGCGGGAATAAAACTGGCGAATTATAAAACAGTTGGGCCGATTCAAATCATATTGGCGGGAATCTTAAACGACTATAAAGGATTTTGCTAGTAAAAACATTATTAGCTTGTTTGAAACCATCAATTTTACTTCCAAAAGACTGTATTATCGTACAGAATTAAGAATTCAACTTTTATAAATATTAGAGGCAAAAAATTAATTGTTTCTTAAACCATTTAAACACATTTTTTCGAACGAAGAGAAATGGTTAATCTCTTCACGCCCTTTTTTTTTATATAATTATAGTTACTGTTAAAAATCGTCCCTGACGAGGTTAATCTGCTAAACGTTTTCGTTTTAGGAATACTCGGCGGAAGCAGTGTCCCACGTTCACAATTATCTCGTGAAAAATGACGTTCCGGTTAATTTATTTGAGGTTGGTTCCCCGCTATTCGATATCCCTTAACTTTAGTAAGATTAACGACTCTGATTGATCCACGTCGATTACCTTTGCAGCCGTATATCGAAGAAATTTTTATTCACCTAAGGGGGGAGCCATTCAAGAAATTCTTGGAGAGGTATGTTCCCATCTAACGAAAGAAAGACGAATCTGCAGCTCGCCTTTCTGTGGCTTGGAAAAAATTCTTAAGAAAATCCTGTTGTATATTTTCAGCGAGAAGTACACTCGTTTTTGTCAATGGAAGAACTTAGAGTTAAATATGCAGGTAAATTTATAACGTTTTGCTTGCCGTAATCGTTCGCTGTCGCGGAGTTAACATTAAATTCTCTTTACGCAAACAACGGACACGTTTCAAGTGTAATAATAACGAACGTGTACGAACCAATCTGTATAAAATTTCTTGCAATTAACCATTGTTGCAGTTGACAATGAACGACTTCAGTGTGCATCGGATAATAGGCAGAGGTGGTTTCGGGGAGGTTTACGGCTGTCGGAAAGCAGACACAGGAAAAATGTACGCTATGAAGTGCCTCGACAAGAAGCGTATAAAAATGAAACAAGGCGAAACTTTAGCGCTCAACGAAAGGATAATGCTTTCGGCAGTCAGTACTGGAGTAAGCTTTACTTATGAATGCAAAAGTTATCCTAAAATTCTTGTAGATTATACAGATCACAAAACAGTACAGCTCGATCTTGTGATTAAGTTCCGTACAAGTTGTACTGGGAGGTTTCTCAACTATTTGAACAAACTTATAGGTGTTCTTCGACTAACGAAGAATAGTTAGAACAGGGAAAGTGTTCAAAGCGAGTAAAAAAATAAGCTTTGCAATGGTATAGCGTCATTATTCATCCATCATCCCAGAATACGCTAATAAAGTTTGATCGAGTCAATTTAGGGTCACCGTGTACATTTATATATTATTATTGCATAGAATATTACAAGTTTGCCCCTTCGTACAAGTAGTGTTCAAAGTAATTTCACTATATTAGTAAAATTCAGAAGAGCGCATATTAAAATTACTACTTTCACAAATTCGACAATTGTATTAATATTTATTAGGAAGAAAAGTTAAAATCGAAGGCAATCGAACCTTTGAAACAGCTCTAAAACCCTTGTTTGGACTTAACTTTTCGTTTAATTGTAAAGCTTTCCCACAGAGGATTGGAGGTTCATTTTAAGAGCAATATTGCTGCGTAGAATCATAAGTAAGCTGCTATTGTCAGCTTGTCGAAATATTACAATCACTGTTACATGGTTTTCAGGTGGATTGTCCGTTCATAGTGTGTATGACATACGCCTTCCAAACGCCGGACAAGCTGTGCTTCATTCTGGATCTGATGAACGGCGGCGATCTTCACTATCATTTAAATCAACACGGTGTGTTCAACGAGCGGGAAATGAAGTTCTACGCGGCAGAAGTGATATTAGGACTAGAACATATGCATCGCAGGTATATCGTTTACCGAGACCTGAAGCCCGCGAATATACTCCTGGACGAGCACGGCCACGTCAGGATATCGGATCTAGGACTGGCCTGCGAATTCTCGAAAAAGAAACCACACGCGAGTGTGTAAGTATGATCCAACGAGATTGCGTCACGATCCTACCGAGTGTGAGAAAATTATGCGTCAGGGATAGAGAAGGTTCTGAAAATAACTGTTTGAAACTGTTGTACATGTAAAAATAGACGTTTTAATATTTTACCTTGAAATGATTTTCGAAGTTCAATCGGTTGACATTTTGAGTTTATGGCTACGCCCTTGGTTAGGTGTGCGATCGACTGATCCGGTCATCATCGGGCCAATGGCCAAAACTGTAAACAACTCGATCTCCTGTTAGGTCAAAGGCCTTCGCGAGCGTTTCTAACAAAAAGCAACGTCGACGACCGCGACGGATGCATGCCGTCGGCTCGGGTCTCTGACCGATATTGGAAGAGACTCCAAGTGTGTGTGAGTAGGTGTGTGTATGTGTGGGGGCGTCTAGCGTTTCGGCAGGTAAGCCAATATGGCTAATTGCTTCCACTTCCAATCTTCCGGAACGCTACGCGCCAGAAAGATTTTTCAAATGTTTTCGATTCTAGAATTCAATCTCCATTTCGACTAAATCGTACTCGTAAAGGATTGAAGATACCTAGAAAGCGTACCGTTGAATTTAAAATTGAAAATTTATATTTTTCGAGACCCTCGAGACTCATTGGAATTTTTCTCTTTTAATGGGACCGCATATATTTTCATCGAGACAAAGAACAGTGAACGAAGTTTATTTAAAATCCGATCGAATATTGAAAGCGAGAAGAAATAAATATATTCGTGTTCCAGGGGAACCCACGGATACATGGCGCCGGAAGTGCTCTCGAAAGGAGTGACCTACGATTCCAGTGCCGATTGGTTCTCGTTTGGCTGTATGTTGCACAAACTGTTGAAGGGGCACAGTCCATTCAGGCAACATAAAACTAAAGATAAACACGAAATAGATCACATGACATTAACCAAGGTATGTATCGTTGTGTCTTTAGCTACTTGTTACGTTTCTTCTAATAATAATCTCTCTACATTAATAGTATACTTTGAAATACCTGGTTAAAATATAATATAATTATTTAAATTATCATCAAACTATCAGTAGTTCTTCATAATTTAGAAAAATATTGCATTGTAATAAAATAACGGTACTAAATAAAAAATAATTATATTGTTACCCTGTGCACATAAAATAGACCTTTGAAGGTGGAAGCTATTCAAAAAAAAAATATTAGATTAATAGCGTTTCGGTTTCGTTTTTTGCACAGTGGTAATATTAATCAGCAGATGTAATTTCAGAACGTCGAGCTGCCAGAAACGTTTTCGCGAGAGCTCCGTTCGTTGCTGGAAGGTTTGCTGCAACGAGACATCAACAACAGACACGGCTGCCGGGGCGGCGGAGCCGACGAGCTGAAGGAACATCCGTTTTTTAGTGGTATCGATTGGCAACAAGTTTATCTCCAGAAATACACGCCGCCGCTTATACCGCCGCGCGGCGAAGTAAACGCCGCGGACGCGTTCGATATCGGCTCCTTTGACGAGGAGGACACAAAGGGTATCAAACTGACAGACGTGGATCAAGACCTCTACAAAAATTTCCCTCTGACCATCTCTGAAAGGTGGCAGGCCGAGGTGGCCGAGACTGTATTCGAGACAATCAATAACGAAGCGGACAAGGTACGGATCGTTGACTGGGTTTCAAGTCATTTTTCGGCCACCCAAGGGGCCATTCGCAAATTATGTCACACACTTGGCTGATTTAGGGAACAGGGTTCTGAGGAAAGTGATATTATTCTGCTTTAAAGAGAAGGCTGGTCTAATATTAGACTTCAGCAATTTGCTAACCGCCCCCCCCACACTCGGTTAATGTATTAAATTTAATCATTATCTCTCGGTCGTTTTCTCTTGCAGTTGGAAAACAAAAAGAAAGCGAAGCAAAAGCAACGGTTCGACACGGACGAGAAAGGTGAATAAATTGTTACTTAATTTTTTGATACTAGATTTACGGAACCCATCAATTTGGTACCAAATTTGGTAACCCCCCTATAACACGGTAGATGAGTTACTGGAAAATGCCGTGTTGTGTGAAACCGTGTTACATGAGATCCAGAGCCAACAAATATTTCTTTTTAATTCTACACGAGCAACTTAATTTTTATGAAAAATATTAATGTATGTGTAACACTTCGCGTCGTTATTTTAAGATCATTTAGTTTTTAAATATGTTAAGCAAAAATCATGTTATAAGATGCCGTGTTGTAGGAGGGCTACCTGTATTTAAAATTATAGAACGGATAAATATTATTTATAATACATGTCGAATTTAATTGATATAGTGATAACGAATTATACCTCTCAGGAAACGCTTATCAAACACTCAGTGTCTGTAAATCTAGTGTTAATCGTATAATATAAAACGAAGGAAGACATTCTGATAGAAATTATTCGTTGCAGGATCAGACTGCATTTTACACGGTTACATTAAGAAATTAGGTGGTCCCTTTGCTAGCGCGTGGCAGACGCGTTATGCAAAACTTTACCCTAACCGATTGGAATTGCACCCAGAGTCCTCGGTGAAGCCCGAACTCGTGTTTCTTGATCAGGTAAATAAATCGAATTCATCGATGTTTGTTTGAATCTGTTATCTGCACACCCCTGATGATGTTTTTTTATTAAATAAATTCTGTTAAAGATAAACGAACCTCTACGGAGGAGAAGAAATAAAATTGAAACAAAACATTAACTTAAAGACCCCTTGTTCGAATTTCCCCCCGTAATATAAACTAATTATTCGTTATAAATTTTTCTCTAACGCTATACGTAAACTTTCAGGTGGAGGAGGTCAGCGCGGAGCTCCAGCACGTGAAAGGAGAACAGTGTATTGTCGTCCGTACGAGAGACGTGAAAATAGTACTTACAAATCCCGTAAGTAAATCTTTGCTGTGCTTTTGCAAACAGAATTCGTAGATAATTCTTGTGAGAAACTATCAGGTCGAGTCATAAGTAACTTCCGGTGCAGCCGAGTAGAATCTATTGTTCGTATCTACCCCGCTATGAGTCACCGTGACAACGAGTTTTTGTTTTCGTTGACGCATGCGTAGAAAGGAATCCCACGAGGGAAAATTCTAGCGCGCATGTCCATCACTGGCTTGGATGGTCAGTTTTACCACATCCACCGTAGTCCATGGACCTTGCCCTGACAGACTATCACCTTTTCTTTAACTTACAAAACTTTTTCAATGGAAAAACATTGAATTCTGTAGAGCAAGTCAGGCAGCAGGCTGTCGAAAACTTCTTCCAGTCCAAACCAACCACATTTTACAAGATAATACTGTTGAATACATAATAAATTAATAGAATTTTGTTATTTAATGAGAGCAAAATAAAAAAACGGAAGTTACTTATGACTCGACCTAATAGCAGCGAGTCATCGACTGGTACCTATAAACTAAAATGTTAATTGTATTGCAAAAGCGTAAGAAAACAAGTTTGCAGAAAAGCTTGATTTGCAAAGAACGGAATATGACGTGTAAAATAATTAATTTATAGCGGAGAATCTGTGTTCCTCGCAGATGATCTGCTCAGCCGGTTTCCGATGTGTCCCCCATTGATGTTTAATTATTCTTGCAGGATGAAATTAGTCTGAAGGAGTGGGCATTGTCGCTGAGGTCCGCGCACAAATGTTCGATGGAAATAGTGGGCAATATGGCGAAGAAGGCCGGGAAAATCTACGGGACTGAACGGGACGCGGTGATCCCGCCGATGCAGCGCTCCACGAACGGCAACTAGTCCATTGCTAATGTAAATAATAAGTAATATAAATAATAAACCTGCACGCCGGCGTCATACTCCAAGTCCCACTGCCCCTCAGCAGCAACAAGTTTTTTTATACTGAAAAAAATCAACGCTGGGATCACAGAAGACAATTGTCACGGCGAGGACGGCGATCGGGAGGTGGCTTCCTGCGGCCGGAATCGGAAGTTATCTGGGTCTCGGAACAACTCCAAAGAAAAAACAAACACCCTTTGAAAATGGCGGGTAGCGTCGCTCTGTATAGAGACTTCTAGGATGTAGTGTCGTGCGAACCGCCACGACGTTATATTTGTACGCGTTTAGCTGTATGTGCAATGTGACGTAGGAACTAGAAAACTGAACAATGTCCATCGATACACACCCACACACACACACTCACGAAACTCGAGATCTGCACACGCACGAGAACACAGAGAGACATACACACACACGCGCGCGCGCGGAATAACACGGAGGACACATGGAAACAAAAAACAATACAAAACCAAGTAGTGTATTATTGTTATATTAATACGAGGTATGACCTGGTCCCGATTATACTTCTACACCGATTCTATACCACTCGTTTACTTAATTTATTTACTAATACAGAACGATTTTATATTGTCGTTACGTAACAGTAACACACGTGCGCAAAAACTCGTTTATTTATTGTGTTGGAAAAGAGATGGGGAAAGAAGAGACGCTCGAACGGTTTGCACATTTGTCGGCAGCCAACGTGGACCGTTGTAATAATTGTGTACGCTCGAGTAGGTAAAGTGAGTTCGATCCGGCAATAAAATTGTGCGACGAACGCAACATCTTGTATACATTTTCTTCATTTTACTCGATCCTATGTCCAAAATTGGAGAATCGGTAAAACGATGTTGAACGAATAATGTTTATTTTGCAGCTAAGAGTGACTGTATTTAGTGTCGAAAAGTTTTTACAGTTTTAGTACTTTTAACAAGAGATATTGTTTATTAAAAAAGTTCATTCATATTCTGCCATAGTCGACGAAAAATTCACTGGTAAGTTTGAAGACATTTTCTGCCGTGTTTCGAGTATCTTTGCAAACGTGTTCTCGTAGATGATGATCGTGTTAAGTACTTGTACAAAATTTGTTGAATTTGTTTACAAGGTTTCCCGAAGATCTAAATGGCAATTGTTTCTGTGGGGAAAGAAGACACGAAAACGAGAATCCGAGTAGATTGTGCATAACTGTGTCAAATGTTTGGCAGAATTTCGTGACGAGAATCGATGAATGTTCACAGGTACGCCAACGCCACTTTGAGCATTTAATAAAAACGACTTCCAACTTTAAACTTACTAGTTTTAAAAAATGTTTGTAACCCACATGTTTCCAGCCCATACGCTATATTACTGTATACTATAATTATTTTCCCAATTGTTTAACCACCCTGGACTAGCAACAAAATTCACTTCGATTTTCATGTCTTTGTGAATTTCCATTGCTTTCGCTTCAATAAAAATTTTTGTATAAGTCGCAGCAACTACTTATACACGTTGCATGAGGAATGCCATATGATTTTAACAATGGCCAGTGGCTCACCCCCAGCCCCCTCACATATACATATCATGTCAGAAGTTGTTAACAAAGGACACTGGTGGTCAACAGGGACCAGCAGAGGGATGCAGAGGCAAGCAGTAACAAGTTGTAATCGTTATTGTACATTTTGTAAACCTACATTGTAGAGGAAGAAAATGAAACGACATATGGGAATAATCGTAATAAAATGAATGCAAATTTCGGTATGATTCATGTCGATACGTACGGTTGCCATGACGGCGACATGCAAACGTTTTCTTTCGATACACCGTAATATACTGATTTGTCTTAAGAACTTCTTCTTTAAGAAATTATTATTGATCCTTGAAAGAATCCTGGTACATCAGCCATGGACAACGAAGGATAACGCAGGACAGTCGATGTAATTTTTACAAAAAAAGAAATCACGTTTAATTTACAGCTTAATTGACTTCACCTTAAGTTTACGCATTGAAACGATAAGTTTGTAAATCAACCCTCTAGAATAGGTTCACGAGGCTCACGTCCAGGTTCTTTTAAATTAGGATACAACTTAGCTTTAAGATTATCGCTATTAAGTCTTCCGTGAAAGTCCGGCTTCTTCTCTTTAGGCGCGCTTCGCTGCAACCAAACATCTAACAAACTCTTGGGAGCGTAAAGACTACCTTTGAGGAGTTGCTTTCCGAGAGATATCGACGTGCTGGGTGGTGGTGACATCGGTGAATCGGTAGTTGCTCTTATTACACTGGCTCGGGCAGTTCCATCTTCTTTTCCAAAACTGTAAAAGAATAACTCTCAGAAAAAGAGTCGCATTTATGTCGAAAGACCAATTACTTGCAACTTTCAATTTGTAATTCTACAGAAGTGAACGCGACAATTTTACTGATACTTGTGATACACTTTATGACAAGATACCTCGAACATCCCTGAGACTCAAATATCCTGCACTTACCCATCTAATTCGCGTAATGCCTGGTCCAATTCAACCTTGTCCTTATCGTCTTTGCTCCGTACTTCAAGAAGGCAAGTGAGAACTTCGGAATGCGCTGCAGAGTTGTTGGCATGATGCTTGAGATACGTTTCCAGTTCTCCCCACAAAAGTCTATAGTGTTCTTCCCTGCGTACACCACCTTTACCACCGCGTCCACCGCCTATACTTGGCAGAGGTAGTGGCTCGTGTTTTGCCTCCAATTGCAACAAACTAAAAATCACTTGCTTGCACTGTACAACTTCCTCTGCAGTGAGTTCCTCTTTCACCATTAAATCGGGCAGTGGATCTATCAACTTTGATCAAAAATATTTCGTTGGCCTTTTACGATCACATTTAAATATGTCGATTAATATTAAATTCGATTACTTTTAAACATCTACCTGTTTCAAATTAAACATGAGAGTACTGGAAATAGTAATTGGCCAATACTTCGTGTGCCTCTCTAATCTCGATCTCATTTTCTCTGCCGGGCCGTCGCTGATATTATTTATACTCCGTTTCAAAGGCACCAAAACATTATTTCGCATAAGTCTTCCAAAATCCTATAACGAACAACGTGACAGTATCTATGATCCAAGGTGATGGTCATTTAAATCTGATATTCTTACAGTTATTCTGTAATCGGTGACACGGCCACCGCAGCCCTCGCTGATAGAAGGTGGATCCTCTAATACGCTCCTAGCGGTGGACAATGTGTGTATAAAAATTTCACCACCATGCGCGGCAAGCAAATGAGAAATAGTTTTGCCACCGCTTCTCCTAGCCATTTCGAGCATCACCGATCTACCGTTTAAGAGGAAATTGATCAAACAGGACGAAGGTCTGCTATTTACATCTACCGGCGTGATTCTGTGCATGGCTGTGCAATTTTGCATCTCAGCCGCGCTGCATCCCCGCGGCGTGCACCATTTCAGAGTCACTGTTTCATACTCCGAGCCCTCTTCGAATCTTCTGAACGTCTTTATCAAAGCTGAATCTTGTGGATTCCCTAAAAAAATACATTTGCAATGTTGTTTCTTCTTTTAACTCGCTGTAACAACAAGGGAACCTTTTAAAATCGCCGAATGCGCGGCCGATGAGTGAAATATCTCGACGTCGTAATTTGCGGAGGAACTGGCGTTCTGTTCTTCTTTCATTGGTATACCAGTCACGGTTGTGCTCGCCAAATCGTAATGAGACAAGATCAAGTGGGATAATTTCGAATGTAAAGCGGGTGCTTTGATCGAGTGTACTTCCACCGTTAACAGCGGAGAAACCTAAAACGTAGTCGATTATTTCCTATATAGAATCGATTAAACATCATGATGAGAATAAGTGAATAAAGTACCTCTCGCGGTCCCTGACTAGTAACCTGCGACTCGATATTGTTAGGAAAAATGTTCAGTATAACCAAGTGGCAATAATCTACAGGCATCAAACTGAAATAGAGAAGAGAAATACGTTATAAAATTAATGGCCTTGTAACTTTATAAGAGATTATACAAGGATATTAACTGATCCGAAGCTAATGCAGTTTTATTCTCTTGAGCCAGTTCGTTCAGAAATATATTTTCCAAGCTTTTCATATTGCTGTTATCTCGTGCACTGGTGATGCATATTACTCTGCCTCTGTTAACAAGTTTACTAGTATTTTCATTTAATGATGTTCTCTTTTCATGCTGAATTTCCGAACACTCGTTCAACGTCTCTATAGCGACCCTTAATCCGTGTATCACGGAGTAATCCTCTCCAGGTTCCGGAGTCTTTGTCGGTACTCCCAATATGGCTGTGCCATTCATTATCTAAAAGCACGTTAGTCACAAATATTATCTTACGATGAAGAAGTATTAATTTCAGAGTCTATTAAAACTTACATGATTTAAATTTTGCTGCGACGGACTCCATGAGTTTAATACATAGGCAGCACGGTCGGTTACCACGAACCTTATCTACGATCAAGTTAATTAGTTTACTTTGTTCAAAAGACAATAATTGGGTATAACTGTAAAATCACAATACCAATTTTCCAACTGGAAATAGGTCCCATACTATGCGGCAGTATTCTAAAGAGGCCTCTACGCTGGTAGTCCAAAGGGACTTGCAAACAGGTGCCAAAGGAATTAAGTTCTGACCGCGACTCTTCAGAAAATCAAATTCCAGCGGGCATTCCGTGGATATTCCAAAGTACGGTGTATGGTCCAAAACGAAAATAGTCTTATGGTTTGCAGGATACATTCTTCTACACCATTTTAAAAAACACCGTCTTCTTTCTCAAATATAATGTAACTATTTATTGCACATTTCTGTAAAGGTGGATAGTCCTCGCGAGGGTCACATATTATAGGTTATGACAGCAGATATTTCGACATTACCGATATTACGTTTTTACAGTTATAACGATCGAATGGATACTATATACGTAAAAGAGCAATTAACACGCTACAATGAATTTTTACGATACTGTGTTAAGTTTATTTCAGAGATTTGTCTGCAGTGCCTTCTGTTAACATTCAAAATTCCCCGGTGGAATTTCGACACACTTCCGCTATATATGTATATAATTTTCTATTTTCTCATTAATTTAAATTGTACTTCTTTATAGCAAATATTTCGAGATCTTTGGTTTCGGTTTTGCAATATCGAAGGTTTATATTACAAAATAAATATTAGTTTCATTCACGTTTTGTCAAGCAACATTATGTGTAACGCGTATGCACGCATAACTTCCTTTCCGCTTGGAAGTCTCCTAGTGGCATTGATAACGTAAGCTTCTTGTAATATTTTCCTTTATTTACAATCTGTATTTATCGGTTTGGTAAAATATTTGTTGATCAAAGAATGCAGACTATTCTGGGCTTGAAAATGATATGAAAATTTATATGAATAGTTAGCAGTTGCAATAGATTAGTATTAATCAAGTTGGTCGACGCACGTGGCATTCTTTTAACAATATTTTACTTGTAGTAACGTTGATTCAATATCACGATTAATATTTTAAAAGTTACTCATTTAAAGGATTGTATATTTTACTATTTATCTCACAAATTTTGCTTTTTTTTAAGTGGACTATTTATTTCAGGTTATAAAGAGAGGTTACATGACCAGTAATAATTGGATTTCAATACGTTTCAAATACAATTCGAAATTTAAAAAAAACCGTTGAAAGTCTCGATAATCTTGGAAATTTCCAAAATTTTTTATCCTTCTGTAAATTCTCGAATCGATTCAAAACGTATTAAATTAATGTTGTTTGATACAATATTTTATATTAATATGTATGTTTAGGTTATTCGTAAGTCAACCACAACGTTAAAATGTCAGGAGGTCTAGATGTATTGACCCTCAAAGAGGATGATGTTACCAAAATGTTAGCTGCGTTTACGCATTTGGGTGCAGAGAATATTAATTTCCAAATGGAACAATACGTGTACAAGAAGAAAAATGATGGTAAGAGTTAGCTGTAATCAAACGTTTTTTACATTTACTGACATGTATATATTCTTTTTTCTTTCTTAATTTAGGTGTTAGCATTATTAATCTGCGTCACACGTGGGAGAAACTGTTACTAGCAGCTCGTGCCATTGTCGCTATCGAACATCCCAGCGAAGTTTTTGTCATCAGTTGCCGTCAGACTGGCCAGAGAGCTGTTTTAAAATTTGCACAGCATACCGGTGCCACGCCCATTGCCGGTCGTTTCACACCCGGTGCCTTTACCAATCAAATTCAGGTTGTAGTCGCTATAATAAAAGTTACAGTAGTGTCCGCTTAACTGTTACTTCTCAAAATTCAATGGAGATAAGGAAAGAGGATAAGTGCACCTGAAAAAATATATACAATTGGTGGGAATAACCGCGGACACTTAAGTGGGCACTACTGTATATACACGTGACCCTCCTTTTATATGATGAACAACTATTTTCCATAATTTATATTTGTTGGTTTATTTTGGCTTAATCTTTTCTGATTTAAACAATGCAATGAACATTCTCGCGCATTGTAAAGTTACTGTACATTAATTTTGGTAATTACTTTCAGTCTGCTTTCCGTGAACCACGTCTATTGATCGTTACCGATCCATCCACCGATCACCAGCCTATCACCGAGGCCAGCTACGTGAACATTCCAGTTATTGCTTTTTGTAACACGGACTCGCCTCTTCGCTTCGTCGATATCGCCATTCCCTGCAACACAAAGAGTCTCCATTGCGTTGGACTCATGTGGTGGTTACTGGCGAGGGAGGTACTTCGACTGAGAGGTTCTATCGCCCGTGAAAGTAAATGGGACGTTGTCGTTGACTTGTTCTTCTACAGAGATCCAGAAGAGGTTCGTGCTATCGATATAAATTCGATCAGATTCGTTCTGTCCTTATTTTTTTTTCACATGATGAGAAAAGTTAGTATCCAGAAAAATGTTTGTTGACTATGTTTAATTATGGCTTAATCTTTTCTGAAGTTGTCCCCAGAAAAGTATTTAAATTTATTTCACCCGTTCCAAATAATAATGCGATTTTTTTTCTCTCGTTCTCGTAGGCTGAGAAAGAAGAACAAGCGGCCAAGGAAATCGCGCCAGTCAAAGAGTTCACAGGACCGGTCGAGGTTCCGATCGCTGCAGAACCTGGTTGGGCCAATGACGTTGAGACAACAGGTGCGATTACCACTGAAAATTGGGCGGACGACGTTGCAACGCCAACTGCAGCCGCTGTTCCAGCTGCTACTGCTGCCCCAGCTTTCCAGGCAAGCGGCGATTGGGCCGCTCAGGTAAACACGAATTCTGTAACTGGTTATTAACAAACTAACTAGCGCTAAAAACGATTAACTTTATTTCATTCCGCATAGCCATCGGAGGAATGGACTACAACTGCTCCAGCCACTACCAACCAGAGCTGGGGAGGTGCTACGACAGAAAATTGGTAATTTTATCTTCTTCGAGGATTTCATACACTGACACACTTTGTGTAATGAAACTAATAAAGTGATTGAAAATTTTTACTAATCCTTATTTTTTTCTTTCAAATCAAGCGTCCCTTCAAAAATAATTATGTGATAATAAATGTGATACTTGCAGGAGTATGCACAGAGTTTTAGGTATCCGTAAATTTCAATGAAATGCATTCACTACTGTAGGAGTTAAGGAATAACTTTTCGAATATTCTTTACCAAAATACGCGTTGTTTCCATTTCGAAACATTAGGATCCTTCGATCTGTTACGAGAATCAAAACTAATCTAGCGAAGAAGTTCTATGTTTGCTATAACCAGAAGTGCCAGAAAAGCATCGACGGTGCCCTACGCACACATGCCAGATCACGCGTACGTGTGCTCGTGGAGTTTCGGCAAGTCGACAAAGGCAAACTGACACATGCCCTCTTTCTCGATTCTCCGAAGCTGCCCGAAGTAATTTCGGACCATCTCGTGGGAGTCGAGAGAGGAAGGCTCACATTTGTCTTCTCGTTCTTGAACAACTGACATTCGACCTCACGTCAACGGCATACGATTCCAAGTCTCGAATGCCCAGGAATTTTATACTTTACTATAACCCTTTTTACCTGAAGTATAAGGTAATAAGTACCATGTATAAGGTACGACTACATGTACTTTTGAATTTTCCTACAGTCCTCCGCCGGCCTCTACTGACTGCTGCTGACCATTCCTCATACTTCTGACAACATATATCGATTACTACGTATTACTGCTTGCTCCTGCTGGTCTCTACATTCCTCTACATGCCCCTGCTGGCCTCTACTGGCCTCTGCCTCCCTCCGCTCGCCTTTGCTGACCGCTGTTGACCACTCCTGATACTTCCGACAACGTATAACAATTACTACGAGTTACTGCTTGGTCCTGCTGGTCTCTACATGCCTCTACATGCCTCTACATCCCTCTGCTGGCCTCTGCTGGCCACTGCTGACCACTCCTGACCACTCCTGATACTTCCGACAACGTATAACGATTACTATGTGTTACTGCTTGCTCCTGCTGGTCTCTACATGCCTCTACATCCCACTGCTGGCCTCTGCTGGCCTCTGCTGGCCTCTGCTGGCCTCTGCTGGCCTCTGCCTCCCTCCGCTCGCCTTTGCTGACCGCTGTTGACCACTTCTGATACTTCCGACAACGTATAACAATTACTACGAGTTACTGCTTGGTCCTGCTGGTCTCTACATGCCTCTACATGCCTCTACATACCTCTACATGCCTCTACATGCCTCTACATCCCTCTGCTGACCGCTGCTGACCACTCCTGATACTTCCGACAACGTATAACGATTACTACGTGTTACTGCTTGCCCCTGCTGGTCTCTACATGCCTCTACATCCCTCTGCTGGTCCCTGCTGGTGTCTGCTGACCGCTGCTGACCACTCCTGATACTTCCGAGAACGTATAACAATTGCTACGTGTTACTGCTTGCTCCTGCTGGTCTCTACATGCCTCTACATGCCTCTACATGCCTCTACATCCCTCTGTTGGCTTCTGCTGGCCTCTGCTGGCCTCTGCTGGCCTCTGCTGGTCCCTGCTGGTCCCTGCTGACCACTGCTGACCTTTATTGACAACTTCTGCCATGATATACATGTATTAAAACATTATAATGTAAATCTATGACAATAAATGATATAATTTCAAAGAATTCTATGTGTTCTCATCATTTTTACCTTTCTTTTCCTCTCGAAATCATTCCCATAGTTATAAGATACCTGCCACCTCTTCCCATATCATGTCCTCCTGATAACAAAGTCTAAAACGAAAAATTTCTAAGTTCCTCGAAAAGTTTTGAGGGGTCCCGTTTAAATTTTTGAAAGTCCTGAAACAATTGGAAAGTCCTGAAACAACGAACAATTCCTGGCAGCTGGAAAGTCCTGAAACAGCTGAGAAAGCCTGAAACAGCTAGGAAAGCCTGAAACAGCGAAAAAGCCCTGAAACAACGAACAATTCCTGGCAGCTGGAAAGACCTGAAACAGCTGAGAAAGCCTGAAACAGCTAGGAAAGCCTGAAACAGCGAAAAATCCCTGAAACAACGAACAATTCCTGGCAGCTGGAAAGACCTGAAACAGCTGAGAAAGCCTGAAACGGCTAGGAAAGCCTGAAACAGCGAAAAAGTCCTGAAACAACGAACAATTCCTGGCAGCTGGGAAAGCCTGAAACAACGAAAAAGTCCTGGAATTTCTTGGAAACGCCGAAAATTCTTGGAAACCGTGAATTTTTAGCATAGTTCTGAGTTTTGAGGACATCCGAGGTGTTTCCGGACTTCCTAGTGGGTTCAGGGAAACCAAGGAGTTTCAGGGAGTCTTATAACTAAGGTAATGATTTGGAGAGGTAAAGTAAGGTAAAAAATGATGAGAAGACATAGAATTCTTTGTAATTATATCATTTATTGCCATAGATTTACATTATACAAAGTTTCAATACATATACATCATGTTAGAAGTTGATAACAAGGGTCAGCAGTGGTCAGCAGGGGTCAGGGGGGTCAGGGGGGTCAGCAGTGGTCAGCAGTGGTCGGCAGGGGCGAGCAGAGGGATGTAGAGGCATGTAGAGACCAGCAGGAGCAAGCAGTAACACGTAGTAATTGTTATACGTTGTCGGAAGTATCAGGAGTGGTCAGCAGCGGTCAGCAGAGGCCAGCAGGGACCAGCAGAGGACAGCAGAGGCCAGCAGAGGGATGTAGAGGCTTGTAGAGGCTTGTAGAGACCAGCAGGAGCAAGCAGTAACACGTAGTAACCGTTATACGTTGGCGGAAGTATCAGGAGTGGTCAGCAGCGGTCAGCAGGGGCTAGCAGGGGCCAGCAGAGGCCAGCAGAGGGATGTAGAGGCTTGTAGAGGCTTGTAGAGGCATGTAGAGACATGTAGAGACCAGCAGGAGCAAGCAGTAACACCTAGTAATCGTTATACGTTGTCGGAAGTAACAGGAGTGGTCAGCAACGGCCAGTGGAGGCCAGCGGAGGCAGACAGAAGTCATTAGTAATCGTTGTGCGTTGTCAGAAATATAAGCGGTGGTCAGGAGAGGCCAGCAGAGACTGGGAGAGGCTAGCAGTAGTCAGTCGTAAACGTTATACGTTGATAGAAGTAACAGGAGTGGTCAGCAGCGGTCGGTAGAGGCCAGCGGAGGTTGGCAGAAGTCAGTAGTAATCGTTGTACGTTAACAGAAATATAAGCCGTGGTCAGCAGAGGCCAGCAAAAGCCCGTAGAGGCCGGGAGACGTTGGCAGTAGCCCTTAGTAATCGTTATACGTTGTCAGAAATACCAGGAAAGGTCAGCAGCGGTCGGCAGAGGCCAGCGGAGGACTGTAGGAAAATTCAAAAGTACATGTAGTCGTACCTTATACTTCGGGTAAAAAGGGGTATAACTAGGTAAAACAGTTTTATGACATTACCTGCTAAGTTAAGTTAGCCACCATTAAAGGCACGTCGAGATCAGCAATGGTCAGCAGAGGTCAACGGGGGTTGGCAGAAGTCAGTCGTAATTGTTATAAGTTGTCAGAAATATAAGCGGAGGTCAGGAGAGGCCAGCAGAGGCTGGGAGAGGCTGACAGTAATCAGTAGTAATCGTTATACGTTATCGAAAGTAACGGGAGTGGTCAGCAGTGGTCAGCAGGGGGCAGCAGAGGCAGGCAGAAGTCCGCACATGCTGGCAGAGGTTAGCAGAGACCAGCAGAAGCCAGCAGAGACTGCGAGAGGCTGGCAGTAGTCAGTAGTAATGGTTATACGTTGCCAGATATATTAGAAGTGACATCTGAAATGATATACGTATGTACGCTCATACATAGGAATAATAAAAGAAAAGTTCTTTTTGTTCAATAATTCAAATATGATCAGGGGGTCTTAAAACGTGTATTTCCGTATCAAAATGTCACCTAATTTCTTTTTCATTATAGTACTTTGCTTATGTACGTTTACATAGGTTGGAAAGTAAAAAATACCTGGCCAGTCGAGACTTGGAATCGTATGCCGTTGACGTGAGGTTGAATTTCAGTCGTTCAAGAGCGAGAAGACTAATGTGAGCCTTTCTCTCTCGACTCCCACGAGACGGTCCGAACTTACTTCGGGCAGCTTCGGAGAATCGAGAAAGAGGGCATGCGTCAGTTTGCCTTTGTCGACTTTCCGAAACTCCACGAGCTCACGTACGCGTATCTGGCATGTGTGCGTGTGCACCCGGCGGTGCTTTTCTGGCATCTCTGGCTATAACCTATGCAAGGCGGATTGCAGCCAATTTGCTAATATTATTTAGTTTTTAATTAATAATTGCATCACCCGGCTGAGAGTGATACGATTATTAATTAAACGCTAGATAATATTACCCAGGTCTCACCACGTGGAGGTTGCTGCAAATGGAGACCCACCCTAACCAAATCCCAACCATCCTCCATTAATACAGATTTGTACAAAGAAAAACAAATTTGATCCTGACCTAACCTGCTGTTATTCGACCGTATCATTCGATATCATTACACCGACCATCGACTTCAATTTTAACGTGTATTTACAGAATGATGATAAAGTAATCCCGTATAATATTAAATTTTACGAGGCATCTCGAGAGTAACCGATAGGGTTATACAGGGCAAACTAATAATTGTCTCTGATAGTTCGTGTAGATACTTTCTTTGAAAGTGAAAACTGAGTTTAAGACCCTTAGTCTTTTCTCTTTCGCTTGCTATTCCCCTGTATCCACTTAACACTACTTCCGTTCGAAGTGTGGTTATGTTACACGAATGTTTACGCGGTTGCCAAGGAGACCCTACTATCTGAAAACCCCGACACGGGTGACGTCACGATCTATCCGACAGTATTCCAAATTCTAACATAGGTCGAACTCCCTTTTTTTCTTACATCGTGCATGATAAAAAAAAGGCTCGCTGTTCGTCGAACGAACGTAACCTAATTCGAATTTTGATTGGTTTGCAACGTAACTTTTGAACCGAACCGTAATCCGAACATTTGAAATGTTAAAATACGTTAATGCTTGAAAACTAATGTTGGACGTAGACAGGATTGTTAATCTTGTCCTATCAGTCGAACAGATCCATAAATTACAAACGTACGTTCACGCGATCCTGATTCGTATGATATACAATCGGTGAAAATCCTTAAATTGCTTACAGTCGAGTCAGACAAATCCACCAGTTATGACGGATGATCGCTGTGAGTTGTGCTTATACTTACGTTTATGTTTTTTAGTTTTCATGTCTCTCAACGTAATATTCCCGCAATGTTATAAATTTGTTTACAGAAATGTTTACAATACGTTTAGTGAAAGTTTAATGTTATTAAAATTTTCATTCAGGCATTCTCGGTTGTTACTGGTTTAGTGTCGATACTTGTTATTAACGTGATGTTTATTTAAAAAAAAAAAAATTGCAATACTAGTCTATGACATCTAACTATGGGGAACAAACAATCGTGGTAACTCGATTAAAAAAAAGAATATTATTTCTTTTAAATCTTGAATCTCTAAAAATAAAAATTTCGTAAACTAAATTAAACTAATTGTCGATTGTAAAAATTTGAAAATAAATCAATCTACTCATAGTTGGATATTATGTTCTTGTTTAGATTAAATTATAAAGATTGTATTTCTTTTCCTTCTAGCGTCGGGTGCTTTAACAGCAGAGGTCTTAAATGAATTACGTACAACATTTTACGAAACTAGCCGCTTCACCTTGGCACAAAATGTATGTACGAGGACCAATCCCATAGAGGCTTGTATCTCACGAAAAGTATTGGAAGAGTCTCAACATGTCTTCACCCACAAGATCGAAACGGAAGGAAAGCCAATAACGAATCAAAAGAATTCCGGGCGGTGTTGGATATTTTCAATTTTAAACGTTATAAGAACTGCCTTTATGAAGCAATACAATTTGGACGAATTTGAATTTAGCGAAGCTTATCTATTTTTCTGGGACAAGGTTAATATATATTGTCGATATTTTATGTATAAAGCTTAACCATTTTATGTAGATTGATATGTTGATTGTTTTGTAGGTTGAACGGTGCAACTATTTTTTACATAATATTGTAAAAAGCGCGGAACGGAAGGAACCGGTGGATGGTCGCTTGGTATCGTTTCTGTTACACGACCCGGTTTGCGACGGCGGACAATGGGACATGATCGTTAATCTTATAAATAAATATGGTCTTGTCCCGAAAGTCTGCTTTCCAGAATCGTACAGTTGCGAATCCAGTTCCCGTATGAACGGTATCCTGCAAAGTAAACTAAGGGAATACTCTAAAGATTTAAGAGATTTGGTAGCAGAGTCAGCGTCCGATTATAGATTAGAATCTGAGATCAGGGACCAGATGAATATAATTTATCGAATTATTGGAATCTGTTTGGGCATACCTTCGGAGACTATCACGTGGGAATATTACGATAAATCAAAGAATTACAATTGCGTTGGTCCAATCACACCGGTGGAATTTTACGAGAAACACGTGAAACCATATTATAATGTAAATGATAAAGTATGCTTGGTAACAGATCCGAGACGATCCAATCCGTTTGATAAACTTTACACGATAGATTGTTTAGGGAATGTAGTAGGTGGAAAACTCACGTTGTACAATAATCAACCAGCCGCGATATTAATGGATTTATGCGCGGAGAGTATAAAACAAAACGAGCCCGTGTGGTTTGGATGCGACGTGAGCAAAAGATTAGTAGGCAAACAAGGTATAGAGGACATGAACGCCTACGATTTTGGTCTGATGTTTGGAACGGATGTACATGTTAATCTTTCGAAAGGAGATAGATTACTTTACGGAGATTCTATGATGGTCCACGCGATGGTATTCACGGCTGTTTCGATCGATGTAAGCTGACAAGTTCTACGAAAGAATCTCGGTGCTCGAGATGTATTGAAATCCCTTTTTATTTTTCAGAAGGATGGCAACATTAAAAAATTCCGGGTGGAAAATTCTTGGGGAGAAGATCATGGACAGAAAGGATATCAATTGTTGACCGCTGAATGGTTCTCTGAATTCGTGTTCGAGGCAGTTATCGATAAAAAATTAGTACCTGCGGATATTTTGTCTGTATTTAAACAAGAACCCATTATTTTGCCCGCGTGGGACCCGATGGGTACTCTTGCTCACTGATAGTAGCCGGAACCCTTTAATGTTTAAAGATGAAGATTTTTAATGAGTAATGTATGCATAAAACACTCAGGATTGAACATAAAATAATAAAATTTTAAGCATTCTGGTATAATAAAGTACAACAAATTAAATATTTTATATAACGATCCTGTCGCGATTCGTGTACGTATATTACGTTTCAAAAGTAACGAACACTTTTTTGATAAATCGACATTCATCTTGGGTGCAACAATTTCGAGTTACAAAACCACCGAACTGCGTATTTAAATTTGGAAAAAAATAATATTTTTCGTTTTTCATTTGTCCAACGTCTCCGTTCATTAATTCCTTTTTCTTTTTTTTACTGATCCAGTCACTAGAATCCAGTGCATGCGTATCGAATGAGTTTTCAAAGTTAATTTTTTATACATACGCATAAATATATGTGGAGTAAATTAAACATAGAATTGAATTTAACTTCTTCACGTTACTGGCAGACGTGAAAAGTTGGCGACCGTCATTTTTTGTAATCTAAATTATACGTGCAACAGGAAGCTTGCTACTGTTTACTCTAGTGACTTTTTTTTATCATTAATTGTCTATTAAATTGTAATAAGAAATATATATTGTGTTCTTAATATCAAATATGCGTGTATTGATTCATTTTCCTACCAACAACTCTATGCAAATATGTATATTGTTTATTTTAGTTTTTCAAACCGCAACCGGATATTAAAACAGTCGAAATATCTTCAAATCGAACTTGTATTTGGAGAACTTCTCATATTTATCAATTTCACGAAAATATTTATTCGAGACGTATATTTACTAATCGTAAATTTTGCTCTGAATTAGACAAAGTTCGGATATTTTAGAAAAACGATTCGTTTGGATTAAATATCTTCTACTTTCGAAGTAACATCGATGCATGTTTAACGTCGAATATCAAACTTATCGTTTGGTCTATTGGATAACTGTCGTGCAACGATTTAATAAATAAAACGAAATTATAAATATATAAATATTTAATAAAATAAAAAAACAGGTTAGCTTTTGCTCCTTGGAAATTTATATTCGCATTTTGTACGAGAACCGTTTCGAATTGGAAATAATTTCTATTCGTTCGTTTCGTTTCTATAAGGATGTCGTAAAATAGTATTTAAATTACGCTTTATGAGAAAAGAAAAGGCTTGCCCGAAGAATAAATTCGAAAAAGGTATGAAGAAATGTTGTCTATTTTAGCGCCCTCTTATAATCGATTTTACCCTTCTACTAGAGCATTCTAGGATTTAATGTTCACTGTATATATCTGATTTGACAACATGGTTATCCAGAAACATCACTATAAAACTGCAATGACAAAGCTTTCGGCGTAAAAATAAACCAAAATATTCGTGCTGAACATGTTTATAAAACGTTCGAAGGAGAAAAAGGGATAGTTTTAGTCGATGCTGACTCGACGTTAAAGTATAATTCCATAAATATACATGCACGTTTAAACTGCGTCACAAATAATGTTATCGATTAATTTTTTAAGAACCTCCGAGTCAGTAAGCAAACGATCGAATAGCGTTAACAAAAGTGTGGATAATATAGAATTATTAATGAGGTTCTCATTTTTTATTGTGATTTTTATCATAACAACGCATTTACTGTCGTCGGCCAGCGGAATCGAGATATTGGGAAACCCGTATAAAATACTAGGTGTCCACAAACGTGCGACCTTACAAGAAATTCGAAAGGCATATAAAAATCTTGTCAAAGAATGGTATGTATCGAACATGTCGTTACAATGTATTTTATACCAGGGAAGCGAATTATTTTGGTCTAAATTTTCTCTGCAACGCGATCAAATTATATCATTATTATTGTTAATAACGATATAATAACGAAGCGTTACAAACTGTTTTCTTATTCTTTTTTTTTTAAACCAGATAACGCAGGCATTCTGATCCTTTCGTTGGCAACAAGATTTTTTAGATCGTATAGTCGCAGAGTCGAGGCAAAAAATATAAAATTAATCTCTATATTTCTAATTTGTGTTGTTTCTTTAGGCATCCTGATAAAACCGATCATCCCGGCGCGGAAAATAAATTTGTAGAAATTACCAAAGCATACGAGGTACGATCTTGTCAAGAAATGTAAAACGTAAATTACAATTTGTTTGTACAGTTACAGTTTACTTGCGTAGATATTAACCGACCCGGAGAGAAGGCAAAAATTTGATAATCATGGCATCACGGAGGAAAGTATTCCTAGGCAACGAAGGGATAGCAGTCGCTTTAACGTCCTCGATCCATTGGAAGAATTGTTCGGCGGAAACTTCAAGTTTCATTACCAAACTCGAGATATTTCTCTCTTCTATAAGATGAGCATCACTTATAGGTTTTGTATAGTTTGCGTAAAAAGAAATCTGTCCTGTTATAACTAGATATTTTAAACGTAAATATATTCTCGTTTTGCAGATCGTTTGAAAATGTAATAATACCAAAAACTTATCGCACGCCTTATTTAATATTGTTTTATTCGGACTGGTGTTTTGCGTGTTTGCAAGTAGAACCAACGTGGCGACGCTTGGTCGACGAATTAGAGCCGTTGGGTCTCGGTTTAGCAACCGCGCACGCTGAAAAAGAAACTGCTTTGGCAAGAAGACTGGGTATTCATTCTCTACCATGTCTTGTCGTTAGCATAGATGGTCGTACTAGTGTCTATAAGGAGTCTCTTTTCAGTATTCAAAAAATCGTTGGTGCGTATCTGTATTCGGTATACTAATTACAAATACGAAACTCTCGTCCCATAACATAACGAATCTAGATGGTCCCTTATTTTTCAGACTTTTTGCGAAGCAAGTTTCCATACAAATTGATACCTAATATAAATAAAAATAACGTAGACAATTTTCTCTCAGGATGGATAGATAATCGAATTCGAGCTTTAATATTTGATAGGAAAGAATCTATACGATTACGTTATTTATTTATTGCGTTTTATTATAGAGATCGTGTTGCATTTGGTTTTGTCCAGGTAACGCTTCTAATATTATTGGGATCATCTCATCTCTCTCGATAACTTGCAATTTCTTCTCCGTAGACTGAGAAACCGGAAACGGAATCTATCGTAACAAAGTATAAAATCTCCGTGGACTTGGACACGTTGTTATTGTTTAACGAAAATTCTGAGAAACCTATGGCGTCCGTTAGCATGAAAGATATATCCAGCGATACGATGCACAATGTTATTTCGAATAATAAATTCCTTGCTCTGCCAAGACTTTCGAACCAGGCAATGTTGGATTCCGTTTGCCCGCCCGAATGGCTAAGACCTCAGAAACGGTTATGCGCGGTGTTGATATCGCAACAAAACAATCCTCTCCATGACTTGGCCAGACATAAATTTAGACAAGCAGCTTTGGAGTCTTCTTACGGGTAACATCGGTTTAGAAATTTATTCGATACGTTTTCAATATCGTACAAACATTTTGACGAAAGTTTCGTTTCTAGCACCGAACGAGTCAGGTATACGTATGTATTCAAAGACACACAACCGGAATTTGTGTCAGCGTTGTCAACGGGAGAGGGCAGCCCCTTGGAACCTTTGTTACATATTGTTATCATTTGGAGAAGGGATGCAAATCATCTGAAATACGAATGGTTACCTACTGGTTGGATCGAGGCTGCCCAGGACGAAGGTCAGTGGAACGAAACGCGTCACAACTTGGAACAAACTATACAAAGATTATTGCGAGCTTCGGAAGCTTTGCCATACGCTGCGGTTGTAGGAGAGTTAGCGGACGAACATGCACAGGTACATACGTGTATTCCGTATCTCACGGACAATCGAGCGAAATAAAATATTTAATTTTTGAATTTTCCGCTTGGCCAGGGTACTGTAGACAAACTTATTGGCAAGGCATTGTTAGCTGTAGATTATATATCGGATAGTCTTACTAAAGAGCAAATTTTACCCTTAGTATCGGTAATTGCTACTTTAATGTTAATTGGTGCTGCAGGATATGGAATGTCGTATCTGGTGTAAGTAAAAGTTTTAAACCTACTTTTCTACGCGCGATAGATTTCCTAAAATGACCGTTTCATTGTAGAAAATTAGAGGAAGCAAGTGTTCAAGCCGAACGTGCTCAATGCAAGGATAATGGTAAATCGTTGTCGTCGCAGCCACAATTACGATTACACGAACTACGCGCAGAGAATTACAACGGCTTGGTACGACTATTAAAACCAGGCTGTAGAACCATTATATTATTAGTTGATGCTCAAAGTAGACTAAAATTATTACCGGCTTTCCATAAAGCTGTGTGGCCTTATAGGTGGGTCGTAATTTTCTTTCTTTCCTTTTTTTCTTATTGTTTCAAACGAATAATTAATCTCGTTGCAGGAAAAATAAGACCCTTATGTTTGGACTCATGTCTCTCGAGAGAGGGCTAGATTGGTATAAGAAACTATTATCCCTCACCCTGTCGGAACAAAAAGAATTAAATATAAATGCCAAAAATTGTGTTGGCACTGTACTGTCTTTAAACGGACACCGCAAATATTTTTGTATGTATCACGCCAAACATCCAGAATGTAGTAAAGGCAAAGGTTCTAAGGTGTGTGTACCCAAAGTATTTATTCGCATTATTTATCGCGCGGATATTATTATTTTTAACGAACCTTTTTCGCGTACAGCGAATGGAACGAATGACGAAGCAGCTAACTCGAAGAGCGGACGATGCAGAAGTAGGTGCATTTATTGGTTTCGACAGTTCAAACGAATCTGATCTTTCCGAAGACGAGGTATGACGAATTTCCGTAACGTAACATTTATTTAAGGCGTCGCAAATAATACGACAATTTATCCAATTGATTTTTAAATCACGAGGATTTTGAACAGAGCTACAGAAAATGACTCCTTTTACAGAGCGGGCACAATATTTTGTATCAGGATAATCTTTTAGACGGTTTACCGATGTGGTTGGATAGATTATTTGAAGGTTTAACGCATCGTTATTATGTAAATTATTGGCCCGAGTTCACTGCCAAATAATTGAAAACCGTTTACGCATTACGATAATGTGTATACATTTTGCAATAGAGAAATGGATCCAACTAGTCAACATATATTATTTAGAAATCCTACAATTTAAGAGATACATCTTTTACCTTTTGTTGCAAAGTCAAGACATATTCATTGTATATGAGGCATTATTTATAAATTCACTCGCGATCTTTTGCATACATAGATTTATAGATGTTCCATGAATTTACAATCGAAGATTTCGTATAAACGTAATCGTAGCCGATGAACTTCTTCTAGATTTAAACATTGTATTATTTTCCTTCGTTTCTATGCGTAATGATAATCTTCGGAATTTTCAAATATTACCTTAAATAATTCTAGTCAATGCCATTAAAGACATAACAGTATTTATATTCAGGGCCGGCTTTTCGGGAAAGAGACATTTTTCAAATTGATCTAAACACGATTATCGTACCCGTTTCATCCAGGTTAAAAAATAGACTGAATTTAGAAATAAAGATCCAAGAGAAGAACTAGAATCCTAATCAAATGTACTTCGAGCCAAGATGGCGTATCATTTAACTTTGCTCGATGATTCGTTCAACGAGAGGGGCCGGGCTTTCTAATTTAAAAACAAGGAAAGTCAATTTTTATAAAGACTGTGCCTATGCATGATGTAATCCGTGTTTATTCTATTACATTGCTTTAAATTCGAAAACTCGGGTTTCGTTTGCAATTTCTACCGGAAGTTATAAAAGGGGGCACCTAAATTGGAAGTTGTTTCGAAGCGCTAATAAATTTAGCGCCGGCTCTGTTTATATTACATGTTTAAATATTAGCCACTGTGTATTTATATAATGTCAAATATTCCCTTTATTTTCATTTCTTTTGATATAATCTATGGTATATTATTACTTTTATAGCATTGTGTAACAAGAATCTTATCTTTCCATTACATACGAAGTTTGATAAGAACTGTACCCGACTGTACATCGTAAACTTTTCTTTTTTTATATGATTTAAAATATCTTTTAGAAATACTCCTTTCTATACAGTAGAATATTCGAACAAAATTTTTAGCCAATTACCTGATTTCACTACTATTACCACTTCTGATCGACTTATGTTCTAACGCTTTTTTCCCTTTATTGCAATTTTGTCAGTCGTGAAATTCTTTTTAATAGGAAATTTACAAAAAGATTAGCATAGTCAACGTAGCATTTTGTTATCAAACTTGGGTGTATATTACGTTAAAATTTAAGACCACATTTTTAACTCCCGTTGATAGATATTTATATCGTCTTACACATTTTTTTAACATTGCATTTTCATTCATCTTGGAGACCGGCAACAAACGTATTTGTACATCTATCGATTCGTTAACGCGTTCTAAACGAGAATTCATAATTAACAATAATAAAAAAATAATAATAATAATAAAAAAAAATAATAATAATAATATTGCTTTATACAGCTCGTACGCAGATTAAAAGTAATAAATACTTTATAGTTGATCGGAAGAGAATAATTAATATTCTCATATAGAACAATACTTTAATACGTATTAAATAATCTAAAAACCAGTTCCATTTTCTGCTATATTTAAGTAATGTATATCTTTAGATTATATTTTGTACAATTACAATGATCTATTTCAATATCAAGTCATCGCGTGAATAATATCGCTTACATAATTCAGTTAAGAAGTTAAGAGGAAACAGACAGTCTATATAATATTTGTTAATAAGTAATATATTGTCTTTTTGTATTTTAATATAAATTGAATTATACTTAAATATATATTAAACTATAAATGAGTAAATATATGTTTCATTTCTCATATAATCTCTCTGTTTTCTTATAAAATTGTCTCTAGAGCAGAAAACAAGCAATCTGTGAAAAAAATCATTTGTTGTTTCTTTTAAATTATTTCAACCCTTGTTTTTTTGATAAAGAAATTTGAATAAATCACGATTTATAATTTATACAAAATTTTGATTGTATCGATCGTAAATTAATGTCACAATTAATTTTCATTGGACAATTGAAAACTAATCAAAATTGAAGACAATCAGAGAGATCTTTCTTGTGGACAGTTTCACAGAAAAGTTATATAGTATTTATCAGCTTGTTAACCTTGAATTTTTGTTCTTGTTACCCATTATCGTTTCATAGCTCGTTTAGGAAACGGTAATTCATTTTTAGTGCCTTTAAAAAGTACAAATGTTAAATCCTTAAGTATAATTCTCTGTTCTTTATTTCATAGTTATATTTACTTCTACTTTAAGTATGTGGTATCAAATGATAATTGCACGATTCAGGGGTTCCTTGCTGATTCAATTTCTTGGAAATGTTTCATTTTTTTTATACAATTTTCAAATGTAATCGAGCATAGTACTAATCCCTCCATATTTATACCAAGTATCAGAGTCTATCTAGATAAAACGTTATTTAAATAAAATATCACGTTACTTCATTTGTTGTTCGAAGATTCGATAACCTGTTATTTTCGTTCGACAAACAACACGTATAAATTTTATTCGATGAGAATTTATCCCGTAAATAAAGATAACATTTTTATACGTGGAATCTTTTATTACTATGATACCAAGAGTTCTATTTTTCTTTGCACCTTCACGTAAGTTTTATCAATGCATCGGTGAGGATTTTCACAAACTTTCGATCACATTTGGTTCGAGCTTATTTCACCGGAAAAACTTCAACTCGTTGATAGTACTTTTGTGAATGTGCATTAATCGATACATTGATCGATGGAGGCTTTGTTAAAAAGTTATTGAACTGAATTTTTTTCTAGAAAGTGGGTAGGATTTCGGGGGTAGGTCATTTCACCAAAAATTATTGTAATCGACCCCCGCAACCTAAAATAATTTTTCCAGAACGATTTGAAAGTTTTTTTTTTCGTCGAAAAATTTAGGCGCCAAAATAGATTTTTGGTAAGGAATTTTTTTCTCGAAAGTGCGTAGGATTTCGGGGGTATGTGTAATGACAAAAAATGATCGTAATTGACCCCCGCAACCTAAAATAATTTTTCCAGAACGATTTGAAAGTTTTTTTTTTCGTCGAAAAATTTAGGCGCCAAAATAGATTTTTGGTAAGGAATTTTTTTCTCGAAAGTGCGTAGGATTTCGGGGGTATGTGTAATGACCAAAAATGATCGTAATTGACCCCCGCAGCCGAAAATAATTTTTCCAGAACGATTTGAAGTTTTTTTTTTCGTTCGAAAATTTAGGCGCCAAAATAGATTTTTGGTAAGGAATTTTTTTCTCGAAAATGCGTAGGATTTCGGAGGTATGTGTAATGACCAAAAATGATCGTAATTGACCCTCGCAACCGAAAATAATTTTTCCAGAAAGATTTGAAAGTTTTTTTTTTCGTCGAAAAATTTAGGCGCCAAATTAGATTTTTGGTAAGGAATTTTTTTCTCGATAGTGCGTGGGAATTCGGGGGTATGTGTAATGACCAAAAATGATCGCAATTGACCCTCGCAACCGAAAATAATTTTTCCAGAACGATTTGAAAGTTTTTTTTTTCGTCGAAAAATTTGGGCGCCAAATTAGATTTTTGGTAAGGAATTTTTTTCTCGAAATTGCGTAGGATTTCGGGGGTATGTGTAATGACCAAAAATGATCGCAATTGACCCTCGCAACAGAAAATAATTTTTTTAGAACGATTTGAAAAATTTTTTGACAACTCTAATATACGTATTTCAAAATAGTTTTATAAATTTTTACGAATAGAAAATATACTTTCGGTATACGCTTAACCACGTATATTTAATGAATCGTCTGTAAAAAGAAACGATATGCTTACGCGATGACTTGATCCGTATAAAATAAAGTAAATTTATGTTTAATGTATGTATATCCTAATCATGTTTAGCAAAATTACCATTTGAATGTTTAAATGCATGGAAAAAGAGTGATATCTAAAAAATTGTTTACACTTATGTACATTCTATGAAAATATTTATAACATGGTGAAATAAAGATATGTGAACAAATCGATAACAAGTATTCAATATATACAGTGTTCAAAATATACATTTTCCTCTTTCAGTTATGCGAAATGTACAAATATGTAGTCTCTTAATTCCAATACTGTATGAGTCTCGATAGAATGCTATGAATCGTTTCGCTACTCTCTTAAACTCCCTGGGTATTATTTTTATCTCTTTCTGCGATGAACTTTGTGTTTTCTATACGTTCTCTGTTTAAAAGCGTAACGTTGATTCTTAAATAAATAAATAAATAAATAAATAAATGTATTTCCCCCTTAAAGCAGCAAAAGTTTCACGTTAAAAATTTTTCCGAAAAAATGTGTTGCATTCTGTAATCTCTATAGGAGGGGGCCTTCCCTATTTCTTCAGTTCCTTCCTGAAACATAACTACAATATTCAGCTAGACACACAAATACGTGACTGGATCTACGTTCATTTTTTCTTTCACAGAATACATTTATCCGAGATACCGTTTAATTATATTGTACAGATAAAATTCGTCCAGGTTAAATATATCTCTTTTTTATGTACTGATATAAAATGATTATTGAAATAACGTAAAAAGATACACGCGGTTGAATTTCATTTTACCGAATGTTTTATTTGCGTTAATTCGGGGAACACCTCGTACATCACAACTTCAAAAATATCCTGCAAAGAGAAAATTAATTGCACAAAAAGGAAACCATTGATTCGAAAGACTCGTGTACGATAACTTACGTAAAATAATTGTTTGTTTAAGTTGGTGTTCTGCAATGAATCGAATACTTTAATTGCACCACGTTGAGCACTTTGCGCGCCCACTAAATTCGTCAAAACTTCAGGTACATTATTTAGGAATTGTCTTCGAGCCTCGCCTCGAGTCTTTAATTTTTCTTCGTCCGTACGAAGTGTCGTCTCGTAAACCAAATGGCCATTTGGCCACCAAGACTTGGTGAACAACTGTATATAATAGTGAAGTATAGGTTCCGAGAACACCCATGCAATGGTATCTCTAATTTGCCTAAGAACGAGCATTTACAATTGCATTTTCAATGTTCAAAGAATCAATATCGTAATATGTTCGTTTGGAAATATGTTATACCTATTAATAGTACGACCGTAAGTAATCTGAACGAATGTAATTAACGAACGTCGGAGCCATCGAAACACACCCCGTAAATCAAAAATTTCACCCAAAAGCGTGTACAGCGGTTCCGCTATCGCATCTTTGTTTACGCTCAAGTATCCGTCTGTGACTGATCGACCATTATCAGTGTCGTCCAACAACAACGAATAATCTTCTTCGTCGTCCTTATCGCGAAGTTCGCTGCTATTGGTAGACCTAAAAGTAACGGGTTGTAATTGAAATTTCCACGAATAAACACGATCACGATAATTAAAATACCTGCATACGTTTTGAACAACGTCGACAAAGAGAATCGTGACTTCTTGGGGGATGGAGGTGCATGTTTCAAATGCTCTGAACTTGGACTAAGGAACGTATATAAAGCCTCGCTCTGATTAAGATTCTCATCCTCTAAAACAAACTGGAAAAATTAATTATAATATTTGAGTATAAGCTTTTTACAATTTTGTTACTTTTTAAGGTCGTTTTGTATACTCTTTTCTTCCTACTTCCAAAAGAAAAATGAACGTAACGCTCGAGGGAAATAATACTTAAAATATTTACATTTAAATATTTTTGTATTTGTATCTTGTCCTTGTCCAAAGTGTTTTTGTCGGACTTTCCGAAAAACTTCAACGGCTGCGACGGTAAATCTAAATTCTTTATGTTGGGACAAAGTTGACGAAGTTTTCTGTGCAGGTCTTGAAAATCCTGTAGCTTTCTCAATACCACCCAACCGCTGCAAATACTATCGCTGTTACCTTCGTCCTGTTTCATATGGACGACCAAAACGAACTGCGGCGATTCTCCGTTATCCGGTACCTATTTAACAATTGCAATTAAAAAGATTTTCGTCCTCCATCTTTTTATTCGCTATAATTTAAACTCTATTTACTTCGGCACTTTGTACTTCTGCTCTCCAGTGGCCTAAATGCTCTGCCCACATTTCCGTGTGGGTCAAATGTGCCTCCAGTTGTCTTTTCTCGCTTTGCAACCATTCGACTTCTTTGGCCAAGAAATTTAAAACTTTGCTCTCCGGTTTCAAAGAGGATTTCAACGCCTGCAGAGCCTGCGTTTTGTTGTTCAATTTTTCTTGCAACTGATCTAATTTACAGCGCGCATAATTTGAATGTTCACCGACAAGCAAAGACACATTCTCCGATAACGTTCCATTTCCCATATGACGATCCTCTATCAAGTCTGAAGATAAATTCGTGATCAGTGATTTGACAACATCGTTACGATAGAAATAAAACAGAGATCTACACTAACCGTCCGTACTTTCGTTAAGCAACGCTTGCTGCATATTTTTGTACTGTTCGCTAACGACGAACGACGGATAATACTTTTCTTCTAACGTTTTAACGACGCTGTCTTGCACTTCGTAAAATACATTCGGACCTATGTCGCCCAGCAAAAAGCTCTCCATTTTTTTCCGAATAGCTCTGTCGACCTTTATCTCGGCGGTGGGGGATGTAATGTAAGTATAAAAAATCTCAGCGCCCAACTGATGCCAATTGAATTTATCCGTATTGCGTAATTCTTGCACGGCTGCCCAATATCCGATTAAATCTTGACTGGCGACTTGTTCGAGGAACTGTGAAAGGTATCTTCGACCTATCACGTTATCCAAAATATACTGTAACGGCAATATTTTCTCTTCAGCGATCACTGCTGAGTCAGGTATATCGCTAGCCTACAAAAGTATATTTTATTCAACGTACAAATTATATTTGGGGCGTAAAAATAATTGATAGAACTGTTTTTGCAACCTGAACAGGATATCCATTCCATCCTAACGTCTGCATATGACACTCGCATGTATTTTTAGCATACGTCAGTTGGCTGATATACCTCTTCAATTTTCGGGCTTGGATAACATCAGACTTTCCAAACACGTTATTGTCTGGATCCAAACCCTGCGCTCTTTTAACGTTTTGTATCGTCGTCGCTTGCATGATCTCCGTGACGATATTGTACCTAATATGCTTAAGAACTTCTATATCTTTAGAACTTTTAATCATCCGTATAAAGTCCTCAAACGATTCTGCGTATTCGTAAGTTTTTCTGTGCATAGCCTCTGTAAGTTGTTGCTGATCGATGTACGACAAAATCTTTTGATTGATGTAGTCCGGATCTGTTATTAAATCTATTGCTGGTTTTAATACTAAAAATATACACACAGAATTGAGTAGATCAAATAACAAGCACGTAGCTCCACGGAATAAGTAGCTCTATAAATTGAACTTACTTTTACATGCAATAATTTCTCTCAGTAAATATTTCATTGGTGCAAGAGAATAACAACGTGGTAATAAAAACAAAATATACAATTCACTGACTTTTCTTAAGTAATCTAACTCGGACGTAGGTGACATTAAATGTGCTGATAAAATAAATACAGGATCTTCGCCTTCCGACCTATTCATATTATAATTTTTATTTTTCAAATTGTTTATCAAAACGTACCCAGAAACTAATGTTTCCCCTTGATGAAAATCACATAGTTACAAAAAAATATGAATTTTATACTTCTTATGGGTTTTCTGTACATGTTTGTTATTAATTAAGGATAGATCTAATAAATCTAATTTTAATGTATGCGATTTAAAACAGTGCTGGGTACGGTTTAGGATACTATTGGTACATAGTACAGTAGTGTCCACATAACCGAGTGGTCACTTATGCGGGCACTACTGTAATTAAAAAAATTTAGCCAAACTTACGAAGCAGCTTGAGCGATCCTAATCTTTTCAAAATGAAAAGTAATTTTATTTACTATGCTACAAACGACTAATTTTGTGTGATCTACTTTTGATAAACGAACGTGGAGACTCTGAATTGCTCCCCACAAGTCTTGTTTCATGTTATTCAGTATTTGTTCGGAGTTAAATGCCAATTCATCGAGCCAAAGGCCAATGAAATCTTGGAAAATTAGATCCAATAGATTCTGCAGAGCTCCGTCCACCATACGAGTGAAAACCAATGGATATTTTGTATGTTTTTTAGCACTTGAAGTTTTAACTACGTATCCTTTCTAAAACAATAATAGTATATCAAATAGCATAGATTAATTTTTTTTAGATCCAACATCTTTATCTTATCTACACGGATAGAAAAATCTGTGCGACAAAGGTGTTTTATACATTGTACCGTACGAAATGAATTTATATTACATGTTATTAACGCTATTTCTACCATGGTTTTATTCATAGATATTTCGACCAGGTGTTTTAAATGAATCTTTGAAAATAATGTAAAGTAATAATTTTAAATGACATTGATTCACACCTTTGATAAGAACAGTGTTAATAACTATAAATATTATGTACCATTAACAAATGATAAAAAGCATCCATCTCTGCAGTTGTTTTTAGAGTGCCCCCGCCAGTTTGATGTTTCGTAGATAGTGCAATGTTTATGAACATGACAATTAAACATCCCAGGAAGAAGCAAGATATGGTTAACACACCAAAAACGTAGCACCATAATAAATTATTCCAATAGAAAAACGCGATGATAATTGGAATGCACAGAATACCGGTAGATACCATATTGTGTCTTAATTCTGATCACATGACAACGAATATAACGTTTTCAATTTTATATTAATGACACAGTTTCGCTTAAATTGCGAGGAACGCCAATAACGTCAGCATCGTGGACGACTAGAAAAATACTGATTGGTTACACGCCGCGCAATCGCACCTGGTACACTCGGGTATACTCGGCTACACTCGGAATGTTCCCCTTCCACTTTTGCATCTAATGCCCGATCGCGTGCACCTACGCGAGCTAAAACTTTTCATTTCTATACACGTACAAATGTTTCTAACATGCTAAGGCCAAACTGAGTACACATCAGAGACTGTATAAAGACTTTTAATATGAACAACATTCGTTTGTTTACGTATGTGAAAGATGAAACGGAATTATCTTTGGAACGACCTGATACATGAATTAATAAATTGTTTGTAACGCAAAATTAACAGTACCATTATATTCCAGACGATTCAACAGATTTAACAAATCGGTGGCTCCTATATCGAAACTTTTAAATCAAATCAACGAACCGGGGATAAATAACAACACACGTTACTTATATTTACAAATATCGAGGGGACAAACATTAAAAAAATAGATTTTCCAGTTTCATTATTTTTGTCGCCGAATCCGGAAATTATCAAGTACGAAATAATGTTAAAGCAGTAACGCGTAATCCGACATTTTTCTGTGAAACACCAAAAACGTATAAAACGTAGAATTAAGTGAATATCAGCGTACATGCTATAGTTATGTAAATTTCTTTAAAATATTCTCTAACATATCGTTCACTGTTATTATGTTTACATGTTACGATAAACCTTTCTATGCCGCTAAACAAGATCCGTTTATAACCAAGTTAATTTAATTACAATGCGTGTATTTCGAATCACACATATGGCACAGCTGGACCTATTATCAGTACTTCTTATTGGCGAATAATTACATCCGTAAGTGGCTATGTCTACACGTGTAAATAACCAATTATACGTTTAATACGTTTACGGCTGTTACCATGTGTCTACATAGAGAATAAATAATAGGAAATTAACGATACGAGCAATTTCGAGCACTTATTGTTTCCGCAGCCTTTGCTCGAGACTGCATCGGTGAAAAGTACAATGATCTATATAATTCTCGGTTACAAATTATAAACGATGCGCAGGTTGAAATCGTTCGTAACAAGCAAACCAATCGTTATCGTATGAACATCGATCGTTTCAACTTTTCGAACAACCGAATATCGAATCACGTTTCATTTTCATTACTAAAAAAAAAGTCGAAGCTGTCCAGAAATCGGATCAAGTACAAACAGATTTTGAGAACGCAAAGCGGTTATTAAATTCGTCGTGTATAGGAATTATGTTTGTCTTCCAAGTTTACCAATTCTCTCTTTCTTTCGAATTTAATAACCTCTGTGTTACGAGAACTTTGAAAAAAAATTCGTACAATTCGTCGTCTCGAACCGTTACATCGAATGGTCTTAAAGTTCTTATTTTTTATATCTAAAGTTATATTATATTGCAATTGACATCCGTTTGTTTATACAATTCGTAATTAGGTAGTGCATTGTCCTTTTGAAACGAGTTAGAATCAAGACAGTTTGCACGGATACCATTCTAATTTCTTAGAATCGTTCCTGCTTTCAAAGAGATTTCTGCCCTTCGAGAAACAGTCCTTGCGTGATGACTTCATTCGAGGCCAAGTTGATATACTTTATTTCTTCGAAATTGTCTTTTCCCTCCTAGCTCTCTGATCGGAACAACCGTTCTTACGACTTACGATTAAAATACTTTAGTATCGAAAGGACGTTACACTCTAGCTTGATACAAATATTGCTATAAATTACCTTTATTATTTTTATATGGGTTGCGTGTGTGTGTGTGTGTATTTTATCGAGTTGCCCTAATTCGTTTAACTTATGGCGGATATCGAATTAATTTAAAAAGATAAAATGTAATCTGCCGAAAACTAAGCGAATTGCAGCCTTCAAGAATGTTTAGAACAGCGTAGGCACTTTTAGGAAAACGGGTGAGATTTTTTTTGAGACGCAAGAACAACGAAGAACAACAAATGCCTGCCTGCCTGCCTTTTTCTCTTCGTTGTTCTTGCTTCGGAAGAAGAAACCTTACTATTAAGAAGAGTTGCAATACATTTTGATTTTGCAAATTTCATTTATAAATTTAAATTCGTTCTCTTATGGATTCACCGTTCGATTTATGCTGAAGCTTTCAGTTTACATTTGTTTCACGAATCAAACTAGAAAACGTTACTATTCGATACCGTGGCACTTTGTACAATTTATCATTTTTTCCAAAGAAATAAATACCTTAACTAATAAAAATAAGAAGCCTGACCGCTTGCATGTATACAGGGTGTTCGGCCATAGCAGGGCAAAATTTTAATGGTAGATTTTAGGGGCCAAAATAAGACGAAAATCAAGAATAGCAATTTGTTGATCGAGGCTTCGTTAAAAAGTTATTAACGTTTAAAGTGTAGCTGCGCGCGCGCGCGATAGGTTGGTCCCAGTGGTTCTCATTCACAAAACTGAGAGGCTGTCGAGACGTCGGTAAGTAGAGTTTCTCAGGCTGAGTGAGAACCACTATCATGCGCACGCAGCTGTTCGCAGATTGCCTATCTACAGGCGGAACTTTAAACGTTAATAACTTTGTAACAAAGCCTCGATCAACAAATTGGTGTTCTTGATTTTTGTCTTATTTTGGCCCCTAGAATCTCCCATTAAAATTTCGCTAACAGTAAGTGTTGTTTACAAAGTTATCATGTTTACTTCGTTCAAATTAATGTTTCATATTTTCTACGACTATCGGTGGTTTTATCGACAATTCATTTCGAATGTTATACAGGGTGTTTCCGGGTTATCGTGATACTTTTAGGAGTTACGAAGTAACGAATGCTAACGAAATAATTACGTGGCATGATTAGTTTACTAGTTTACTCTACGGAAGTATTCAATGAACTAACAGCTACATAATACGAACGAACGAAACTTCTAATTCGTAATAGCTTTAAAAGTAAATATCTCTTGATATTTCTACGGTCCTAAATTCATACCTAAAGTTTGCCAGTTTAACCTCGAAATACCCTGTACATTGAAAATCAGAATAATCCGATTCGTGATGTTTATTAAAATAAATTATAAATAGACGGAACGGAGGAACGTAAAGTTGTAAATTGTGGCAAGAAATGTTGTCTCTATCAGAAAATAACGTATAAGCTGTTCCAGTTACCAAAGATCTTCGCCTTGTAGAGTAAAAATACACGAGAAACATAATGTAAATTCCCCAACATAGTATTTTCGTACAATGTTATCATAATGCTGTTATAAATACGATGTATCGATGTGCAGATATATTAAAAATTCTGTGCAGTTCTGTAAAACGAAGATCTTTGATCGGCAAGACTAGTATGGGCAATATTTTTCAAATTATTCAACAACAAAATCTTCCACCAACTTGCTCCCATACTTTTACTAAAAAATTCTCGTCAAATTCTTATCGATTAAAGTTGCTTACGATCTACGTTTAATTAATAAATAATTGCTTTTCGTTGACCATTTAAGATTGCCTAATGTGCCTATAAATAATGGTAACTGATTGGTTTATTAGCAACGTTTATATATAATTTATCATATACTCGTCTTTCTGATTTTCCCGTACCATTAACGTTAAAATATCTCATTTTTTATATTAAAGAGCGTACACATACATACACTGTATTTGTATGTGTGTGTATTTCAGTTACGTTGAGAAAACATATTTTTATTTTTTCTTAGCAACGCGGTAGGCCATTCAATACCAATCGTTACTCTCTGACAAACAATTGAATTTACAAACAAGTCTCCGACTTAAATAAAATTAATCAGATCTGTGTTAATCTCCAACTTATACAATAGCAACTCATTCCGATACAGTTTCACACAAAACTCAAATTCTACGAACAATCTTGGAATACATTATCGAATCATATGTACATATGTTCGGTTGTCGATGGAAGTTTGGTAAAAGTCGATTGAATTTAATTTAACGTAGTCTTTTCATGCATGCTGTAAATCCTATACCATAAAAAAAAACTATCGAAATCGTTAAAATTCTTTTAATGCTTCGTACTCGATAAGAAACTTTTTAATTAAAATGTAAGACTATTTCCTAGACTTTGCTTTGCTCAGAAATTTATTGTGCGCCACACTACTGAAAACAGAAAAAGTTATCGAGAACTATTCGACATTCTAAATGATTTTTTTCTTTCGGTATTAGCGTTTCAAACGTAATTTAATAATATATGGAATTGTATCTAATACTAACATCATACAAATACATTGTGTACCAAATGCTTACAAAATTAACTAACCATTTACGGCTTTTTTTCTCAACCTTCTAATTAATTCCTACTTGTCCTTTCTATGACAACAATGTAGTAAAAATGGATCTCGTTTTTTTATGATGGGACATACTCATTTATCGATATTGGTCGCTCCTTAAAATCATTCACATTCATTTATTCATATCGGTAACTGGTATCGAAAGAATCAAACGAAATAAGCGCTCGAAACAACCGATCCTATTTTGTCGGTACTTCCATAAGAAAGGATAACTAATAAACCATGGTTTGGAAAAGATTTTTTTAATATTTGCTCCTACTTGGGTAATAATTTCGCACCGTGCTTCAACATTACTTGCACGGTCTTGTTACCCTACTTAATCTATCAGATTAATTCTGCACTGATAAAAGGCCTAAAAAAAAAAAGGCATTTTACAAACCAAAACAAATTACCTATCGAAGCAATACTTGTACACGTTTTAAACATTTTTATGGATCTTCCTCGATACAAACTGTTCCTAAAACCCAGTGAACTTGGAAAAGCTCAAAGACAGGGAGATGGGTACTAAGAAAAAGTTGTGAAAAGAAATTCAAGAATCCCACCCCTGAAAATTCTAAATAGAAATAGAAATGTTAAAGTTTTGATGATTGTTCAACATTTGTCAACGTTATATATAGAGTCAAACGAGCCGTGATCTCAACTAGAATACGACATTGTTAAAGAGACTCGGTAACAGTCTAAATAACAAAAGAAAAGATATTCTCGTACTATTTATTCCTCTTAAACCGTAATTTCATCGCATTGCAAAAATGAAGAGAAACATTTTAACTACGAATGTTAAACCGTTCATCTTGTTAAACATATTTCTATGTATTCGCGTAATCAGCTGTTGGCCAGAGTAAGTGTTAAAGATCACTAAAAATTTTGTGTCCGATTATGATATGACGGTTGCATAACATTACAGAACATAAAGAAACATGTTCCTCGCCTCGTACTACGCATCAAACTACTGACAGCATCAGCAATTGAATAAAACTATTGTATCTTAATCCCATAAACCTATTTTGTACAACTTTGTTCATTACTTTATAAAAATTAAAAGTTTAGAAATGAAATTTACATCGACGCCCCCCCGTACCACCGATAAACAAATAATTTTTAATATCGTATTTACGGAATGTGTTTGCTACTAAACTGAAAATTAAGTGCTTCCTTAAATTTACTTTTACAATGTGTCGATTCGTTTGCTGTATTTTCCAAAAATTGACACACACGCGTACACTTAAATAAATTACGTCTTAATTCTTTTAATTTAATACGTTTCATTATTTCCAATAGAAAATTTGCATTTCCTTTTTGATGAATTATTTTTAAACAAATGTTTACGAGTTGATTGACTATAAAAGTTAGTTTGTTAGAAAATACAGCAATGTCTATACACGTCATTTGCCAATGTTAAAATCAAATTTTAAACAATTTTTTGTCGTAACTGGAACGTGAAAGTATATTGTGCAATCAACAACCTAAATCTCTGTCTACTCTATTGCTAATTTCAAAACGTACTTGTGTACACGATCTAATTTCATAATTGAATTCAAATATAACTTTCCTGGTCTGCAATATCGTCTATGTAATACGTAGAAATAGCTTCTTATCCAGACTTAGAAAAACAGAACGAATTCAACGGAATCTATAACAAAGTACTTTCAACGCCTGAACAAATAACACGCAACGAAAAATCGGAAAATTCCTTTTCTAGGATATCTTATCGTACAAACGACGTTCTTTTCGACTGCAGATATAAGAAATCACTAATATTTAAGTATCTCAAATTGTGTATATTATAGTAAACAAACAATAAATTGAAGGTAGACTTTGTTATAGAGAATATTTTTTTCCAGATACATCTATAGCTGATCACGAAAGTATTTCGAACGATCTTTAACGAAACGCGTAACGCTTAAAATAATGAAATTGCATTATTTTTTCAAAATATTTTTATTACAGCAGCAACATTACACGTGGCAGGATTATACATATATATTAAGTTTGAAGAACGTCGGACAAATGAAATAACGTTTACAAAGTGTTTCTTTAAAGTATTACTCACTTATTTCGTCTGCAAATACACGATTAAATATTTAACATAAATGTTACTGTTCGCCTACCGACTGATACTGTGAGTATTACCGAGAAAGTGAATGGCGTAACGAAGGAATTGTTCTCAATGAACCTCGTTATAAAGCAAAGGGAATATAATTGCCAGAAAATGAAAATGTATTAAATAATTTTTAGTTAAAGATGTTTGTAATAATCGCTAATAGGTTTGGGGAAACGAGTTCATTTTGAATTACGTCGCAGAATTATTGTAGAGGAATTAACAACCCGAAACTAGTGTTGTAAAAGAGTAATCATTCGAATCGAACGGTCATGAGAGGAAAAATGAGAAAAAAAAAGTTATTAATTTCAAGGCAGCACTAAAAGCAACAATTATTGAAAGTTATCGCATGACGTGACACGTACACCCACTGTTGTCTATAAAAAATATTAAAACTCAACTATTGTTCGTAAACTAGAGGTAGGAACGGTCGGTATTTAATATTTTATTATTTAGTTGTTTAAATACTCGGTACGGTCTTGGTGCATTCGACCTTTTTAAAAGCTGCTTCGTAAATATTATTTGTACCGTTGAATTATTTGTTCAAATTTAACATATATAATCCTGACGCTTGCATGTTATCGCCGTAATGAAAGTATTTTGAAAATCATAATGTGACTTGATCTTTCGTAAGCGTTAAATAAACGGCTCGAAAGTGTTTTTAAATACTTTCGTTGTCCACTATCTGTATAAAAGAAGACGAGCAAAAAGAGTCAAGCAGTTTGAGAAAATTCAAGAGATTCACGTAAAAAGAGAAAGCACACGTGATAACGAAAAACGGCGTAGATTCTCGCCCCTCGGTCCCGATAAGAGCATTATTTCCTCGACTTGGCACTGAAGGGAGCTACTTAGCAAGAAAGGACGTCCTCGGCCCGGCCATTGTCAGGTCGCATCAGAATAGGCCGAGCTTCGTCCTCAGGAACTCCTTGATGGGGGCATAATATTGGTTCCTTAAGGCCACCATTTCTGGCGTCTTACGCAGGCTGTTAAAAAGCATCGTGTCTGTTTCGAACACCAGGACGAGCACAATGAACAGAACTGTGATCGCGAGCACAAACGCCGGAACAAAAAGCCTCACTATTTGCAAACTCTTGTGTCTCAATTTGCCATCCACTCGGCGGTTCGGTTGCTGTTGCTGCTGAAGGCAGAGCTTCGAGTTTTGAAGTTTCTGCATCTGCGGTACAGGCGTCACCGACCGGCTGTGCGGTTTACCTGTCGCGTCCAATAGTTGGCTTTCGGACGAGGAATGATCGAAGGAGTCCCTGAAGTAATAGTCGTTTGTATCGCCCTCGTGTTGACCGACTGAAACAAAAGTGTTCTAATGAATTAGCTGGCAAACTACACGGTTACATTTCGAATTCTTAGTCGAGATTGCGAGCTCTGTATTGGTGAATAATGTTTCGAATGTTACATCGAGACAAATCGTTTGCTTATCATAATATTTGTCCCATTGAAAATAAATAAAATATTTAACATGTTCATGGGACACTCTGCTGCATACAGATAACAAATTTATGTAAGCAACTGTTTGTTGTTGTCGGTAGAATGTTTACCCACCTCTATGCGTAATATATGCATAATTAAATCCACGTGTGCACTATTAACTAGAGTAAATGTCCGTCTCGAGAGGGTTAGAAACGATATGTTATTTTAAATAGGCGCAGGCGCAGGCTCATGCTAGTCGTAGTTTTATGCAAAGGAAGAAATCGAACGGAAATGTAATGAAACACAGTATACCCAACAGATAATCGTTAATATAATCGTGCATATAACATTTACTCTGTAACAATGGATTGAAGAGACAACGATCCGGTATAGCGTTAGGAAGGAAAGAGTAGTTTTGGTGTATGTCACGGTCCTTCAAGGAGAATCCATCATCCAATTTACCTGTACCTTCTTGACGTTTCGTGGCTTCGACTCCGTTTCTAATGGCTTCGAGGTCGGTTCTCGCCGATGTAACGCAACCGTTAGCTGTTTTCGTCGTGATAGACAAGCCGCGCCATAAAATCTCGTTCTCTCGACGATCGGGCATGCTTACCTGCTCCTTAGACACGCGCGTAACCGTCTGATCGGTGCTAGAATCGAAACAACCGTCTACCACCGTTGTGATGATCGTTCCTGAATCGGCACCGGGGAACACGTATGTCTCGTTTGCGATCCCTTTACCGGCTTTTAACGCCTCCGCTGACATTTTCGAACTCTTTATTATCAGGGCGGTAGATCTGACCACCTTCTGTCTCTTTTCGAGCGTGTTTATATACTGTCTGACGACGTTATCGATGTCACGGCCAGCTAACTCCTCCGAGCTTATTACTATTTTTTGACTGTACAATAGCTGCGGTCGGTTCAGCGTGCTCATTGGAAATTTCAGTCTAACTTTCGCACGATTTGTGGTGGTGTTGGAGGTGGTGGTAATGGTGGACGCGGTGGCGGTGGCGGTGTTGTGGGTAGCATTCACATGCGTATCATTTTCGTCTACGGCTAAATGAACAGAAAGAAAAGTAAAAGACAAATCAACGACCTAAGAAGCCAAACAAGCGCCGGTAAAAATAATTCAATATTCAATATTCCTACTTCCGGAATAAATTACAGCCCGTAACAACTATGGGAGATTTTATACTTTGTAAAATTTCCATTAGCTTTGTATCACGACTTTAAATTTTACTTTTCATATTGGTATTTGACATTCTAGAAATAATAATAAGAAATGTTAATATTTGGAAAATTTTCTGTTCCTTATTTGTTCTTAATTATGTGCTTTAACACGTTTTTACAAGATTTTGTAAACCAAACCGTACATACAAGAAAGCGAGAAACTGTTTTGGTATCCAATCGCTACAAAATTATTCATGCAATACTAACAATTTCAAACATTATCAAAAACGAACGTGTACATGCAATTAAATCAAATCTGTGTCTATCTAGTAGTCGTTAAATTGTCATTTTACTATGTACATATGTATACGTATACAGTATGTCCTCCTTAAATAGAAAAGTTAGAACAGACAATAGGTTCATTATATTGTATTTAGAGAAATCTTTTCTTTTTCTGGCTGCAAAAGACTGCAAAAGAACTAACTCAGACCTAATCCTCCACAATTTGAGAATGTCGAACGACACAAACTTATCAGCCCACCTAATATAATATAGAAATACTTCTAATTCCAAGCAACTGGTTTGGAACATTATATCTCCAACTGACAAACGTTCGTATTTGAAGTAATTACAAAGTAAATATTAGCCATAGCACCATATGGTACAAAAAATATGCTCGTCAAGTGTCTTCTTATATCTTATTTCTTCTCTAAACAATTTTTTTCTTGAGATGTTTCTAGATACAATTTAAAGAAAAAGGATATCCTTAGAGCGGTAATGTTAAGCGACGAAATCCGATATACAAAGTTCGTATTATCATAAATCATGCGTTACGATTCAGAATAAAAGAGTTAAAAGTTAAATGTACAAACAAAATTACATGGTAGCGACGTGATAAAGAAAACAAACCGTTGTTTCTCCTGGCATGAATTTCTTGGTCCTCCGAAACGGTTTCCAGGAGCGGTAGCGTGTTATCTGGACAGTAAGGCGAACTGAACGGAACTCCTGAACTGCCCTCTGACATTCCAGTGCCATCCAGACCTGCGCTGTGACAGCTCCGTGGCAGACTGGAGTATCCTGCAATTCGAACGTTTTAATATTTAGGTTTACAAATGAGGACGATTCGTGGATCCAACGAGCGTACTAACTTATTTCAACGAGATCTTGACTCGGAGTGCTCGGAGTAGCTGGTACGCTGCTGGCTTTTCTTCTGAGACACGACGTTGGACACCGCGGTACAGGTGGCTCGTCTTTCTCGAGCGGACTCATCTCTTCCAACACCTCTTTCTCCGTTCTTCCGGTGTACTTAAACTTCGTACCCCATGAGAATATAGAGCCGCCGCTTACAACCGGCGCGTCCGACGCTCTGGGTAATCTAAGGAAAGAACAACATTCGTTAGCGTCGTAATTACAATCACCGATTACAAGTCGCCATATATCATTACACGTCGATCTAATTACTTAAAACTTGGTTCAGTGTGCTTAGAAAACAGAATCTCGTCTTTCCGTCTACGACTTCAATACGTGGACGTAATACAAAATGGTGGATTTCTATCACACCACTTTCAAATTTCCCGTGAATTTTAGAGATCGACAAAATTAAATGCCTAATGAGATTTCATTGGGAAGACTGGGGCAAGTTGATGATTCTTTTTTTGGACTCTTTTGGGAGGTTTTACATTTCAACTACTTACGAGTTGTAGAAACCAAGCTCTTTTATCAGCGTTTCTGTCAGAGAATTTATCAACAGATATTAAAAAAAAATTAAGCAAAGTTTGAACGCGATTTTCGCGAAACTATATTCTTTTTAAATGGTTGCCATGATGTCTTCTTGTGGACCGATCGGTGACAGATTTCGAGGGAATTTTCAGCACATGTGTGCTCACTTCCTCGATTAACATTTTTTCTTTTTAGCGTATTAAAGAACACACACACGCGCACCCAAAATAGATTCTTTGAATTTGAAGCGTTGCCAAATGTCTATTTTTTAATATTTTTCCCATTATATTCCTGTTCTGATTTTTTTCATTTTTTGACAAAATTGTGTGTATCCTTGATATACAGGATGTTCGATCATTCCTGGGAAATATTTTAATGAGGGATTCTAGAGGCCAAAATAAGACGAAAATCAAGAATACCAATTTGTTGGTAGAGGCTTCGTTAAAAAGTTATTAACAATTAAATTCAACAATTTCAAATCGTTCTGGAAAAATTATTTTTAGGTAGAGAGGTTAATTACAATCATTTTTTATGAATAGACCCACCCCCGAAATCCTACGCATTTTCGAGAAAAAAATTCAATAAATGCCTGCATTTTTCGACTAAAAAAAAAAAATTTCAGATCGTTCAAAAAAAATTATTTTTAGGCAGAGAGGTTAATTACAATCATTTTTTATGAACAGACATATCCTCGAAATCCTAACCAGTTTCGAGAAAAAAAATCCGCCAGGTGCTGTAATTTTTCGGCGAAATAAAAATTTTCAAATCGTTCTGGAAAAATTATTTTCGTTTGCGGGGGTCAATTACAATTACTTTTGGTGAACAGACATACTCTGGAATTCCTGCGCATTTTCGAGAAAAAAATTCAGTAAGTTCGGAACTTTGAGCGTTAATAACTTTTTAACAAAGCCTCCATCAACAAATTGTTATTCTTGATTTTCGTCTTATTTTGGCCTCTAGAATCCCCCATTAAAATTTTTCCCCGAAAAAATTGCAAATAGCCACTAAAATATTGCGTTCTAAAGTTGAATACCCCCTTAATGTAAAATAAATGTTAATTAGAGTGTTGGACACGATATTCCTTAAACGATCCAAAGTATGTACCTAGAATAAAATAATACTAATATCTAATGTATTATCCGATATATGTATAACACTGCTAAGTGATTGGAAGCTGCGATTGTTCGTGCTAAAGACATTGAAAGCATTTCAGCTGAATAAAGGCATACATACGTGAAAAATAACATTTGTTCGATGGCGCATCTCCATACGTGGCGACAGTTAGACCCCGTGGGACACTTAAACCCAACAGTGTGCTTTTTCTGAAAATTGCGGGGAAAACGTTGCACTAAAACCTCTACGCTATATACGTTGGATTTGGAAACTAGGACTACATGTAATTGTACGATATAACTGTCTCGGACGATCAAATTGTCCATTGAACACTAACTACGCGTTAAAACGATAATAAATATTGTAAAGAAACGGTTCGAACAAGGGGCCAAATTATCAGAATAAGTTATTTAGCAGGTAAGTAATAGCCCAGGTATACAGACGAATTAACACGGTGGTTTAAATATTTTACCAACTAGTTGTAATTATGATTAAACATATTTAACAGAAACGACGAAATATCGTATTTGTATTGTTTTAAAATTCCATAACGCTCGCGCATATTCGAATCAAAATATTGATAAATCAACAACGCTCGAGACGTAAGAACCGATGTTAATCGTTATATAAGAGCATAAATGCTGGATTTTAATGATGTAATGTTAAAAAAAAAAAAAAACGACAATAACAAGTTACCAATGTAAAAGGCTTAAAACAACGGCGTCGTTTCATTGGTATTCCGAACCACGGTGGCCTTGTTCATTCGCACACTAATGACCAAATTATTATGAACAACAATTAAACCGAGTTACGTGACGATAATCAGTCTAACATGTACTTTTAATACTAAGTTAAGAAATATGAACGACCCGTGCAACTGCTACAAAACAACTCACCTTCGTTCTCACGTCCTGGATTGGCCCAGCAGTGGAAAATAATAAGATTAGTTGAATCCGTAACAATATCGACCGCACAATATACAGTGTGTCTCATTAGAAACTGGCCACCTTAATATCTTTGCTAAAATGATACGAACAAAATCAACGACGTTGGATGCAGTAAGTCGCTTACGATTCGCGTTTAACGGTCCCGGCCAACCGTTCGATCCTCTCGAAAATTATTAATACAAAATGATTAAATACTAAGTTACAGAATGAAGACAATTTTTGAAAGTAACATGATTGGTCGAGAACGTTTAACACGAATGATAAACTGTTCGTAACAAATACATTCGATGTTATCATTAAAGAGTACAATATTGCGAGCTTTATCCGTATTAATAGGAAGAAATATTGTTTACAACGGTCGTGTAGCTTGAAAGAACGTGATGCCAATAGTCTTTTAAAATTACGAATTTTTATCAAATACTAACGCAGAGATTGCAATCTTTCTGGATTGGAATTTATGGCTCCTTTGGTGCCCCTACAACGCCCTTAAAGGGTTATTTCGGTCTGGATATGCAATTTTTCATTCCACAATAATTTTCGTGTAAAACTAATTGAGATTGTACGAGCTAGGGATAATTGAAGAAAGCTCCCCTATGAAAAAGTGTCCCCCATGGCTGACACGATTCCCCAACTGTTCTGCAAATCTAAAAGAAAAGGAAAAAAAAGTATCTTCGTTAGAAAATGTGTAGTTATAGCATGAACTAGGGAGAAGTCAATGTTTTGATAAAAATTTGTTGTTATTATTAGTTTTACTATAATAGAATAGAAAGGATAAGAATCGATAATTTTGAAAAATATCTAGTTCAGGCGATAAAGACATATCTGCTGAAGAGATACTTTCCTTCTCTTGAGGCAAATAAATACCTGACTGTTTTCTTTATTAAATAATTAAAACTAACCAAGTAAATGCTTCAGACTACCTACGTGACCCACATAACTTATGTAGATAGCTGATATTTCTTCCTATTATGTAAAATATCCAACATATTAAGATGGAGTGTTTCTAATGATATAAGAGTCGCACGTATCAAATTGGCACACGGTATACTTGAAGGAACAAGATGAAATTGTTTCATGAAATAATCGATGTTTCGAAAATTTACTGATTTATTCGTAGCAATAAGTAACAATTGTTTTATTGCATTGAAAAGAGTTCAATGAATGTTAAGCTATACATATGTGTATATGCATATTTTGAAAAATATCTGTTTCGAACAACTGCACCAGTAATAACATTACCAATATAGATAAAAATTACGCGATTACATAGCTTTAATACTGTTCTTTAAAACTATCGAGTATTGTTTATTTCTTGCGAGTGAATAACAATTGACACAGTTTAAATAATTAACGCTTAAGTATAATACGTACAATGAGAGAAAGAGGTAACTATAATGTAAGTGAGAGACTTGTACTCGATTCATTCCTGTACATACACACATTCATAAAATTCAACTAACAACCGCAAGAATATTTTCCCCCCAAAAAATCAAACATAATGTTGCCGCCTATAACACTAGTCGAAACAGCATAAATTACAACAGTAGTTATATTCATCGGATGGAGGATGAAGAGACCTTCAAAATGACACTTGTTTCAAGTAGATAGCGTAATTAGATATAACGATTTTTGTCTGAAGTCGACAGGGTAGCTGTGTTCGATTTTAAGTGTTTACGTCGCGAGGTCATTGACCTCGCGTGTAAATAGTAAACAGCGCGTAATAAATTCTTGGAAATTCATTCAACTATTCTTCAAAATAGTATATAAATCATGTAATCGATAGATCTGCAACCAAAACATGATACAACATACATTTTGATGGGATGTATAGATATAATAAATGTTATTTTTCATGGAACGAGCATTGAAATATCTAACCGCAGCTATCAAACAGTTCTGTTTACGTTTTTATACAAGTCGTAAAATGGTTATAGTGGAAAATTTAGAAGCTTTACCTCACTTATCGTTAAATGCACAATAAACATTTTTCCTTCGTAGTTGATTTTCTGAACCTCCGGCCAGCGGAAATGATGTGTTTTTCGAGATCCTTGAAACGTTAGAATTCCACAGTGATTAATACCGAGATAAAGTTGCACACCTTTCTGGTCCTGCAAAAATAAATATATTAAAATTTTTAACGGGAAACGATCGAAAGACTGTCGTTTAGAATCATTAACAAAGCAATAGAATTTAGAACTGTTGACAATATTTTGATAATCTTCTAATGGTTTCATATTATTGAACGAAATAATTGATTTACATTGAAATTTAAAAAGCTTCCGTACATCGAGTATGTTTTGGATAATGTTCATAGAAACGTATTACGTATATGAGACACATACGATACAAAAATATAATCGAAAAGATATTAATATCGTTATAATGGGTGTGCCAATTGAATATCTCAGCACAAATATCTCGAAATACAGGGTGTTCGACTACCCCTAGGAAAAACTTTACTGAGGGATTCTAGAGGCCAAAATAAGACGAAAATCAAGAATACCAATTTGTTGATGGAGGCTTTGTTAAAAAGTTATTAACGTTTAAAGTTTAGACAGTATTGAATTTTTTTCTCGAAAATGCGCAAGATTTTGGGGGTTCGTGTAATGACCAAAAATTATTGTAATTGACCCCTGAAATTGAAAATATTTTTTTTAGAACGATTTGAAATTTTTTTTTTCCGAAACATTTAGGCACCTACTCGAATTTTTTTTTCGAAAATGGGTAGGATTTCGAGGGTATGTCTATTGACCAAAAACGATCGTAATTAACCCCCGCAACCGAAAATAATTTTTTTACAATGATTTGAAATTTTTCTTATTCGCCGAGAAATTTAGGCATCTTCAGGAATTTTTTTCTTAAAAATGCGTAGGATTTCGGGGGTATACGTAATGACAAAAAATGATTGTAATGGGGCTCTGCAACCGAAAATAATTTTTTCAGAATGATTTGAAATTTTTCTTTTTCGTGGAAAAATTTTGGTATTTATTAAATTTTTTTCTCGAAACTGGTTAGGATTTCGAGGGTATGTCTGTTCACCAAAAATGATTGTAATTTATCTCCCTAGCTAACAGTAATTTTTTTAGAACGATTTGAAATTTTTTTTTTCGTCTAAAAATTTCACACCTTCTCGAATTTTTTTCTCGAAACTGGGTTGGATTTCGATTATATGTCTATTCACCAAAACTGTTTGTAATTGACCCCCGCAACCGAAAATAATTTTTCTAGAACGATTTGAAATTTTCGAATTTAATTGTTAATAACTTTTTAACGAAGCCTCTATCGACAAATTGGTATTCTTCTTTTTCGTCTTATTTGGCCTCTAGAATCCCCCATTAAAATTTTTCCCAGGGGTGGCCGAAAGATGTAGGATATTTTAATATTCATTCGACCATGCGTTGACCTTGAAACCCCCCTAAAAATTTGAGAAAAACCCCACTTATTCGTGAATATTCCTAGAGCGTAATGCTAAGTGATAAGGGTGTTTTTCTGATTAAAATCAGTATACTAAGGGCAGCCCATTCTGATTGGCCGACAAGCACTGTTCTTCAGTCTCATCCCACCCACCCCACCCCCTCGCGCGATCTGATTAACAAAACCTTGCGTTTTTCTCTGTCACCATTCGAACGATCGAGCGTGAATCGGACAATTCACCGAGGAGGAACGATACGAGATCTCGTGAGAGGAAAGAGGAACCAAATTCCCACTTCACGGGGGGCTCCGATTTAGCCGTAATTACGAGAAGGAAGAGAAAGCACGCGGGATCCGTAGCTTTGGACGATCGGTTCGAGAACCGACCAGAGCCTGCGGGAACAACAACAGAGCTCCAACTATGCTACAAAAACATCGTCGAACCCTTAACAGCAAAAGACATTTGGAGCCATAAAAAAAAAAACAAAATTTCAGTTCTCATGCATTGCCCGTAACATAAAAATACATAAGAGCTGGCTAAAAGATATTCCACGTAAACATTGTTAAAGATATCTATAATGTTCGTTTCTTGATAATCTCCTATACTCTTGGCAATAAATAATTACTGTATACATGAAAAAACTAACTTGTTGCACAACTCTGGTAACAAGTTGAATCTGCATATAAAGAAAATGTAGAAAACGCGCGGTCATCTTGCAGTCTCGCGTGTGTTTTACCTGCCTGATGCCAGACCACGCGTAGAGATCACCACGATATCGTTAGTTAGAGTCGGAGACTGCGAATCACAACCAAAGGAAATGATAACGGAGGAAGTATATTGTGCAACTACTTCAGTTATCCAGCTAGCAACTACGTGGACACAAAATAATGGCAAGGTAGAAATGTCAATAATGATTTGTTACTGCGGAGCATTGCACTCCGACGCATCTGTTGTATGAAAGAGAATGAAGGAACATATATCTGATCGATATCAGCACTCAACGGTGCGCCCAATTGCATACTGACAGATCAACCTCGTTAGGAAACAGCATTTTACCTCGCTGGGTTACAGACCAAATTCTACCAGCACCAGAGAACACTTACTATGGCTGTAACAGTCTCCACAGACGGCAGATGTAAAGGGGGTCACAATACTCAGATCTCTACGGCTCTTGGAATAACGTTGTAGCGACGGCCATTACGAAGATCGCCTTGAAGTCAGGAAGGGGTGCCCGTACGCCTAGAAGCGGATAAAATAATCCTAAGGTCAGGAAGAATTCTCTGCTCCCAAGGATCCTGCATCGACAACAAATGTAAATGAAGCTATAAAATCTGTACCGATCGCCAAACTGTACGCATTTACCACCAAAGATATTAGCTTTCGCGCCGAAGAATGTTACAAAACACCGACTTTCCAGAAACATTTATGTTCCGAACTACTAAAAACCATATGATCGCTGGTAAAAAGCAAATTTCCAACGAAAATCTTGGCTAATTGATATACCTGATGCTCTTTGGACTCGAAGTGTTTCTAAATATATCAAAACATTGGCAATGGTGAGTTCAGAACCTGATCGATTCGTGTGGACCGTTGTTTGCCTAGAATTGTCCATGTATCTGATCGAAAAAACCTAACCCAGACCTGCCAGAGTCAAAGCCACCTATTACACGATACTTGTTTCTAGTTTTCTCCCAAATATGTTTGAATGAATTTGCTCGGACAGCTTCACCGAAAGAAGAAAAAATGATGCAGTGATTCGACTAAATCTATTTTTCATTCTCTGTGTACGGTATTAATGAGAGATTTTAGAGGCCAAAATAAGACGAAAATCAAAAATACGAATGAAATTTCGGGGAAACATTCTGGCCACACGGTACATTTTCTGTAAAGAATTTTTTTCTCGAAATTGCGTAATATTTCGGGGGTATGTACAATGACCAAAAATGATTGCAATTCACACCTCTAGCTAAAAATAATTTTTTTAGAACGATTTGAAAATTCTTTTTTTCGCCGAAAAATTCAGGCACTTCTTGAATTTTTTTCTCGAAAATGGGCAGGATTTCGGGGGTATGTCTATTAACTAAAAATGATTGTAATTTATCTCCCTAGCTAACAGTAATTTTTTTAGAACCATTTGAAATTTTTGAATTTCGACGAAAAATTTGTCCACTTATTGAATTTTTTTCTCGAAAGTGGGTAGGATTTCGGAGGTATCTCTATTCACCAAAAATGATTGTAATTGACCCACGCAACCGAAAATAATTTTTTTACAATGATTTTAAATTTTTTAATTTCGACCAAAAATTTGTCCACTTACTGAATTTTTTTCTCGAAAATGGATAGGATTTCGAGGGTATGTCTATTCACCACAAATGATTGCATTTGACTCCAGAACCTAGAAATAATTTTTTCAGAATGATTCGAAATTTTTTTTTTTCGCCGAGAAAATTAGGCACCTACCCCCTGTCGATTTTTCTTAAAGATTCGTTTTTGATTTTTAGTAATTTTGTTTAACGACCTACTGAAAAATTGTTTAATACTTTTTTGTAGGTACCCATAAACTCTACTTCCTCCCAAAATTTCAATGAAATATATTCAATATTATAGGAGTTATGGCTGTTTGAATATTGGACCATTTTCATGGGGTTTTCCTCATTTTACGGGTTGAAGGAGGAAGTTTTCGAATATTTTTGAAATTTGTACATATTCTTGGTTAAAATACGCGTCGTTTGCCTTTTTAAACATTAAAATCGTCCAATCCGTTCACGAGTTATGACGTTTTAAACATAAACATGAAATTTCAGTGAAACATGTCAACGGTATGGTCAGACATGAAATTTTCAGTAACTAATTTTTTTCTCGAAACCGCTTAGGATTTCGGGGGTATGTCTAATGACCAAAAATGATTGTAATCAACCCCTGCAACCAAAAATAATTTTTTTAGAACAATTTGAAATTTTTTAATTTTGCCAAAAACTCTCAGCATATACTCGAATTTTTTTCTCGAAACTGCGTAGAATTTCGGGGGTATATCTAATGACCAAAAATGAATGTAATTGCCCCCTGCAACCAAAAATAATTTTTTTAGAACGATTTGAAATTTTTTAATTTTGCCGAAATATTTCAGCACCTACTCGAATTTTTTTCTCGAAACTGGTTAGGATTTCGAGGGTATGTCTATTCACCAAAAATTATTGTAATCGATCCCTGCAACCAAAAATAATTTTTCCAGAACGATTTGAAATTGTTTTTTTCTGTCGAAAAATTTCACACCTCGAATTTTTTTCTCGGAGTCTTTGGAGACTTTATGTTGTTGTTCTTTTCGAGAAAGCTACTGAATTAAAAGAAGACAGCATGGAAAGTGTTATTCAAGTTTGAAAGTTGGCGAAGATTGGTTGGTAGGGTTTAAAAAAAGAAACAATAATATGCCTTAGTGAATAAGTGCAAGTAGCTCCAAGAAAATTGATCAGTGACTAGAAAATAATGATATTTTCAGAGGAAATGTACATAACATGGACGAGGAGATCGACGATCTTTTATGAAAAACTGTTCCTTCGAAGAGATCGGCGAGAAAAGATGAAAGATCTGTAAAAGGATAGAAAAGCAGAAACGAATTACAAATTGCTTTAGTAATTAAGAGATTTAAAAATCCTCCAGCCGTAAAGCAGCGCAGACTTTGTGTTATTGTTAAAACACACAACGCAACGGTTGGATAACACAATCGTTATCTAATGTAGAAATAATCACCAGGATGTACCGTGACATTGAATCGGTTTTATCAGCTGAGAACTGCTATACTTTCTGTGTTGTATAGCGAAGGACGATACTGGTCATACTGCAATCTTTCTGGATACGAGGTACGCTGAACGTTGCAAACGAAAAGGATGCAAATCTAAGGCCTATTTCTCTTTTGTCGGGAACTCAAAGAACAATTTAGTTCAACACGATACGTTTCTATGGAACGATTATCTTTCTGCATCTTACCTTAACAGAATGTGGGTCAACGGCGTATGTATCCAATTGTGAGGCTAACCTAAGGAAGTGTGTCTCCGCTTGCTCCCCCGTGTACCCTTTCAACTGTGTTTGATGCAGTTCCATAGCTTTCTCCTCGATAGTCTCCGTTTGTTTAAGTAGCAATTTGTGCGCGGAAATGTAGTTCCCCTCGTGGATCTCAGGATCGTAATCCCCCAATTCGCCTAAAATACAAAAATCACTTTATTTATTATTATGATTTAAATTGTCGTTTCTCTTTCTATAGGTAACTAATTAACCATTTTATCTGTAAATACTGTATATATGTTATGTATAAATTATAACTTCTTTCTATAGAGCAACACGTGTTGGTTATTCTCCTGGAAAGTCCTTAAATTTGTCCGTTGTCTTACATATATGTGTTATACCTATATTGCCCAAAAGCACTCATTTTGACTGCTTGGGAAATTTTAAATAATCAAATGACTCTTATCATTGAATCGAGTAAATTTCTTATATGACCAAGTTTAGTTCTGTATTGAAATAACAGTTTTCATTTTTTTTCGATTACCGACACATGATAACATACAAGTACACGATAAATTGTCGATTTGGCCGTATACTTGATAAATTGCAATTTCTCGATAAGCTAAAGTAGTACTTGTTATTCGAATCTTTATGCAGTGATACTTGTTCTAACAAGTTGTTAAATTCATAATATTAAAAATTAATTTTAAACAAATTTCTCTACACGTTAGTTATTCTTTCACAATGCACAGTTATTTTGACTGCTTTTGGGCAATATAGGTATACATATACTAAGTTTCAGTCTTTCTAGTGATAAGAAAGCATCAATTTACTTTGCACGATGCACGCCGCTAGCAACGCTGCTTCGTCCGGACTGCAATACAGTCGTCCATGGAGAAGATCCCTCTTCAGTTGCTGATAAACTTGATATCTAGATATTTCTTCCTTCAGCCTCAGAGGATCCGGTGGATAGAATTTCACGCGAAAACTAAAGAGAATCGGGTCCATGTCTGAAACACATTCGCAATGAAATAACAATTAGTAAAAATGAAACTTTCCATGTCAATAAACATTTGAGTTGTCAAGGGAGTGTTTTCTTTTTACCGGATCTTTGGATTCCATAAAGAAAAAAAATATTCAATCTTTTACAAGTTACGATGTAAATGTCCTTAAGCAAAAGTTTTGCCTCCACGGTTGCGACGATTCCGATAATTCTGCTCATGAAATATGAAGGGACCAAACAGTATGTGTTTTTCTGCCTGCATACCGCGAAGCTAATTATCGACTTTAGTTTTTCTTTGCTGAAATTAACATGCACTCTGTTTATTCGGATCCACGAGAATAGTAGGAGGTCGGTAGGGTTTAAAAGTTTCATGTGACATCGACCCACAGCGAATGAATATAGAGGTACCAAGCCAGGCATAGCAATCGAAGCCTTGGCCACAGCTGTTCACCGCTACGTACGATTGAATTAGTCTACTTTCTCCTATATCAAATTCATTCTACTTTCTACAGGGGGGCAAGCAAATTTTTCTTCGTCGAAGGAATAACAAAATGCGGCTGTACAATATTCTCAGTTATAATAGAATATAGATAGAAATATGAGATTGCATTGAACGAAGAAATTTTGGAGAAGACGGTCCCAGTCGGATGGAATTATTATCGTTATCGTGATTTTTGTTGAAACTCGAAACCCAAATAAATAAGAATTTTTATTTAGAATTTACCCTCTGTTTACATCCCTGGGGAAAAATTTTAATGGTAGATTCTGGAGGTAAAAATAAGACGGAAATCAAGAATGCCAATTTGTCGATTGAGATTTCGTAAAAAAGTTATTAACGTTTAAAGTTACCAAGTAGAGTCTCCCGCGATGAGAACCACTATCGTGCGCGCGCAGCTCTACGCAGATCGCCGTTCCACAGGCGGAACTTTAAACGTTGATAACTTTTTAACGAAGCCTCGAACAAAAAATTGATATTCTTGATTTTCGTCTTATTTTGCCCTCTTGTTTCTCTCAGTCACATTCGTTGTCATTCTTGTGTCAGAGGGGCTCAAGTTCCTTCTAAACAAACGCTTATTTCTCGTATCTTACTTTAAACTGGACTTTTAAATCATGGTCGAGTATACAAAGTTCCATATCGAATTTCAATTTAGAAAAACTTGCGTCGTATCAACTGATACGTACAAAGGGAATTTATAATCTTTGAACGTTGTAAATAATATTCTGTTTTCGGTGTAAAAATTCTACCCGTTGGACCAAAATTTGTTTCAATAATTGTTTTTCCAACTAATTTATATCATTCGACATCTAAACTTGACAATTAATTTATTACTTATTTTGTATCATCAGGTTGATAAGAAGAAAAGTTGATTGAATATTTAAACTATACTGTGAAAGAAACGCTTGGAAATAAAATGAATTCTTTGTTAAACCGACATTATATTAAAAGTGCAAAACTAACCTTTCACTTGCTTGATCGCCGTTTTAGCCAAGTCTAACCAATGCTGAAACAAAATAGTTTTACATGTAATGTACGATGCATAACAATTATACGGATTATTAAATTATAGGTATTAATTTGTTACGTAATAATTGACTGTATTAATTAAATCTCTATGGGGATGAATTATTTCCATTATTTATGAATATTTATTTTCGACCTTAAATACTTCCATGGCTTCAAATAATTTAAACAAATTAAACGGACAAATCCTTGAAAAAGTTAATTATTGGTAAACAGCCTTAGCTATAGAATGGTTCAAATGATCGTGTAAATACAATTTTTTATTTCAAGATTCCTCGTTCAAGATAAATGTTTCAAACATGAAGCGTACATTGTAAAGGAATATCCATTATACGATCGTTGAGCAATTATTGATAAATTCACGCAATTGCCCGATCACAATTCTATCGAGATAATTTTGAATAAATATGGAATAGAAATACATTAATAAAATATTGTATTGTATAATACATCGAATGAGAATGTTATAAAAATTAAATTAAAATCAGAATCGGATTCTGTAATTACGTTCGAAACATTGTTGAATCGATGGAAAGAATAAATAACAAACAAACAAATAATTAACCAACGCTAATAATTTTATCAGATCGAACAGCCACATGTTATATACACACATGATATTACGTAATATAATAATATGAATAATTTCATATTAATATTGAGGATGAGTTATTTTTGTTTAGAAAATTAGCTTCTTTCTGATCTGGTCACGCGTCGTACGTGTGCAGTTGTTTATATTTTCTGCCAATTTTATTATTGCTCGCGCGAGACACTGTGACGAAACACAGCCTGGAGATCCTAACTGTTACAGGAGTGCTTGGATAATGAAAATAAACACGGTTACCGATAACTCGCGGTTACAAAAAACACGGTTAAGTTTCAGTTGCACAAGCCGAGCTACGGTCTTGGACTTTGCATCTTGACGAACGTAGAGTAAAAGAGCGAATCAAGGATAGATAATAATAACACAACGCCAAGCTTTCTGATCTTTTCTTCTTTGTTAGCGGGACCTTCGCCAATATACACTATCAAACCACTCCCGGGGAAGAAATTTTAATGGGGGATTCTAGAGGCCAAAATAAAACGAAAATCAAGAATATCAATTTTTTGTTCGAGGCTTCGTTAAAAAATTATTAACAATTACATTGAAAAATTTCAAATCGTTTTGGAAAAATTATATTCGGTTGCGGGGGTCAATTAGAATAATTTTTGGTGAATAGACATACCCCCGAAATCCTACCCACTTTCTAGAAAAAAATTCGAGAAGGTGTAAAATTTTTCGACCGGGGAAAAAAATGTCAAATCGTTCTGGAAAAATTATAATTGGTTGCGGGGGTCAATTAGAATCATTTTTGGTGAATAGACATACCCCCGAAATCCTACCTAGTTTCTAGAAAAAAAATCGAGAATGTGTAAAATTTTTCGACGGAAAAAAAAATTTCAAATCGTTCTAAAAAAAATATTTTTAGTTGCAGGGGTCAATTGTAATAATTTTTGGTGAATAAACATACCTACGAATTCCTACGCACTTTCGAGAAAAAAATTCCTTACCGAAAATCTAATTGGGTGCCTAAATTTTTCGACGAAAAAAAAAATTGACCGTCGAAATTAAATTTTTTCTCGTTGCTAAACAACAATCTTCTCCATTTCTTCGTCCAATGCACAAGTTGTTCCGCAAATTATTTCTCTTTAACCATTCATATACCTATTGAATCAAATTTTAATATTAACAAGTGGCTACGCGTGGTCCAAGCTTCCTTTTAAATAAATAAAATAAACCAATGGTCACTGCCAGTATAGAGAAGGTGTAAGAAATGAGTTACTGTTCTTTTAACCCATGCAACGATGCAACTTACTATACCTAGCATACAACGAAGCAAATTGGAAATGTTATCTAGCCTGAAATTTGTGTAGTTATTTTTACTGATTGTAGTTGGTAGCGTTGGAACGGAATGCCCGGTAGTATGTAATGGCGTTGCGAAATAAATGTGTTGAAATAATAACGAGTTGTTTAGAACGAACCAAACACAATCTCCACAAATTTATTTCCAGAGAACCGATCGTGTCCAATAAAAATAATCTATCGTACTCGTTGCACTATTATGCGACGTAACTTACTCTTTGCCTACAGTGATCCGCGTAACGAAGTCCAAAATAATCCGTTTCCATGATGTTGAGTTGTTTGCATACATATTCCAGGATGTACCTTCCCTTGTGCTGAGGCTGTAACAAAGACAACATAATTAATTATCGCGTCGTTTTCTATCTGCAGTTGTTTGTCAGTAAAAGTCGAAACGTTCTACTGATAATATTCCGTTTAAAAGATCCGTAAGGTCAGAGCAATCGAAAGATTAAAGTACCCCGGAAACTCGTTATTTTATTCCACCGAGAACGATAGCCACTTATCATGTAACACCGATTACATAAATATTATACATATGTATATCGTCGAGCAGTGATAATTCTCTCATTTCTGCTGGATTTACCGCCTCGTGGACACGAGTAATATTTCCATCCAAAAACACAGTTTTACAAGATTTATGTAAAGTTGTTTTAAACTAATCATTACCCACCAGAAGATTATCCTCAATTTGAATAAATACAGATCTAATGGGGGATTCGGGAGACCAAAATAGGACGAAAATCAAGAATACCAATTTGTTGATTGAGATTTCGTTAAAAAGTTATTAACGTTTAAAGTTTCAACCGTACTGAATTTTTTTCTCGAAAATGCGCAGGAATTCGTAGGTATGTCTGTTCACCAAAAATGATCGTAATTGACCTCCGCAACCAAAAATAATTTTTTTACAATGATTTTTAATTTTTTAATTTCGACCAAAAATTTGTCCACTTACTGAATTTTTTTCTCGAAAGTGGATAGGATTTCGAGGGTATGTCTAATGACCAAAAATGGTTGCATTCGACTCCTGAACTTAGAAATAATTTTTTTAGAACGATTCGAAATTTTTTTTTTCGCCGAGAAATTTAGGCACCTACCCCCTGTCGATTTTTCTTAAAAATTCGTTTTTCATTCCACGGAAATTTTGCCTAATACTTTTTCGTAGGTATCCATGAGCTCCAGTTTAGAAAAAAATTTCAATGAAATATATTCACTATTGTAGGAGTTATGGACATTTGAAAATTGGACCATTTTTATGGGGTTCTTCTCGTTTTGCGGAGTCAAGGAATAACATTTCGAATATTTTTGGAATCTCCACATATTCCTCGCTAAAATACGCGTAGTTTGCATTTTTAAAAATTAAAATCGCCCAATCCGTTCGGAAGTTATGACGTTTTAAAGATACGCATGAAATTTTGAGGAACCATTTTCAGGCCTCACATAAGGAATTTTTTTCTCGAAAGTGCGTAGGAATTCGTAGGTATGTCTATTCACCAAAAATGATTATAATTGTCTCCTGCAACAAAAAATATTTTTTTTAGAACGATTTGAAATTTTTTTTTCGCCGAAAAATTTGTCCACTTACTGAATTTTTTTCTAGAAAGTGGGTAGGATTTCGGGTGTATGTCTATTCACAAAAAATGATTAAAATTGACCCCCGCAACCGAAAATAATTTTTTCAGAATGATTTGAAATTTTTTTTTTTCAGTCAAAAAATTGATATTCTCGATTTTCGTCTTATTTTGGCATCCAGGATCTCCTTTTAAATTTTTTCCCAGTGGTGGCCGAACACCCTGTACATTACATAACGAACACGAGTAGGAAGAAAAAAGTGTTTCGTTTCAGGAAGGTAGGGAACAAAAGGCGATAAAACGCGAAAACATGCATTCTGCTATTGAGCTCTCTCCGCGAGCTTCTATGGCTCAACGGTCACAAGGGAACGAAGCTGGAACGAAACTTATCGAACAAATTATATTTCACGTGTCAGATCGTACGAGTAGAAATTCTCCAAACCTGTAAGCATCGCGATCGGGGGATTCAAGTTGCATACACGCCTCAAGAACCATTAAATTTTGTTATTCCCAGTAACTCAACAAACAAACAGTACAGTACGTATGTACATCTGTGTATTAGAGAGTAAAAAACATATCACGAACTCATAAATGCCAAATGAGATGCTTATCCTTCTATCGATGTATCAGCGACGGAGAAATTATGCGAAATTTCTTTACAGTCTCTATTAATGATTCTTAGAAAGCATTGCAAGTTCCGAGTGTCGGTCACTAGTGACCGAAGCGGCGTAAACGGAAACTCTAATAGCGGACTCCGCGGCGCCGCGCCGGTCGATGTTACAAGATATCAAACTTATTTCAAGGTCATTCACAATTCTTTCAACAGAATCACTATATTTTCTACCGCAAACAAATAACAAAATTCGTCCAATCATTTAAACATATAGATTCTCTTAACCATCAACCTATGTATTCATTTTCTAAAATCAGTTTTAACAATTGCAACTTTTCCTGAAGTAACGTTTTTAAATTCCTTCATTTCTTTTTACATCTTTTCCCCACATCCATTCCAAGTCTATGTATATTCACGGCAATACAATATTTAGATATTAAGATGGGACGTACTGCATCAATATATGTAGAAATGATTACAAAAATTGTATACAAAGCTACTATAACAGTCTGCTATTGAATTTATGGTAACAGAAGATGCAAACTATTATTGAAAACAACTACTATGCGTGTCAAATAAAAATAAATCTACCGGTTTAAAAGAGAAATCTATAAACTTCATAGATAATTTGTTTTCGTATGATAATTAAGATACTCTATGATAAATATATACGCTGTTAGTTACAATATACTGAACTCTATTAGGAAACCTGTTTAGTAAATCTTTAGCCACTAGTTTCACGTTTGTAATGCATTTAAGCCTCCATAAATTAGATCCCAAGCACAAATTATACATAATTCTTTAATGATGCGTAACGACTTAAGATTACAAACGTATCATTAAGATCCAAGGTCTGTACAGCCCTGTGTATTAAAAAAAAACAATCAACGATGCACATCTATGATACGTTTGACCTCAAACACCAGTTTTTCACATCTGCATATATCCTCGACAGTGGTATATCTTACAGCGCATAAATTAAAAATATCAAACGTTTACAATAATCCTGATAACATTAATGTTATTCAAAAGTTATTGAACATTGTAAGAAACACAAGCGGGAAGCTAATTGCTAGTAATCGCTGTATTGTTGCATGTTGGATACCTCGCTATATTCTTTTCCAATGATTGTACAGAAAATTCACACTGAAAAACACTTTGCATTGCATTTAGCATAGATAATTAAACGGAATGACTGTTCGTAGAAACTTCCTGCTCGAACGATAAGATCAAACTTTGCTGGTGTGATATGCAAGAAAAGAATTGTTGACAATTAAGAACAGTCGTGTATGTATAATTTGGTAAAATCGACCGGGATGGTGGTTTCGACCGAACGAACCAAGTACGCGCGTAAGAAAAATAGAGAAAAAATTCGAGTTGACGGAGGAACGAACGCTCGGTTTATTTCGCTGGCCGATCGTTACCGGTCGCAGGGTAAAAAAAAAAACGGGGTAGAAGAAGCGCGTGTACAAGTGTCGTCGATAGCTCGTCGCGTGCGACTAGCCAACGGGCGCCTTACCTGAAAGTCGCAGTGGATAATTTCGGCGTCGTCTAAAAGTCGAATAGTGGCGCGATGCACCACCGTAACGTCACTCTTGCTGCCAAATTTCAACATTTCTGCCCTCAAGTCGCCACCCGAATTATCCCTCCGGCCCTCATCATCCCCTGCTCCACAGCACCACACACTGCCTGTTGATTACACTCGATTTACGTTGTCGGTATCGATGTTGCAAACGGTCGTAATTGTCACCGACGCGCGACCTTCCTGCGAATATTCCGACGAGTTGACACACCGCACAACGGCACAGCACAATGAACAACAAGACATCACCGTAAAGGAACTCTAAACTCTATCAACCGGTCCCATCCACTGTCTCAGTGTTGCGGCGGTGCCACGTTTCCGACGCAACGTACAAAACACGATGTTGCCGTTCAAGGATACATCAATTGCGTAATACGGTTGCTTCACGATTTCACGAGTCAGAGCGGGAAATTTAAAAGCTGCTATGGCAAGGAACAAGTTCGTGTCACTGACAAGGGAACATACCGAAGGCCTGTACTCTCTTGGGTCTTGCAAAACTTCAGACAGTACAATTTTCTCTTAGATTTTAAGAAACAATTCTAAATTCGCAGCCATTACCAGGTCTCAGGAAAAGAGATAGACAAATCGTTCTAAGAAAATTATTTTCGGTTACGGGGACCAATTACAATCATTTTTGGTCATTAAATGAGTAGACCTTTCACCCAATGTATTCTTTCTGCCCATTTGTCTGGGGCTCTAGAACCTCATTATCATTTTCGTGTCACTCGCAACGTTACCAACAGATTTAGAAATGAAATTAGAAATTTTAGTATTTTTTAACGGAATGAAAGGTGTTCGACACAAAATTGAGCATCGATTAAGATTACTAAAATATATAAGGATGTACCTCATTTATAAGTACACCTCAAACCCTCTATTTTTTATTTTAAATTGTGATACATCATTTATTTAAAAAATAACTCGGTATGGGAGTCGGAAATCTGTCTCTTTGCCTGTAAAACGCGATTTTGCGATGGTAATGCTATTAATTATTGGTTCGTGCGATAAGAAATCTTGACAAATATTAAAATAATTTTGTACGAGAATATCAATCGCTGCATGTGAACTTCATACAGAGTACTTACTCGACGATGGTGTAAATTAAACAATTATAAATAAAACCTAGCATTGTTTAACAATTCTTAACAATATGTGGTATATGAATAACGAAAGGGCCCTTCGGTATGCGTAAATAATAACTTTTCGCGAAATAATTCGTCCAGCCGGACGGATCGAGATGGCTGACACACGCTGCGCTCTCCCCACTCCTCCTTCGTCGCTAGATAAAGGCACATGTGGCGACTTGTGTCTCATTCTGGCGGGGGGCGCCAAGGGTGGCGGAACTCCTGGCCCGGTGGGCAACCCGGGACCATCCTAGGCCGACCAGTGGTGACCAGGGGGGCCAGTACTGACCAGTTCTGGCTAGCGCTCCTACCACTACTGACCACTACTGACCACTACTGACCAGTGCCGGACGGTGATGACTACGGTAAGAACTGTTTAAAAATTCTCTCCCCTCTCTTATTCTATCGTTTGATACCAATTTCGCTTCAATGTACTGATTTTGCCTAACTGACGTTGCTATAATATGAATATTTTCTTACTTTACAGCTTGCCCAGTGGTAACTATCCTATATACAGACAACAAGTAGTAAGTCCACTCCATTTATTTATATTTTATTATTTTTATTTGTTTGATGTGAATTCGGTTATTATGGATGTTCCTTTCCTCTGTTTCGATTTTGACATTGTTTGTCGAATTTATGTTACTGCTTTGATACGTGTAATATTGCAGGATATAATAATGTAATATTCTTCTTCTTCTTCTTCTTCTTTGTGTTTTTTACGCCGCGTCGACTGCGAGGTCATTGTTTTCAATCGTATACTATATTTATTTCTATACGATTTCCTGAATTTCTGTTTTTACGTTCTTGCTCGAATTCTCGTAATATTCTGCGGAGGTACTTTGTTTGATCGTTCCATTTCGTTTGATTGTTCGGTGTTGATTCGATTTGGTGTCTCGGTCCAAGTGTTCCAATGGTCCAATGTTCGTTTTGAGTTGTACAACATTGGGTCGATTCATGTATCATATTTGTTTCGATGACACTGATCAAAAGAAGAATATTCGTTTTGATATGTATGACACGGTGTGTCGATGCATATACCATTTTATTTTTACGCTTCAACTTAAATTCTAGTATCATTTTACTCTGTTCGATTCCCTTTAGGTGATAGATCATTTTTAAGTGTACATATTAAATTTACTACCATATCTCACTAATATAAATATTAGTTTTGATTTCAGTTTAAATTTGGATCGATCGCAAGGACATCGAGGGATGACGCCCGTCGATGGTCTTTTAATTCCAAGTTGATTAGTCTTAAGCTTCGTCGCGAGTATTAAAATTAACGTCGAAGCCTTCTTTATTATACATACGTGTCTCCGCGTCCTACCAAGCAATTATTTAACAAGTAGCTTCTATCTCGCTCGTTCCCTCGTTCACTAGCTTCGATCGCCGCTGTTTCATCGAAACATGTGATCGGCCGTGTATCTGTTCCGAAAGATCAAATCGCCTTCTCTTGGTAGCTCGATCCAGGGAAAATGGTACCTCGCTGGAAGGTGTGGCGCTTTCGTTTCCTGCGAAAACTCATACCTTTCAGCGGGAGTCGACACTGTATCAGGTACTCTCTCTTTGTCAGACAACTTGAGTCGGGTCCTTCGGGCTCCCGGCGGGTTGCGTTGGAGAAATGGAGACCTTCGATTACGGAGTCGCAGAGAATGTCCATTATCCCATAGAGATCTAGTTAGCAAGGGCAGTAGGTTCGATCCTCGGATCCGCTGCACGGTTCAGCTTCGCGTCGCGTCTCGTCGCGTGTCCCTCAAATTAGCTTCGTCCCTCTTTTTAACCAAATAATTGCTTGGTACAACTAAATCAGAACATCCAAGGAACTTTGTTTCCTTCTATCGTCCGAATTTTAGGTTAACTTGACCAGACTTGAGCTTCGACGTTGATTTTAAGTCCCTATTGTATACGTCTCCCGATATTGCCAAGTAATTATTTAACAAGTACCTTCTCTCGACTCGTTCTCCGGTTCCTAGCTTCGACCACCGCTGTTTCATCGATCGAAACATGTGATCGACCGTCCAGTTTGTCCGAAAGATCTAGTCGCCTGCCAATGATAGACCGATTGCTAGAAATAGGAATCAATCTACCAAGGGTAGTGTTGATTCGATCCGAAGATCTGTTGCACGGTTCAGCATCGCGTCGCGTATCTCACAATTTAGCTTCATCCCTTTTTAAACGAAATAATTACTTGGTAGCTAAGCTTAGCTAAAAGGGAGATCGATGGAACTTTGATTCCATCTATCTCCCTTCGGGTCTCCACTCGCAGCAACCTCCTCGTGGTGAGACCTGGTAATCGGTGTTACCCACGATATAAAAGCTTTTCTATCGTGGGCAACACCGAGCTAATGGCTGCGAATTTACAATTGTTTCTTGATATAATAAACGAATTTAGATTTATAATTAGCCAAGTGTTTGGTCAGGCATTGTGTTAGGCAGGTTATGTTTATTTGAAGAAAAATTCTTTTGAAACCTCTCTCGACTCTCTTCGTTGGTTGTGCATCTTTCATTGGTTTGCACTTTCGTTTGTTTCTTCTCTGGGCACTACACTGTCTGCCTCCCATATTAATTCAGCGAATAGTTCCTCAACTGACCGCCATACATGAGAAGAGGCCGCTGAAATCACCTCCGAATTTTCAGGTCGGTACGACAGTCAGATTGGACCGCGAAAGTCCATAAAGGTCTGTTCATATACCTTGTCCGTGGCCAACATACCCATAATTTCTGTCTCACTTCCTCTTGTATTCATTTCTGTAACCTGTTGGTAATGTTGCGAGTGACACGTAAATGGTAATGGGGAGCCCCATAAAAATGGGCCGAGAAAATACATTGGTTGCAAGGTCTACTCGTATACCTCGTCTGTGCAATAAGCAAAGTACCATAATGAAAAGAAATTGTGAACAATTTTGAACCAACGCATTCTACGGTTGTAAGGTCTACTCGTATACCTCGTTCGTGGTGCAAGGTTCGCTTGGTAATCGGGCAAAGTTCATTCTCAACCGGAAAAGACTCTTATTACCTTACGGCGGATTTATGTTTCACTGGTCCGGTCGTTCGACCTTATCGCGAGCAAGTAAGCTGATTTTGTCGGGAGTTGCGGGAACAGAATCCAGATGGCGTTCGACGGCGAGCAGCGTGCATAAAAAGTATTAAAAAATAAGAAAATCGAAGTGGTGGGGATGAGCTTGGGGCATTGAACAAAGGTTGACTGCGTCGGTTGTGGAGCCGGCGGTGCATTCACGATTCAAACATGGCAGCGGCTACCAGCGTTGTCGTGCTCGATAGAGGCAACAATACCACCTGCACGATTAATTTACACGGTGTGTGCGCGCGTGCAGATAACTAGAAACGACCGGATCTGCGAGTCGGCTGTCAGATTTTACCGTGGCTTCTTTCGAACAGTGTACAGAAACCCCGTTGACCGAATAATTTTTTTTCCGCGAATCATATTTACCCGGGGAGGCTGTACGCCTCGGTATCGGTTGTTACGAGAATCGACGAAAAATACGATAGATCGGCAGCAACGGATACGTTGCAGTGAATCGACAAACCGCCGCTCCCAGATCTGGTTTCCGTTTCTATATTTAGTGGAAGACAAAGTGTGTACGCGCCTTTACTCGAGCCTAACCTCTAACTTGTGTGCAGTTGTACGTGCATTTGCGTATTCATATATAAATTATTTGGAACGTTCGAAATTTGACGGGCAACGCGACGTACCGTCATCGATCATTTTTCGTGTATTTTATGCGTCGAGCAAATCGAACAGAAAATCTAATCGACTGCTAGACGGAACGTCACTGTAAACAGGCGACAGACTCTTGACGAATTTTCATTCACGAATGACAGTACGTCGCGACCGTCCAACGGCGGTAAAGTTAAATTCGTGCGTGAGTTGATAGTTTGACAGAAAGTTCACAGTTGATTCTCCCGCGTCGCAACAGTAGAACGGTTGGATCGAGATTCTGATTGAAATTCTCTGTTTTTTAGGGGCCACGGTCGTTTCCTGGCGCGTGAATAATCAAGAACAGCTGTTTGTCAGGTAAGTCCCACGATTGCTATTTCGTTTAAGTAGAGAGGAACGAAAATATCACGTTTATGGTACAAATGCAGTTACCAGAGTTCATTTTACAAATGTTTGCCAAATTACGTTCAACTTGAAATAGTTTATAAGAGTACTTGACGATATTCGATATGATTCTCGTAATACATTTAAGTTCTTGTGATATTTCTATGATTGAACTATAGCTTAGGTATAGGGTAATTATATAAAGTATATTAATTGTTACATCCATTTGAAGAGGCTATTAATGTGCCATTCGGAAGAACAAGTAATTTATTTTATATATTTTTATTTTAAACGCGGATGCAATGATTGGTATTAAATTTTATATGCACGTGTATGTACAATAGACCAAGAAATGATTACTTACGAGAACAGTACACGAGGGGGCAACGTCGGTGATATTTTTTCATGCACGAAGGCGTATCAGAGATTTCAAGGTTAGAATTTCTTTTTAATGGTACCGCCGTACGTCTCTTCTTTGTTCAATGGCGGGCGGGTTAGACGATTTCAATAATCTACGATACAGGATCGTTTAACGTGAAAAATAGCAGTAAAGAATGATCGTTGGATCGTGAGAGTCGCTTACAGCGATACCTACATTTAGATCGATTCGATATTGGAATCATTGAATTGCTAAATCACGAACGCTTGTTAGCATTTCCGAACTAATAACAGCGTGTGATGTAACAATTGGCTGCCCTCGTATTGCAACTAAATGGCCATCGAACGAACGCGTACAGTCGATAGAAATTATTCGACCGAACGGGGCTCGGAGGACCGGATGTTTACATCGCGATGTGTACGTAATATGTTCCTCATATTTTTGGTGGCTGAGAACCGAAAACTCACGATCGTTTTGATAAACACGGACGAATAAAAAAAAAAGCACAAGGGAAATAGTATTTCGATTAACTTTACAGTTTAATTTGAAAATAATTTATTTCCTGAGGACTTTATACGTTCCTAATTATGTAGTTCAAACCACCATAGCCAGTTAGTTACGAAAATTTTATTTAAATAAAAACGGAGATCGAAACAAAGCGGTCGTTGTTAAAGGCTACAAAGATTACTGATGATAATAATGTAGGCTTCTTGACCAGGCCTGGATTTAAACGATGTATCCGGTACCAAAGAAAAAACCGACGACGTCAGAAAATCTAAGGCGACTATTCTATCTAATTAGCCTAGAAATGATACGCGTGTTCGTGATTCAGCGTATTATACACAATTTCAATAATACATCGATGCAAATGGACAACGTTTCAAGCACCTGTTGCAACGTTTATTACTTTATTGGTTCATTTTTTAAATTAAACGACTTTGCATCGTGGTTTGTTTAAATCGTCTAATTATATTAATAAAGAGAGGAGCACGACGTACGATTAAACGGAATAATAACCTTGATGAGATCGTCAGATATCGCTGCATACACGGAAAAATTATTACAGGTGTAATGCAGCCTACATGTTATTCCTCTGGACAGAGGTAAACGATTAAAAACACTAGGAAATAATAGGAATAATATCATACGTGAAAATTCTCAAAAGATTTTCAAAAGTGAAACCCTCAAGTTGAGTGTTTACGTACACTTAAATTTATGTTATAAATATAATTGTGCGATTAATGTATCGATCAGATTCGGTAGACGAATTTAAGGACACGGAGGTGGCCGATCGTCACGAGATTTGTAGAGGGTGTGGGGGTTACGACGGAAAGTAGTTTCGTTTTCTTACCACCAGAGGCGTTAATTGCATTTTTAACCAATCAACTTTATTCTAAACCTTATTTTTATTACACTTGGAAAAAATTTTAATGGGGGATTCTAGAGATCAAAATAGGACGAAAATCAAGAATACTAATTTGTTGATGGAGGCTTCTTTAAAATGTTATTAACATTTTAAGCTCCACATGTACTGAATTTTTTTCTCGAAAATGCGTAGGTTTTCGGGGTTATGTCTATTCACCAAAAATGATTGTAATCGACTCCTTCGACCGAATATAATTTTTCCAAAACGATTTGAAATTTTTCAATTTTGATGAGAAATTTAGGCATTTTCACTAATTTTTTTCTTGAAAATGCGTAGGATTTTGGGGGTATGTGTAATGACAAAAAATGATTGCAATGGGGTTCTGCAACCGAAAATAATTTTTTCAGAATGATTTGAAATTTTTCTTTTTCGTCGAAAAATTTAGATATTTACTGAATTTTTTTCTCGGAACTGGTTAGGATTTCGAGGGTATGTCTGTTCACCAAAAATGATTGTAATCGACCCCCGCGACCGAATATAATTTTTCCAAAACGATTTGAAATTTTTCTTTTTCGTCGAAAAATTTAGGCATCTTCACGAATTTTTTTCTTAAAAATGCGTAGGATTTCGGGGGTATGTGTAATGACAAAAAATGTTTGTAATGGGGCCCTTCTACAGAAAATAATTTTTTCAAAACGATTTGAAATTTTTCAATTTCGTTGAAAAATTGAGATATTTACTGAATTTTTTTCTCGGAACTGGTTAGGATTTCGAGGGTATGTCTGTTCACCAAAAATGATTGTAATCGACCCCCGCAACCGAATATAATTTTTCCAAAACGATTCGAAATTTTTCAATTTCGTCGAAAAATTTGTCCACTTGCTGAATTTTTTTCTCGAAAGTGGATAGGATTTCGGGGGTACGTGTATTCACCAAAAATGTTTGCATGTGACTCCAGAACCTAGAAATAATTTTTTTAGAACGATTCGAAATTTTTTTTTTCGCCGAAAAATTCTGGCATCTTTACGAATTTTTTTCTTAAAAATGCGTAGGATTTCGGGGGTATGTATAATGACCAAAAATGATTGTAATTGACCCCCGCAAGCAAACATAATTTTTCCAGGGCGATTAGAAATTTTTTAATTTATTTTTTTAATAACTCGCTAACTTACTAACGAAGCCTCAGTCAAGAAATTGTTATTCTTGATTTTCGTCTTATTTCGGACCCTAGAATCTCCCATAACAATTTTTCACAGCCAACACTTGATAGCTCGTTTCTAAAAAGTTTTCCATTTCTTTGGTGTCCCAAAATTCGAATAGTTTGCGCAGAACGTGTTTAATCGCGACTATACGGGCTTAGTTGGGACGTCACTGATACCAACACGACCGCAATTATTTGTAATAGCCGTCGACTGTCGAGTAGCCGATGACAGAGCAACAGTAGAGGCCACGTATGGTCGCGTAAATAGCGAGCGTACGACTACCGCGAACGACGATGAAAGTTATTTACGGGCAGCATCGGCTCGGGTAGAATTTAATAAAGGGAATAATGGTTACGTGCGAAAACTGTACGAATACGGCGTTTCCATAAAGGATACGTCGGCGATGAACCGCCTTTAACGCACCACGCCGTTTAAATTCCTAAACTAAGTTAGTAGCGAGTAAGACATGCGTGCACACCTGCTGAGAAAGAATCGCATAAAAGCGCGGTGCCCGTGACGATCGTTTTAAAAGAGCCACTCCGGGAGCAGACGATGAAAAAACTGACGGAGCGAAGGCAAGGGCGCTCTGGACCAGTACATACCTTTTACACGTGGTTCAGGGACCCTCGCCAGTTGCCAGTCATCGGTTCTTCCGACAGTTAAAGCCGCTGTCGGGACCACCTTTCTATTTACTTCGCCTCTTCCTACCAATATCTCGCTGTACAAGTAATCGACGCTAGGAAAATCGAGACTTACAACCGATTACAATCACCTCGACACTGTCAACGATCACGTTGGGCCACGTCGAGCTGGCAAAACGCTCGAAAGTCACGAATCTCGTGAAACAGCCACGGACGTTCGAAGCGGTTCCAAGTTTTTTCTACCACGAATAATACGAGAACCGCTTGGAACATAACTCGAAGGCTGAAACCTTCGATCGTACGCGGACTCGAAACGATTAAAATTTTATCGAGACTCATCGGGGATCGCGCTCTCGAAGCGATTCGAATTTCTCGAATGCAGATTCGAGGCGTTTCGGTCGCCATAGAGCCCCGGATATGCTCATCGAAATTACTTATTCGTGGGGTTTCCAGATACTTTGGTAAAACTGATGCACTCAGAATCTTACATTGTGCTTTGATGAGACCTGTTTTAGAACATGGCAGCATAATTTGGTCCCCTTAAGAAATTTCTTCGTCTTGTTGCTAGGCATAGTGGGAGCCCCATACTTATCAATCCTTACACACTAAAACAGATTTAATTGAATCATTAGAAAGTCTAGAATTATCCTTGCAACATATTGTAAATTAATTCATTTTGTTACATTCACCAAGCGATAATGTTTCTACCAAAGGGTTTAATACCTGTTAATAAATGAATAATAATAATAATAATCTTGAAACACTGCAGAAGAAGAATCACAGATATTATTTGTTTGCAAGTAAGCTAATCAAAGGTCACATTTCGTGTTCAACGATTACTCAATTGTTACCTTTCTATGTACCCATCTAGGTATTTAAGAAATCACTTTCTATTTTACTCTGAAACTTACCACACAACGTTTGGATCCCAGAATTGTGCAAACAGAACGATTAGTGATGGAAATTTTGTAGACACTAAAACAGATTTGGATAAACAATCATTAGAAAGTGAAAAATTATCCTTGCAAAACATATTGTAAATAAATTTTAATATAATAAAGTAAAATCCACATCTGTAGTTCCTTGCATATTACAACTTTGATCCCGTTAATAAATGAATAATAATAATAATAATGAAAGTGTATAGGGGATCGTTTGAAACATAGAAACGCGGACTCGAAACGATTAAAATTTAATCGAGACCCCGTCGAGGATCGCTCTCGAAGCGATTCGAATTTTTCGAATGCAGATTCGAGGGGTTTCGGTCGCCATAGAGCCCCGGATACCCATCGAAAGAGAATAGGAGATCGTCGAGAGGTCTGAAATATAGAAACGTGGAATTGAAACGACAGAGTAAACTCTGCAAGATAATAAGCAAAAACGGT